GGGGGGTATCCTTACCATTTCTGGGTGAAGAAGCTCCAGGATCCCACGAGTGGCACAGTGTTGGGAGTGAATTGCGGTGACTTCTTGTCGACGCTTGGGGTATACGATAGGAAGACAATGTAAGCCAAGAAGGTTGTCACGGTCGCCACAAGGCCCGTAATCACGGCCTTCGCTGGCAGCTCGAAATAGTGAAACTTCTCTGCGTAGGTCAGATACATTTTGAAGGGATTGTTTGTAACACAGAGGATGGCGAGGCGGGGTGGGATGATTCTATTAGCTTATGTACTGTACCCTCAGCTGCATCATCCTCAAAGTGCAAATGGTCTAATTAGGCGCCCAGGCTTGCAAGCTAGACTGCGAACCATCGAATGATCGGGATCGGGGTGTTTGCTTACCTGCGTATCGACCAGTCGTAACATGCATTCATTAGATCCCTGTAGCTGCATGGCTCTAGACTGAGAGTTCGACCGGGCTCCGGTATGCGTCGGTTCCCCGACGACAATAGCCCGACCCCCCTTGATAAAACCAATGGGGATGGCGAGCTGAACGCGCACTAATGCAGGTCTTATCACTATGAGGTGAAATCAGGAGGCTAAGCAAATATTAATATGAATTTCTGGCGCCTGTGCGATCGCCTACCGTCCATCGATCCATATTTCACCATGCCCTCCTATCTCATCACCGGCGCAAGTCGAGGGCTGGGCTACATCTGGCTCAAGCACATCTCCTCCAAGCCTGGAAACACTGTGATCGGCCTGGTCCGCGACAAAGCCACGACGCAGAGCCGTCTAGTAGCAGATCGGTTGACCAACGTGCACCTTGTCGGTGCCGACATCACCAACGCCCAAGCCCTGAAAACGGCGGCCGAAGAAGTCCGCGGCATCACCGGCGGGAGTTTGGATATTCTGATCAACAACGCCGCCATTCTGGCCGCCAGGAGCGCCTTCACGCCTATTATCGACCTGTCGCCGGAGGCGCTGGAACAGGATATCGTAGATTCATGCCGAACCAACGTCGTAGGCGTGGCACACACCGTCAATGCGTTCCTGCCTCTGATCCGGAAAGGGAGAGATAAGAAAGTTATAACCATCTCGTCGCTGTTGGCCGACCTGGACCTCGTCAGGCACCTTGCACTCGACAATGCGACACCGTACGCTATCTCGAAATCGGCGGCTAACCTGCTCATGGCCAAGTACCACGCCTCTCTCGGCGCGACAGAAGGAATCCTTTTCATGTCCATCAGCCCCGGCGCCGTCTCCAAGCCGGACACCCCACCCAGGGAGGACGAAGCGGAAGGACGACAAAAGATGGTCGCCAGGCTGAAGGCGTATGCACCGCATTTCTCGGGTCCGATGACGATGGAGGAGAGTGTGCGCATGCAACTCGAGGTTATCGAGAACGCGACCGTGGAAACGTATGGTGGTGCTTTTGTCAGTCACCTCGGGAATCAACAATGGCTGTGATGGAGTGAACGACAATGAACCAAGCGCTTTTTCTCGTCTAGGCAGACATGTTGTCACATTGAGACTGAGAAGCTGGGTTTCTGCTTTTATTCTCCCCGGTCCACGGGAGTTCCGGTTAAATAATTTCGATTTCATGTCTGCATTATCCAGTTCTTAATCAGGGCCTACATCTGGGAGTGTCAGACAAGACCTGACGCCTGGAGATAATATCTCATGCCTCGAGTGTTGCGGATGTACTGTATTTAGTGGAGGCGACTAGGCCATGTTAGGGGGAAGCGACTCAGGAAGCCCTGCTAAAAGTTGAACACGCTTATGTACTCTAAGCCTAGAATGATGGAAAAGAATGTCCATCATGCACTCTACAGAAAGAGCCCGCAGCAGGTCTGGGTATAGCAGTCTACCCTGCCCTGTCTATGGGTACAGAGAGGCAATGGATGGACGGATAAGCAGCGCTCCATGGATCGTCTGGGGTTGTTGAGTGGGAAGTGCGAGGATAACACAACGATGCGCGGTATGTTGCAGTACTTTTGTGCACAGTCAAGCATAATTCAACCTTGACACTGATGAATTTAACAATGGTAGATTAATTCATGCACTTCCAACTGGAATATGCTCACATCGAATACTACAGCTACAGACTAATCGCGAGCTTCGGATAGCTCGATAAGATTGGCGAGTCTTGGTCAGCAGTATGTTAATAACTGATTGTTTTGGCAGACTGGTCCCATTCTCCAGGACTACATCTGGGTCTATAATTACTGCTGTTGACAGACAGAGTAATGTGAATTCCATGGCTTGTACTCGTTCCTTCGGGGTATAAATCACACATTTTCTATGTGACTAAGCCGGGGTGTTGCATTTCCCGAGATATAAATGTCCCGCACTCGCGTATCAACCACCATTTCCGAGAGCCGGAGCTGGGCGAGACGTCAGGACACCAAAAGCGAACAACAGATCTAATTCGAACAATGCCCGAGGAAAGGAAGCCAAGAGTTCCCGATGAAGCTGCCTGGTAGCATATGCGCGTGCGCCCGTGATATATGGTTTGCACTTCCCTCGCGAACAGCATCATCAGCTAGAAAGCACCTGCACCTCACACTTCCAAAATGGTGTCAAACGAGTATCTCTCCCACGGAGACAAGGATGAGTTCAATCCCGCAAGGTGGTCGTCCACCCCAGGCGAGCTTCCTCAACGGTCTCCCGAAACGCACCTCAACGTGCTGATCGTCGGGGCAGGGCCGGCAGGGTTGATCACGGCGCTCGAATGTTGGAGGAAAGGACACAACGTGGTGGGGATCTTGGAACGAAGCCAAGGCCCTGTCTATACTGGTTCGTTACACCCCTTGACACCCGGTTCACTCCGGTCTTTAATCATTGACCTGTCTAATTCCCATCCAGGGGACATCATCGTGATCGGCCCGTCAGCCATCTGCACCCTCCGCCACTGGCCGGAGATCTGCCGAGAGCTCGACCAGGAGCGATCAGACAGTGTAATGTACTACCGCCGCCACAACAGCGAGCTCATTCTGGGCCCAACCACGCTGGGCTACAACAGCCCCGAGCACCTAGCCCAGCGACAAGGCCTGCCGTACGTGGCCCCGCACCAGGTCCGCCGCAAGTTCTACCGCATGCTGCTCCGCCAGGCCGCCCGCGTCGGTCTGAAAGTCGAATACGGCCAGCGGGTCGAGCAATACTTCGAGGACGAGTCCGCCGGTGTCGGAGGTATTGTGACGGCCGACGGCAGCGTGCGGGTGGCGCACATCGTCGTGGCCGCCGATGCATTCAAGACGCGCTCCGACCTGCTGATCGCAGGCGAACACGCCCCGACACGCTCAAGCGGCATGTCAGTATACCGGGCAGCGCTGCCGACGGAGCTGGCGCTGCGGGATCCGGCGTTCAAGGCGCGCTGGGGCGAGGCCGTGGCGCAGGGGGCGTCGCACCACGAGTTCTGGATCGGACCCGGCATGCACCTGGGACTGTTCATCTCACCGGACTTCGTGGCATACGGGCTCACCCCGCGTGACAAGTTCCTGCAGCCCGGCGGCAACGAGCCCATCGAGTCGTGGGACCCCGACGTCGATCCGCAGGGGGTCCTCGACGTGCTGCACCGCATCCCGGATTGGGATCCTGCCATCGAGGGGCTGGTCCGCAACACTCCCAAGCGCGCGACCGTGCATTGGCCGCTGCTGTGGCGGAACTTGCGTCGCGAGTGGACGTCCAAGGGCGGTCGTGTCGTGCAGGTCGGCGACGCTGCGCATACCACCGTGCCGGCTTCGATCAGCGGCGGCACCCTAGCCATCGAGGATGCCGTCACGCTGGCGGCTTGCTTGCAGCTTGCGTGTGCAGGTGGCGCGCCCGGTGGTGCGCCGCTGGGTGCCCGCATCTACAATCTCCTGCGCTACCAGCGTGTGAGCTGCGTGCAGAAGATGTCGTTTGTCAATTCGGAGAACCTGGGCGCTGCGGATATGAATGAGGTGCTGAAGAAGGATCCCGAAAAGGTCAAGGTCCGGTTCCCCAAGTGGTTGTTTCAGCATGATCCTGAGGCCTATGTCTATGAGAAGTTCGGCCAGGCGTTCTCGCATTTCGTGTATGGCACTGATTTCCAGAATACCAACTTTCCTTCGGGCCATAAGTTCAAGATGTGGACGATCGAGGAGATTCATGCGGATATTCTGGCCGGGAAGAAGGTTGCGGACTTTTTGGATGGCGATTGGGAATAGGCAGGTAGTAATTGTTGAGCACTTTGAATTGAAATATGGGGTTTTTAGAAACAAGCGTAAGGCGCTTTCCCGTAAACCTCTTTAGAACTTCTCATCTATACAGATATGTAATTATCATCACAAGGTCCGGGGTAACCCACAACACCCAGTACCCCGAGCATCTCTGCAGTGATTTGATCATTAAAGACAGTCGGCGGACCAGCAACGTAAAGGAGCCTACAAAGCTAGAGATGAGACCGGAAAAGCGGTATTGTCGATGGTAAAGCTCTACAGGTCAGACAAACGCGCAATGAAGAAAATCTACCTTGAATAACATTACAACCCAATAAAGCTAGTTAAATATTCTTCTATTTGACAATCACACGCCAAGGTTCAAGCCCTCCAGTATCAACCTAACCCTCTAATTTCTGTCTATTTAGCCCCCGCTGCCTCCGCAGGCTTCTCACCTGCAGCCGCTCCCTTGCTCTCAGCATCAGGCTTGGGCTGCCCCTTCTTGATGCTCTTCCACTCGAGCGTGGCGGCACCGAGAACAGTCAGACACGATATGATCAACCCAGCCTGGAACACCTTCCTTAGCGCCTCATTGTACGAATGGAGCACGGTATCATGCAAGTTCGCAGGCATGGTATTCAGCAACTCGGTGACACCGCCGGACGTGACCAGCTTGGGATTGAACCCGGGCAGCCCGGACAACCGCTTCACCAGCTGATTAGCGAGGATATTCTCGCCGACCGACACAAACACTGCGGCACCAATTAGCTGCCCGAACAGCATCAGCGCCAGGCCGAACGGCACGTCGGGCTTGGGGAGGACCGTCTGCGCGGCTAGATTGGGGATCTGGAAGCACAGGCCCAGGCCGATACCGTAGACGATCTGGTAGCCGATCCACTTCCCTTCGCCGGTGTCTACCTTGAAGGTCGTCAGAAGCCCGGCGCCAACGGACATGATGCACGATCCGATGATTGCGAGAGGCGTGTAGTATCCGATCTTTGAGTTGGTGATTCCGCCGCCGATAGAGCCGACTACCATTGATAGCATCATTGGCAGGAGCCGGATGCCGGATTCGACGGCGCTGTTGCCTTTGATGGACTGGAACCAAATTGGGAGGAAGTAGACTTTATGGGGTTAGTGAGCTGTGAGGATGGTTGGGGGGTGGGAGTTTCTTACCGAATATGTAGTTGCCAGAACCAATGCAGAGGGTCTGCCAGAAGCCGGAGATGATGCTGCGCTGCGAGAAGATGCGCACGGGCAGCGTCGCGGTCTTGGGGAGGAAGATCTGCACGGCGACGAAGGCGAGGAGGAGCACGCCCATGAGAACCAGGCACGCCACGACGCGACCGTTGCTCCACTGCGGACTGTTAGTCGGGGTTGAGAATCATGGTCGGAATGAACTTACAGCATAGGTCTGGCCTCCCCACTGGAGTGCCAATACAAGGCAGACCACACCAGACACCAAGAGGGTAGTACCGAGGAAATCCAGCTGCAGCAGCTTTTCCACCCACGGAACCCTTGTAGTGTCTTGCTTCGGAATCTTGAGGCAGAAGGCGATGAAGATCATTGCCGCACCCCCGATCGGGAGATTAATGTAGAAACACCATCTCCAGGTCACGTTCGATGTAAAGGCACCACCAATCAACGGACCCACGATTGAGGCAATGCCGAAGAGCGCGCCGAACAATCCCTGGATTTGTGGGCGCTTTTGGAGGGGAACGGAATGGATGATGCACATGATCTAGAAATGACTGTCAGTACGGTTTGTGATGATGAGAGAAAAATTAAGGCCAACTCACAGTTCCAGCCAGGATACCAGCAGCACCAACTCCGCAGATTGCTCGTCCGATGATGAAGGCCACGGAGTTGGGAGCGGCGCCGCAGATAGCAGAGGCAACCTCAAACAGCAGAATACTGGCAAGGAAGACGATCCGCACGGAGAAGAGCTTGTACAGCTTTCCGAACAGGAGCTGGAACGCGCAGCATGTCAACAGATACGAGCTTCCGTACCAGCCCACGTCGTCGAAGGAGTTGAATTCGTCGGTGATCTTGGGGATAGCCTATGGATTGAAGTCATGTTAGCGCGAGATTCCATGGATTGAGCTGTGTTACATATATCATACCGTTGAGATGATGGTTCTGTCCAGCGCAACGAGGAACATGGCCACAAAGGCCGAGACGATCAGACAGACAACCCTAATGGTCGACTGATTCTCGGGAGGCCCCGGAGGACCTGGAGGACCTCCAGCTTTGGCGGGTGCTTCATCTTTGACGACGGCATCAGTTGTCGTCTCACTATGGTGATTCGCGAGCTCTGGAGCATCGATTGCAGCAGACTTGGTACTGTCCGAGAGGGAGGTGCGTGGTGGAGGCATGGTGATGATAGTGGTATTCGTAGCTCCACAGCCCAGCAACGATCGACCAGTTACCAATGCACGAGGGAGTCTTCGACCCAGAAGAATTCAGAAGGAAAGCTCCGAGTTTTAAGGGGTCGCAAGGGGCAAAACATGGTCGGACAAGTCGCACTCTGCAGAAAGATATCGAGGGAGCAGGTCGCAAAGCCGGGGGTTAGCAACTGCAGTGGTCGGGGGTTAGAAAGTGCGAGGCTTGGCAAGTGGCGGTTGTTTTCGGCCCTCATAAATCCCGACTTTCTCCTTGACTCTTGTCTGCCCTTCTAATTCTTCTCTCTTCAACCCAATTCCCCGGGCTTCGGGCAACCGGGTCTAGGAACAGGAACATTTCCTCTGATTCCTTAGTTACACAGCCCGCATTAGGATCGATAGTCTCATGCCATGGCCACGCCGATCTCTGCATCCGATCAGACAGCCACCACCGTCAAGCCCCAGCGCGTACTGGCCTGCGTGCTGTGTCAGCAACGCAAGATCAGGTGTGATCGCACATTCCCTTGTGCCAACTGCGTGCGTGCCAATGTACAATGCGAGCAAGCGATCCGCCAGCGACGGCGGAGATTTCCTGAGAGAGAGCTGTTGGCCCGCCTGCGACTCTATGAGAGTCTCCTCCGACAGCACAACATCAAGTTCGATCCCCTCCACACGCCTACCGCTGACCATCGGTCGCCTAGTGACGATGGCCCAGATGAACTGCCAGAGGAAGCCGAGTCAGAAGGGACTCTTGCTGACACGAATCCTCGTCCATCAAGGGAGAAGACGGCAGTCAAGACTAAATCATTGTACGAATTTGGGTCCTGCACTCACTCCTATGCCTGGATGACTAATCACATGATAGAAATCTGTGGCATGCAATGAGTCAAAAGGTAGGAGTTTCTGTTTCGACAGGTTCGGGGCAAACTGACAACTGGGCAAGCCTGTAGATCCCGCAGACGACGATGGAAACGACGGTGAGGACGACGAAAACGACACTGGATTCCTGCACGACAACGACGATGTCCGACACGCCGTGATCAAGAAGGCGTGGAACCACATGTTTCAAGGTCAAAACAACGACCACCTCTTGTTCGGTTCCCCAGTAGGCCATGTCGACCTTTCTGCTTCGCATCCAAGCCAAGTGCATATCTTCCGGCTCTGGCAGATCTACTTGGACAATATCAATCCCCTGCTCAAAGTTACACACACCCCTACTCTTCAAACACGAATCATCGACGCGGCCAGCGATATCGCCAACATTAATCCCACATTGGAAGCGCTGATGTTCAGTATCTACTGCGTTTCCATTTTGAGTCTCACGGATGAGCAATGCAGCACCTTGTTCGGAACCCATAAGAAGGACCTTTTGACGGGCTATCAGTTTGCGTGCCAGCAGGCGCTGCGAAGTTGCTGTATTCTACGCTCCAGCGACCGTGAGTGCCTGACCGCGTTGTATCTGTATCTAGTAAGTCAGGCTGACCGATGACTACGAACGCACTAACCTCTACAGGTTTCCATCCGTCCTGAAACAGACCCGGCTTCCCTGTCCTCACTGCTGAGCGTCGCGATCCGAATCGCCCAGCGCATCGGCATCCACAACGAGTCCATGTACGGCAAGTGCTCGGCCCTGGAAGCGGAAATGCGCCGCAGACTGTGGTGGTCGCTCATCATCTTCGACAACCGCATCTGCGAAATGTCGGACTACAAGACGGCGTCGCTAGCTCCTACCTGGGACTGCAAAGTGCCCCTCAACGTGAACGATTTCGAGTTACAGCCCGAAATAAGGAGCCCGCCGGCAACAAACAACCGACCCACGGAGATGCTGTTTGCAGTCGTGCGCAGCGAACTCGCCGACTTCGTGCGCCACAGCGCCTTCCACCTCAACTTCACCAACCCAACCCTAAACACGATCACGCCACATCCCACCACCCCCGATGAAGCCGAGAGCCTTATCGCCCTCGAACGAGTCATGGAGGAGAAATACCTCTCCTTCTGCAACCCCGAGAACCCCCTTCATTTTATGACAATCTGGACGATGAGGGGATACCTAGCTAAAAACCGCCTCCTGCAGCACTACTCCCGCTTCTCGACCGCAGCCGTGTCGCAGACCGACGCCCAACGCAACGTGGGGATCTCGCACGCGCTACGCATGCTCGAATGCGACACGAAGCTGATGACCTCGCCGCTCACAAAGGGCTACCTGTGGCTCGTGCACTTCCACTTCCCGTTCCCAGCGTACATCCACCTGCTGCAGGATTTGAAGAAGCGGCCCGTCGAGGACCACGCGGATAAAGCGTGGGAGGTTATGAGCAATAACTATGAGGTTCGCATGATGGACGCTAAGCAGGATGATCGGCCCTTCTTTATCGTATTTTCGCGTATCGTCTTGCAGGCCTGGGAAGCCCGCGAGAAGGTAGCCAGACAGCTGGAGACGCCGCTCGTGCCGCCCCGGATCGTCGCGGATATCAGGAATAAAGTGATGCAGATGACGACGAGCTTCGGACAGGATCCTGAAGCGGTGCTGCCGGGTGGTTCTTTGGGTGCTAATATGGATGATCTCTCGATGCCTGTGCAGATGGATTTCACGGCGCCTGGTATTGCGTACGGTGCCGGTGGACAGGGCGCGACTGGGTTGGAGCCGTGGGCGTACCCTGATATAGCTGGGTCGGGATCTTTGGATGTGGATGTGAATCAGTTCCTGCTGAATACTATGGAGTGGAATGCGCTGCACGCTCGGGGAAGGTGATCGACTTTCAGCAGACGAGTGATGATCCTTATCAACCTAGATGATTAAGACTACTTATGATCAGTCATGAAGATTAATGAGTTACGCACTTAAGAAGCCCATTATGAGAATGTTTCGTAGGATCACATTCATATGAATATGCACATACTTTTAGGCTCCTAGCTGATTAAAAGACCATAAGAAAAAGCAGAAAAGATGAATAACTTCTCCATCATTTTTCGGCATGAAGACTGCAAGCAGGAAGTCTGAACAAACTCAAAGCCCACCATTGAACCTTTCCTAGCACATGCTTCAGGCCGAAAAAGGGATATTATCAACAAGTTCTCCTTCGAGTAACAACAAGCTGAAGGATAAGACTGACATTCCTCTCAAAAACACAGCCGAAGAACGTGATTAATCAAGCAAACAGCATTTTTCATGAGGCGCACGCATCATTGGAGAAAATAAGGGCGATATGAGGGGGCCTTTGATTTTGATTTTCTATCTGGAGGTAACCGGGAGTTTGGATGATTGATCCAAGGGGAGGTAGGACCCTGCTTTGAATGGAGACAGAGATAGGTTTGACTGGAATTCGACAGATGTGTCAATGTCGGCTTCTGCCAGGCCTGATTAATCTGATCTAAACTCGCTGCTCAACGTCTAGTGTCTGGGATAACACGTATCCATTCCTTACCCCGAGTTCTGCTGTCAACCATGATGTCATGTGGCCTCCTAAGCCATGGACCTGCCTTTCTTCGCCTGCTGCAGTGAGCCAGTCGACCATTCTTATAGATGGCCATTACGCCCGTCAAACCGTGATCTAGAGAAGACAAGCCTAGAAACCCTTCGCATAAACAACATCTACAATCCCTAGCCAATCTAGACAGCACCAGAATCCATCCAACCAAGAACCCAAAACACCTCATCCCGAATGACCACCGGCACCACAAACTGCAATTATGCGTCTCGCTTTGACCCAGGCATAAATAAATAAACTCTTACTCGAAAGCGACAACTTGCCCTCTGCCCCCGGTCATCCATCTGTCTTGCAACAGCCACCTGTGCTCCCATCGCCGTCTCGCCTCCTCAGAGCCACATCCATGCTTCAAACCACTGGCATGTTCAAACACCTTCCCAAAGTCAACCGACTCATTCGCGCAAACAACACTCAGCCTCTGATCACTCAGCGTCTTCACCCTCTCCAGAACCGCCTGATTCGGGTCCGCCGTACACACCGCAACGAGCTCCAGTTCCGTCTTTGCCGTAGATCCATTCCGCACGTTTGCCTCCTTGACTGCGTATACTCCACCACCAAGAGAACATGGTTACCATCCAATTCAACAATACCAAAGTAAGCCAAACCACCCATCATAGTCGTCTAGTCAGACGGGAGGGGCGGCGCAGAATGGATGATGACTATCCCGCCGACTTCGCTCTGATCTGCCGGGTCTAGCTGCTGAAACCCATGGCCACGTCCACACTACAAGCCGGACTAGGAGCGTAGTAGAGCGTGATGTAGCCATCTAATCGTATCTTGCCGGCTGAAAGTCTAACCATTAATTACGGTGCAAGATGCCATGTTCATGGCCTCAATTATTAAACAATACACTATACGTCCCACATGAGGTAGTATCCTTCAACATGTGCAACAGCTGCCTCACACCTCAGCACGACCCTTCTCCTCGACCACACTCTCCTTACTCCTACCATCATGATCCAGCCCCTCCTTGACCCCCGTATTCCCCTGACTCCCAATCCGCAAGAACGCACACAGCGGAATCCCCAACGCAGCAATACCAGCACAGTACAAGAAAGTAGCACTATACGGCTCGATGGGATCACCAGCAAAGTACCCTCCCTCCGCCAACCCCCTCGAGACCACCGCATCATAGATAGCAGTACTAATGCCCATGCCAATAGTCACACACAGCTTAGTGACAGTCTGCAAGATGCCGCCAGCGATACTCTGCTGAGCCGGGGGCAGCGAGCTCATAACGTACATATTGGCAACGCAGAACTCGAAGTCGGCGCCGACGACAGCCAGCAGCAGGCCAGGGAAGATGAAGGCCCAGTAAGAGCTGGCGGAGTGCTGCAAGCCCATGAGCAGGAAGGCGCCGACATAGGCCACGGCGCCGATCGCCATCAGCAGGCTGTTGGACACGCGGTGCATGACCAGCCCCGCGACGATATTCACCAGTATCCCGCCGATCGCCATCGGCAGCATGTGCACCGCTACCATCAGCGGCGAGTACCCCTTGATCTTCTGCATAAACAGCGCCACCCAGAATGACATGATCGGGAACGCCAGGAACCCCAGCAGCAGGATCGCGATCACCAGGCTGAAGTCCCGGTCACCCCAGATGCTCATCGGTACTAGCGGGTACGTGTACCATTTCTCCCAGATGATGAAGCCCAGTATGAAGAGTGCGCCGAGGATCAGCAGTACGAGGACGTACGGTGTTTTCCAGCCTTGTGGGGCGTCGGAGCCGAGACTGCGTGGTTTTGGGTCAGTTGCACGGTTGTGAAGGAGGAAGAGCAGCGGGGGCAGGGACAGAAGACACTCACCTTAGGGCGCCGGAGAACATTCCGATCCCCGCGATCGTCAGCAGTGTGCCCACCACGTCGAATTGCTTGATCGCTTGCACGGACAGCGTCGTCTTGGGCGTGTGGTCCACGGGCACGCTGAGGATCGCGATCGCGACCACCACCACGTAGATGATGGCCAGCAGGAAGTAGCTGGCGCGCCAGTTGAAGAGCTGCGTGGCGATTCCCGAGAAGACGCTGCCGAACACAAAACCCATCGGGTTACCCGCGCTGAAACAGGCGAACACGCGGTTCTTGCGCTTGGATGGGCGCTGGTAGATGTTGGCGAGCATCCCTTGGCCCGGGGGAACAGAGGCCGCCGACATCAGGCCCATGACGCCGTTCAGGATGTCCAGCTGGAGGGGTGTCTTGCTGAACCCGGCGGCAAGGGAGAAGACGGCGAAAAGGACCATGCTCCCCAGGAACAATGTCTTCCGACCGAAGAGATCAGCTAAGCGGCCGAAGAATAGCAGGAAGGAACCGGCGGCCAGTCTGTGATGGGCGGTTAGCTAGGATCGTCGCAGTGCTGAGGGGGAGGGAACGCGTACGAGGAGGACCCGCTCAGCCAGGTCAATTCCGCCGTGGTCATCCCCAGGTCATTCTGCACTTGGGCCGTGATAACGGTGACGGCGCCGCTCACGAGCGAGGACATGGCGATGGCCATGGTCGCCACGGCGACAAAGAGGATTTCCTGAACGGTGGAAGAGAAGACATCAGGGCGGGCCTCGTCGTCGATGGGCCCTGTCGCGGTGATGGCTGTTGTCACTCCATCCGCTTTCTCGGGCTGCACACTCTCATTCAGCCGTTCCATGGCGGATTGAACCGTAGGTAGGGATCATCTACCGGGTGGGGTGATGAAAGGGCAGGGCGGGGAAAAGATTTTAATCTCAACGCTGAGCCATGGGGTATAAATGCCGGATCACCGCAGAGTTGAACACCGCCATGTTAAGAAAATTGGCAAGACGGTGATTACGCGATAGGGCGGCACAATTTCCGCGATCGACGGGACCAGTTGCGAGGCTTGCCAAACTGGCATTATCCTGGATCGGTGATAGTCCTTATAGATTAGGGCTGGTGGGCCTTGGCGCATTTCTTCTTCCATTCCGAAGTCCGAACACGCGTCCGCTTCTTTTCGCCTGCTCGGAGTCATATTCCTGCGTTGACTTAGATCAACACCATTCGATGATTATAACAAGCTTACTGAGTAAGGTTTGAGTACCACCGTATCTTGTTACCTCCGGCAATTATCAGCTTCGTAGTAGCCATTACGACGGTTCGGCTCAAGCCGTAGCTCGGGATCTGAGTTCCGAATCCGGCAATATTGACATGCTGCAAGGCTGGTGGCAAGAGATTTCGTTGCCTGTGATGACCTGTCACACAGTAGTCTTGTTCTGTACATGCAAGGATTCCCTACCCTTATATGAGAAGTGGCTCAATGAATGCATAAGAAGGGGTCTGCGACGTGAAGACCCAGTGAACCTAGTCGTCTTTACGCGGTACCCATCAATGTCACGAGAAAGAAGCCACTGTTAGACACATTGTACCGCCGTAGCTTCGGTGGAGTCTGCGGTTCCCCATTGTTCCAGACCTTAACTCAGCTCCACCTCCTGCGTAATGAAGCAGACAATGTATCACACTTCCAGTCCTTGGTTCACTGCTATCGGACTATCCGAGTGTTTAACGAATTCGCATTGAACACTGCAGCATTGCTGGGTGTGAATGTGAGATTGCTTACTCAAATCTCTTCATACAGAATCAAATAACAAATTTACGTCATCGCTGGTCTCGTGGCGCAATGGTAGCGCATTAGTTTCCGGTACTAGAGGTTGTGCGTTCGAGTCGCACCGGGATCGTTTTTTGCTTCCACCCATTGTTAATGGTCACTCAACAGCCCAACTACCGTAATAGATATTTTGTTTCATCCAACATCACCGCAGTAAAACATGTCGTTCTTTCTGTCATGTGTGTGTTTGCAGAGTGATGGTTCCGGATGCAAATGTCCCTTCCGCGTCTGGGCCAAGTTATATATCGTCGCAGCAAAGGGGACGGCCTGATAACCGTACTTCGAGACACTCAAACCCCGGGGTGATACTCTTTCAAGCCAATCTACCCGACTTATGCCCAATCATTATCGCTCCCAAAAATATGCCAACCTACTGTGATAGTTGTGGGTTATGACTAAAGACTAAGCGGGAAGAGAGCAGTTGGGCCTCCCCTGTCTACATGGATCCGATCAGATCGCATTTGGGGGGTTCCCAGTACTGAGACCCGAGCTCGATTTCTTAGAAAAAAGAAAAAAAAAAGGTTCAAATGTCATTGGAGGCTAGCCGAGAAATATATACATTCATCATCAAGACAGGGCCGCCATCTATACAACCACTGCTCAGGTCCCAGCCCTGACTAACCACCCCAAAAATTACAGATTCAACTCGCGGCGAAACAAAGGCTCGGTGCTAGCCTGACTCGACACCCGCGTATTCTGGTGCTCCGATGGGGTGTCGGTGTCGGTCTCGTTAGAGTCACCGATGATCTCGGTGTCGGTGATGGCGCGAGGTCGCGGAGGCTGCGGGAACGGCGTGCTACACTCGGGATCTGACGGTGCTGGCGAGGCTGAACGCGCTCTCCGGCCGCGGAGACTGTAGATCATTGGCAGGTTGGCCGCCAGCGCCGCCAAAGTGCCCTCGAATAAGTAGATGATGGTGTTGACGGTCTGGGTCCCGGGGAGGAAAGCTCGCGACAGACTGGCTCCCGCGGCTAAGAGACCGATCGAGAACAGCCCGATAAGGAGAAGGCGCCTATGGGCATAAGATGACTGAGCCATGCTTGAAGGAAGGGGAGTGGGGAGGGAAGGACTGCTTGCTCACTTCGACCAGGATCGTTTCACCCGGATCAACCAGGGAATCGGTAGTAAGATGAGCACCACGTCGGTGGAGGTGTTGAGGAAGACATAGCTGATGAGGGATCCTTTGGATCCAATGCAATTGGCTACACCTTCATTGTTAGCCATACTCGACAACAGGAAGATAAGCCGGTAGGAGTCTTGTGAGCTATTCTCGGACGTACTCGGGGGCCTGCCCGTCAAGCCGGGATGGTGCACAGGTCCAATGCATGTATTCGTGTAGATGATTATGGTTGCCATGAAGGTCAGTATCAGATATGCGCACGCCAGTCGGATCCAGATGCGAGGCCACGGGAGGCACCCCCAGATCTGTTGAATGAAAAGAAGAACTACCGCTTTCTGGAGCCAGAGGCTAGCAGGACAATAGTTTAAGACCGGCTTTCACACAGTTAGAGTGGGGATGGTGAACATACTAGGTGACCCAGAGATATGTTTGGGCCTCGAACAGTTGTGCGGACTTTTTCAGGGCTGCCATAGCCTGAGGTCCTGGTGGACGCGAAGAACAGTCGATGGCTATCTGGAAAAGGATCGCACGTGCGATGGTCCCCGAGACGATACAGACCATACATACCATAGTGAGGTAGTCACTCACTGCGAAGGGAAGGTGTCGATACTTGCGCAGCCAGAGACGGACGCCCATAATCGCCACCATCAGCGCGGTGATGCAACTCTCTGCGACGGTGCATGCGGTATATGAGAGAGTTGACACCATTGTCTAGAGATCTGCTGCAGACTAAAAGAAATGTTACATGTCTTCTGTAGTTTCAAAGTCTCCGAGAGCCTCCATACAAAGAAGGCGGCAGCAGTCTGGTGCCCGTAGGTTCTAATATATGGCCTGCACGGTCCGCTTGAGAGAACTTCGGCAACTGTAATCAACAGTACCAGGCTCAGCGGAGCTCGAGCTAGGTCCAGGCCAGAGCTCCGGTCGGAAATCACAAAGGGCTTTCGACAGCCGTTCGAGGCGCTCACCACCACCCGCGGGATATCAGAAGCTCGTTGAGTGGAACCCGAGCTCAAGCCACCGGACGATGAACTATCGACTTCTTTTGGAACAGTTCTGATTTCTACTACAAGCTCATGATTTATTTCATGGCTCGGGTGGTCCAAGCGAAACTCTGCCAGTTCTCGGCAAACCCAACGCGGCCTGGACCGGACATCGCAGACAAAGAAACCTCCCGCCACGAGGGGTGGTTCGAGACAATCCAGTGGTAACTATTGCTATGCTGCTGGGACCGAGCTGCAATTATGTCATGACTTGCTCAAGCTTCAGAACGTGAAGAAGAGCTCGGCCACAGCTCGAGCACCATATATTGTACTTTCGGCCCGCTCGAGATTGAAGAGGACTTGCAGGCAGTTGGCCGGACTACCTCGATAGGACAAGGCGTGATGCTGGGACTGGGCATGCGTAGATGTCGCCAAAGACCTGCCTTCTGATCGGCCAAGACCCTGACACGACGGTCGGATTGATGGTTCAACTCACGACGTCTGCCCTCCAGGAGCACATACATCGGAAAAAGAAAACGCACTGTTGCCAACATTGCCACCACGCTACCATCACCCACCCCGGCGATCCGTATCAAATAGAGTTGCGACACGCCCTGTAATTACTAAATGCAACGTTCCTACAGGCCAAGCCCCACGGCAAAAGGGGTAGGATGCAGACCCGATGTGCGTGACCTCCTCACTGCCGCCCTCCTGCCAGGTCCCGAGAAGAATGGAGCGAGGTTGTGCCCTTCGCGCACTTGGCGCGGCTATTGTGATCACGCATTACCTGCGTGGAGGGGTTTGAGACAGGTTCCAGCTCCCGCTCGGAGGTTCTTGAAGCTTGACCAGGGAGATATCCTGCTTCGCAAAATTTATCGCTGTAGTAACGCAGCGACATGTGTCCTGCGCGTGATATTACCTGAACGGAGCTGGTGCAGGAATCCTTCCAGAGGTAGCAGCCTGCAGCCCGAACGCCTGAACCGTGGGCGCGATTGGCCCTCGGCCGAAATCTAACCTGTCAGTTCTCGATTCGTGTTTGAAGCGCAGGTGTATTGGCGCCAAAATATACAGTAGCAGTTGCCTTGATATGTACAATACAATACATCTTCCTCGAGACCTACAAATACAACGGTACAAGGTAAGCAACCAACTACCGGTCGTTGGGCCCATCCATGCGATACACCATCTCAGCAACATTCAGATAAGCCTCATATTCCACGCTCTCCTCTCCAGAGAGATCATAGTGATAATGCCCTCCCTTCCGGTCTCCCTCTGACTCGAAACAGTGCGTGTGCTCCATGCGCAGACCCAGTCCCTCGGGATCCGCACTGTGCATGACGGTCAAGCAGACGACGGGGGCCGCAAAGGCATGGTAGGTGAGCCACTCGTGCTCGAGCTGGGCGCGGTCGCGGAAGGGCAGCTGCGGCGGGAAGTCCGGCATGATGTGGAACTTGGCGGTGCCGCGCTTGAGGAGGAAGACCCCGCCCAGCGAGACGGGCTGGTCGTCGCCGTAGGCGTCGCAGATCCCCAGGCGGATGCAGTTCGTAAAGTTCTGGGGTCCGGTTCGCGTCCGTGCGGCCACCCTGATCACTGGGCCTGGTTGACCCGAGCATCCGTAGAGGTTAACCATCAGGGCGCAATTGGTCGTCGCGGAGAGGGTGGTGCGGGGCGTGGCGCCCTCGCGGTCAACCTCAATCACCCGGGTGCCATTCGTGATGGCCAGTGAGGAGGGCTCGTTGAATGATGGTGGTGAGGCTGGAGTGGTATCCTCGTCGGATGGGGTCTTTGGTCGCCAGGACAGATTGGGCGCCAGCTCGGCGTTCTGGCCAATTTCGTGGAATGGGGCGGCGCCCGCGCCGATCAGGAAGCCGCCGCTGGGAGACATCTCCATGTCTTGGGCGATGGAGAGGAGTGAGTATTTCTTGGCGAAGTCGGGGGCTGGAAACAGCTGGTGCGGACCGCCGACATCGCTGATAACCGGGGAGCCGGAGAGGCCTGGGGCAGTGAGTTGGAAGGGTGGTTGGCGAAGATCGGGACATTCAACCACTTCTGCGTGCGCTGATTCGAAGTTTGTTCGAAGAGCACGCTCAATCACATCTGCCAGATCCTTCAAAGGAGGAGGGGTTCGATGTACTTTCTCCATAGTTCGTTTGATGTTGTGTTTTCGATGGTATGTGTTTGAGTAATGATGCAGTGCAGTGCGGGGAAAGAAAGAGGCTAAATTGCTTAGTCATTGGCCCAAGGCCACTGCAAATTCCTGTCTTGGTGATAGAATTATACAGTAGTTCTTAACGACTTGAGGATGCATGCTGCCCCGATCGACATTTGGTCTCAAGCCCTGCCGCTTCTCTCGCACTTCGCAAAATATTCCCATGTCCAAGCCTCCTCGATATATGAGACAATGATAAACCGCTCGTGACTGTTCTAAAATACTACTTACCTATGATGATATCGATGCTTGGGCACAACGCTAACCTTGCGAAAACCTCATGGTATGGGGATCCTGGCTGCGTGCAGGATTGCTCTGAGTCGGACCAATCTCTTCGCGACTTGAAGCTGCAGGTGTCCTGAGTGTCTTGAGCATTGACAGGCAATCCGGTGTGCCAAGGCCCTTATTCCGGTAGCATGCGGGGTTCTCCGAGTGAAGTCTGAAACTGAGCTTCTATCCTAACTTTGTACGAGACCACGAGTTCGAGTAATCAACCTGAAACGTGAAGGAGTAGAATCCTAGATAGCATCGAACTCAAAGTTATCTAACAGTTTGCTTATTTTCCGATGATGATGAGGCCGCGATTTATAATCACATGGTAAGTAGGTTATCACTCGCTATAGAACTGCATTAATCATTACTGGAGTCCTGTATCCCCTCTACTACGCCATACAGCAACCTTCAACTGAAGCCCGCACGTTTGCGAAGTCGAAAGTCAAAATGGCTCTGAAACTCTATGCCTCTGCCATGTCGACTGCGCGCGTGCTGGTCACAATCCTCGAAAAGGATCTGCCCTTCGAATTTATCCGCGTTGAAACTGCGAAGGTGGAGTAAAAACGCGCGGGATACAAGCAATAACAACCTTCCGGCAAGATTCCTGTCTTGGATGATGACGAGTTCCTTATCTTCGAGAGTCGACCGATTTGCAAGTACCTCGCTAGGTATGTCAATTCCCTTATTGCGCATGCGGAGAGAGTGGGGAACAGGGAATGTTGAATCATGTCCACCATGGCTGTGCAGAAAATATTCCTCCCGGACCAGACTGATCCCCGATGAGAGCGACCACAAAGCGTACGGCCGCTTTGAGTAAGCCTGCTCGGTTGAGCAGAGCTATTTCGCTGCCGCGGCGGAGTCTTAGGACTGAGCTGGTGATTAAACGGTATGATCAAACCTTTCAACCTGCAGCCGAGGTAATCCCAATTAGTTCTTTTCGGCTCTTATTCATTTGTGGAAAATTCCCGGAATACAATTTAAGGAAGTCACCAATACTGTAACCGAAAGCGCTAAAGTCTTGGAGCAACTCGGAATTTCCGCAGATCGCGGGTTATCCTAGAGGAGCTCGTATTGATTGTCGGCTTGGATATCCAACTCATGGGAAACGAAACTATAAAGTAATTGTGAGTGCTGGACGTGTTTCTTCTTTGTGAGAAGCTCAGACGACTACCATCATGGGGATTCTGAAAATTGCTTTACTTGCATCACTCGCTTTACGCTTACGAAGCGTCCAGGCTGCAGATCATGAGCCAGACTCTTCGCTTGCTGAGCTTAGCGGAAGTTCGCAGAAACCGAACTTCATCTTCATCATGACGGACGACCAAGATCTCCATCTCAACTCCCTTGATTATATGCCTAAGCTGCAACGTTATCTGGGCAACGAAGGCACGAAGTTTGAGAAGCATTTCTGTACGATCGCAGTGTGCTGCCCATCACGCGTCAGCTTGTTGACCGGACGTTTGGCACACAACACGAATGTGACTGATGTTAACCCTCCTTATGGTAAGCTTCATCATTCCCCCGCGATGGTCACGTCAATTAACAATCATTCAGGAGGTTACCCTAAGTTCATAGCCGAGGGTTTCAACGACCGGTATCTCCCCGTGTGGTTACAAGAAGCAGGATACAACACTTACTATACCGGGAAATTCCTCAATGCCCACTCGACCTCCAACTATAATAAACCTTTCCCCAAGGGTTGGAACGGGACGGAGTGTAAGCGTTTCCGAGTTGACGGTTGTCTTCCTTTTATATTCCTCTTCGCTGATGTATCCGCCAGTTCTTCTTGACCCATCAACGTATAGCTACTGGAATTCGACATTTCAGCGTAACCGAGAGTCTCCTGTGGCATCTAACGGTTACTCCACCGATATCATCTCTCAAAACTCTTTGGCCTTCATTAATGCAGCTCGTCAATCGGAGCGGCCATTCTTCCTCGGCATCGCACCTATCGCACCCCACGCCAAAGGTGTTCATATGGAGAATGTATCCATCCCCTACTTTACCAACCCTGTTCCGGCAGAACGACACCGAGATCTATTCTTAGATGCCCAAGTCCCTCGCCACGAAAGCTTCAATCCTGACAATGTATGCAATATGTTCTTTTTATCTTCTCTTTTGCAACTTTATGCTCAATTACTTCTTTTAGCCAAGCGGAGCGAGCTGGATATACAACCTCCGACAGCTAAACGCCAGTGAGGTTGCTTACGCCGACGGCTTTTACCGTTCACGAATCCAGTCCCTTCAGGCTGTTGACGACCTTGTGGAGGCCGTGATACTCGAACTTCAGCAACAAGACCTTCTTCGCAATACCTTCGTTTTCTTCACAGCAGACAATGGGTATCATATCGGCCAGCACCGGATGGTGCCGGGGAAGGGCTGCCCCTATGAAGAGGACATCAACATCCCAATGATAGTTCGCGGCCCCGGGGTGCCGCGGGGTGAGTCTGTGAACTACGTTACCTCCCACACCGATATCGCGCCAACACTTTTCGATCTGGCCGGCATCCCCCTTCGGTCCGACTTTGATGGGACGCCGATGCCACTGAAGAAGGATGCTCTAGACAAACTCTCTGCCTCTCCACGTCGAGAGCATCTCAATGTGGAGTATTGGGGAACCAACCTACAGGAAGGGCTCATTGGTCGTGATGCCTCAACTGGTAGCGCTCGTAAGACTCTCCTTCCTTGCTGCTGAGGTCGTTTATGATTGTGGCTAATTCATATTCTGACGCTGAAAGTTGGCTACGGAAACAATACATATAAAGCACTCCGGGTCATTGGGGAGGGTTATAATCTCTTTTATTCCGTATGGTGTACCAACGAGCATGAGCTTTACGAGATGACGGTTCGTTTGCATTCCGAGGTGAATTGATCTTACTGGCTCCGATCTGACCAAGAATCCAGAGTGATCCTTATCAAATGAAAAATCTATTCCGAGCCTCTGAGACTGAGTTTCTGGGGTATAACATGACGAAAGTCATATCTCGACTCGACGCTCTACTGCTGCTTCTCAAGAGTTGCAAGGGTGCACAATGCACATCACCGTGGGCTTTTCTCCATCCCGGTGGGGACGTCGCAACCCTTAGACAAGCGCTCAATCCGAAGTATGACGCATTCTATGCCGCACAGCCATCAATCTCTTTTGCTGCGTGTGAGGACGGATATTTTCCCGAATACGAGGGACCGCAACAAGGGTATGCGTATCGGACACACGGTGATTGGGTTAATTGGTCATAAATTAAAATGCGACTTGCCTTGGCGTCTTGAGCATTTGCTTTTTCATCAGTTTCCAAAAATTATGTTCGTCTTTCACCCTCACGTGATTGATCTACAAGCATTTACATCAAGAGACAATTGACGGACTGGGCTGTGAGTGGATGGGCAGCGGTACGCTGTAGCCGTTGGTGTTTCTAAAGTGATTGGCCTAGGTATTTCATAGGTATGGTTGAGTTTGGTTTCTAGTTGTAGCACACTTTTTACATGATTTCTAAGAACTGAGATGTATAATCTTCTGAGACTGAAAGCTGATATTGATAAGTCTTACGGATATAATAACTTCAGAGACCAAAATAACTCTTATAGCTAGTCTTCAAGTAATAAATCTTAAGACTCTTAAGTATATTATAGTAATAGAAGTTTAGAAACTTAGTTCTTTGTGAAATCATTGTTTTTCTATGTTGTTACCATGAAAAGCTAACCAAGAGACATTCAGATTGAATATACATCGCTTCAACCATGGAATACCTCCTCAAACCCCTATATGAATATACTGCGCCCAAAGCAGTGGCTGCCTAGGATATCTGTTACGCACAGCCGTTACGGCCTCGTGCAACGCCAAGGCAACAGCCCTATCATTGGCCGGATACGCAGCCGATGTCCTCTGATAGAATGATTGTGCAACTGCAACAGAAACCAGATCATTAGCAGGCCACAAAGCCGCTATCACGTGCGGGAAGCCAGCTACCTGGAAGCCACTGGCTAGGTGGATGACCTCGTCGACGAATTGATCGGCCTTGTTCTCGGCAGTCGAGCAAGCTGAGAGGTACGCGATCCGTGCGCGTCGGAGGGATTTGTGCAGGACATCTCGCACTGTGAGCTTATCCACAACCGGAGAGAATGTTGGGGCGTCTCCTGGTCGCTGTAGAGCAAGGTAGCTGTTGGAAGGGTCCGTAGTATCGGAGTACCCGTGGCATGCGAAATGGGCCATGTCGCAGCGGGGCAGCTGGTCATCGATAACGGCCTGGCGAGTGGGGTGGACTAGAGTTTGGACGACATGCGTGTCACTAACTGCGTTCTTTATAGCGGAGAGTTCCTCTGTCACGTTGTCGAGGGGCTTTACAGGTTGACCGTCTACGTTCGGTGTTGTTGGCATCAAAGCCACCAGAAGCTCTGGCCTGTCCACAGTACGCTGTTGCAATGCCGAGGCGCGGCCCCTCGAATACCCCAGTGCCTTGATTGTCGGCGTGTAGGAGCTGATGATATGAGAGTAGGCGTTGGCCTTGGACCCATGGAGGTGGTTGCCTGCTGCGTGGAATGGAAGCGACGCTGCCAGCCCCGTGCCTATCCACCAAAGCCTAGGGAGGTCGGTCGATGGAGGATCTCTGATCAGGTTGAGAGTTGTCAGTATAGGCTCCACACATTCATCCCACAACCACTTCAAGAAGTCGCGGCAAAGATTGTTCTTTTCTCCCATTGTCTTGCGTGTCCAGGACGTTGGTTCCTTCTCGATCCAGTCTTTGACTCCACGCCTGTTGAGCGATGGCAGATGCAAAATCTGGACACATGCTGAAGACACGATTATTGCGTCGCTTGTCTGGTCAGCAACGTTGACCACGACAATATGGCCATTCGAGGCAAGGGACCGCAGCTCTCCAGCCGTTGGCCCTCGGAAGAAATTCTCCTGGCCGGGTAGACTGCGGATTTCTCGTAAGAGATCATCTAGCTCCTGCACCTGGCGGTCGCGACAAGCGACGAGTGATTCCCGTAATGTCGCATCTTCGCTGTGGATAGGCTGACCGATCTCAATCTGAAGGCGCTCAAACCGGTCTGCTTGCTGTGGGTACGCCGCCCTCAGCTCTGAAACGTCGCTTCGGTCCTCGATCAATAGACCAAGGATTACCCCTCGACCTAGCTCCAGGAGCTCCAGCGCTTCGTCTGGGCTCTTGCCGGCTTGAATAGACATGGCGCAGGTCTCGACAGCAATTCCTGAGAATTCAGCTACTATTTGTTGCTGGTCGTCAGGAGCCAACAAACGAGTGGTACATTTGTGGAGGATATCCAGGGCCTGCGTGCCGAACTCTACGCCTCGGGAATATTCACTACGGTCCCGATATATACCCATGAGCTGGGTGGCGGCGAACATACGGCTCATGGAGTCACCGAGAGGGTTGTTTAGGGCGCTCAAGAAAAGCTCAATGGCCTTATCCTCCCATGGGGGCTCCCAACGCACACCATCGAGGTGCATCTCGAATAGGCCGCCAAAAGAGAATGTATGAGCCAGTCTGTACATATGTGCCAGCTCGGCCACAATCCGAGATCGATGGACATGATTCTCCGGTACAGAGTTGGCTGCATCTAGGACGAACGAGAGGCCAGCGTCAAGGGCACCTCTATCCCGTGTGTGCATTGCTCGCTCTCGCAGCATTGAAGCCATTTTTGCTGCACTTCCCGGCCAGTCCAAGCTTTGCTGTGGAATCCTTTCCACGGCTTGAGCCTGATAATTGATGGCATTGTTTAAGTCATCCTCATGCTTATATACGGAGTATCGGAAACGATATGCGGCTCCAAGACTGGTGAGCCAGATCCCAGGGACGTCGTCTGGGGTCGTTACGGAATGGAGGGCTTCTCCGAGCAAACTTAAGGCTTCATCGAGCAGCGGCCGCGGACTATATCTGGGGAAATTTCTTGCTGACAATTTGAGAAGCTTGACGGCGATGTTGTGTTTCGTGCAGCCTAACATGAACCCCTCTGGTTCATACTCCAAGGCACTTTTGGATACCCTGATCGCCTCACGAAGATCTTCGCTTCTACGCATGCAATCAGAGCGACCTTCCAATCTGTTCCCCAGATTATTAAGAAACTCGATTTTTGACTTCGCGTCTGTCGTCATGGCCACTGCCTCATACGACAGACTGATCGCCAAACTCAAATCGTCCATGTTGGCGTTCCGTTTGGCCCGCATTTGGAGTCCATTAGCATAGGTCTCCAGGATTGCAGCCCTGCGGTCAGCATTCTCGTTGCGGGCTGCATCTAGACACAGTCGACAGCTGTCTATCGACTCATTCACGAGGTCCAGATTGGGAACAAGACCATAGGCTGTCTGAAGATTGCAAGCCCGCTCGAAAAGCCAGAACGGCAGTTCTTTTGCATCGCTAGGTGCGGCTTCTACAGCCAAGCGCTGGTATTCGCACACGTTCCAAAGGTCATTAAAATTTTGCCCATTGTCAAAATGACTTTGATAGAAGGCGCTCAGGAGATGAAGGATCCGTGATCGTCTCAAATTTCTCTCCCGTGGGTCATTGGAGTCGAGTTCTTCTTGTCTCATCGACGGAAGAACGCTGTTATAAATCTTGATCATGAAATTAACAGCTTCAGTGGCATACTCATCGTTTTCAGGGAGAAATTCAAGGCAGTCATTGATAGTTGTGAGGGCATCGATGAATGCCACCGGGCTTAGGGTCGCTCGGCAGTGCTCTAGGAGAATGCTGTGGTATGTCCTTAATATGTGCGAGCGGCGAGGATAGCACCTCAGTGGAGGAATAAGCTGTGCAGAAAAGCGAGCTGATTGAAGCGCTTCGCGCAAGGTTCCCAGCTCATGTGTCTCTTCATATTGATCAAAAAGTTCGACAGCATGCACATGGACAATCTCGGTCAGGATTAGATCGTCGGGCACTTCGACTGTTGTAATTCTTTGGGGTACAACGTGGGAAATTCTGGGGCGGATTCTTAGCCACAGGCTCCGAATGGTCCCAATTATAGCTTGAGTTAGTCGGCCTGGAACCTGCAAGGCTAAGGTTAGTAGGCCCCATATCCTTCGGATAACGTCAAGCTCGGGCATAGTTGACTATACCGCGTCTTGTATGAAGACGCGCTCCACATGATCTTGAGGTAGACGGGCAGTGTATCAGTCCGTCAAATAATGTACAGTATTGGCGCGTGTTCTTGAAAGACGATCTTCGTGAGGGAGTTGCGACAAAGGCAGTTGAGAGTGATCGTACAATGTGAGAACACGGATGATCATCTGCGGAGAACCAAAACCCCAGGGCACATCTGGCAGCAGGAAGACTGATGAATCATGGACTTATACTTAGATTTCGAGCTGCTTCCGTATCGCTAATGATGACCAAAGGGAGGACGTTTATGGTTCGGCGAGGTTTCCTCATAATCTGGACATTGGCTGATGCGTTGTCGTTCGCTCCTTCCTGGACAGTGTGGCAAATCATTTTGAGCAGATCAATTACATCTATACCAGAAGGGCAGTGGTGCCCACAGTCTAGACTATGTTCTATCTTGCTGGCCCGTGGATCGGGTCTCGGCACGCACTCCCTAGATGTTAACCGCCGAAAACGTTGGAGGTCCAGCAAAAAAGCAAAACTGGCCTCTGGTCTGCCCACGAGCGGTATTTTGGGACGTGGTGTGCAACTATACACGCCACCTCACATATTTAATTAACATACTTTCCCGCTTGAAGCCTTAAGACGGCATAGAAGGCGATGAAGCCTCTGGTGGGACGTTTCGATTACTGAGGTGAGATATGCTGCTTGAAATAATTGAACGTCCTGATGCCTCGTGACGCCCTTCTTCCTCAGGGCTTTTTGCCCATGGGATCCGTTAAATTAGCTCGTTTCCTAGTCGACCTCGATGAGCCCCAGGCAGATATTCACGACCCCGACATCGATGTCGACCCTGAAAAGCACATCATTGTGTCCGAAAATCAGAATTATACCGGGAACGACCGGGCTGACTCTACTCATCGCTTCCGAGCAGCCCTTCCGAGCTTGTTGTCCGGCTCAGTCGAGAAGATGGTGGGCGCAACAACCAGAGTCGACACCAGAAGTGTCAAAACGTACCAGCTCTCAAAACCTGCCACCTTCTTCAAACAGGCTGTCAAGCAACCTGAGACACGCTCGTATATCCAAGAGCAGCACGATAATGGCTTTTCCAATGTGTTTTACATCGTGGGTTACATTACCATGTTGGACACCAAGGTGCTTGTTGGTGAAGGGCAAGGTGCCGATCTCGCGGCTCGAGCACAGCTTCCTGTGAAGGAAATCCTCGCATCAGGTGGTGTCGCGCTTCCAGTTGGAGGCATTACGGACCCTGAACTCTCTGCAGAGGTTAAGAAATCCCGAGACTCCAGAGCTGAATTTGTGGCCAGCGGCGAGCGTGTTTGTGCCTTTCAATATCGCAAAGTGAAATTCAAGTGGTTCTCCAGCAAGAATATTGACAAGGCTACACTTGACACGGCTACGAGGTGGCACACAAGGGGTGTACAGCGTGATATGAAACCTCCGGAAGAGCTCGAGGAGGACGATGTGCTAGAAGTTGAACTTGAGGATGATAGTGAATTATCTGACGAGGATAACGTTGATGGATGAATAAGTGCGTGTCGGTGAATTGCTTAAAGAGACTCGCGTGTTGAAAATATTTTAAACAGGAGTTAAGGCTATTGACAAAGGAATATTTAAGGATAATTGTTCTTACAAGCCTTTGGGAGACCAAAGCAGCACCGAAAAGCGATGATTGTTTGCTTTATCACGCCAGGCATTATTAACGGGAGGAGTCCAGGCTACTGAACTCATAGCAGATATACAGGAATAAGACCTGATCTGATAGGCTATATGGCTACCCTGCGCGAATTGGCACACTTCCTTTAGAAGGGGAACAAGAACGTTTGTTCAGCTTGGTTGCCTTTGGTCCTAGGGAATGGCCCTGAGCGATGACGCAGAAAGGCTCAGAATCTAGCGCTCTAACTTTCTGAACCAGGAGGTTAAGCCGACCCTTTTACTTTTTGCTATCCGCCCTTGAATAAAGTGTTTCCTGCAACACGTCTTGGTTTATTCTTGCATTCCTCGGCAGGAACCGATAAGTGTCGCAGGTGGGGCGGTGTTGATCCCCCGAATACTGAAGAAAACCGAGGCTACCCTAGAATGGCCAATAGAGAGGAGAAGGCTTAATATTCTGTTTGTATCTTCTCTGGGGTACTGGTGAATGGTCCAAGGTCCCCGACTGCCCGATTCCCGAGTATACACGGTAATCTTTCCTGCAAGGTCACAATTATAGGATTCCATAAAGGTCTTCCACGGTGCTTTATTTCGTGCAACCGGATCCGACCCTGCAGCCTCTCCAGCTTCATTGATTTTCGAGAGAGTTAAAGCTCGCGGTGGACCACGGAGGACCTTACGACGGGGCTCTGGGAAGAATGGGGATGCGCCTCTTTTCGTCAGGCATCCACTGGACTGAGGAGCCTCTTTGCCCTTTTTATCGCTTCTCGGAGGTGATGGCACAGGAGGCAAGGATTTATTGATTGGCGGGTTTGAGACAAAGAACCCTATCCAATTCGATTCTAGTACTTCGCTTGTCCGAATTAGACTTTATGACTGCAATAATACAGCGAGCTGGATTTCGAATGCCATGCTGTATGGAGTGGCTCATACATGTCGTGGGCTCTATGTTTTTATCCTGATTAGCATCAGATCGCCGCAGAAGTATTGAAGCGTTCTACGGGCGCTAACCGGATAGGGAACTAGACCCCGCTCTGCTGCGGTTTGAGGCATATAACCACAGTTGATGATAAGTATCATCGCCGCTGCTCTAGTTTTAGTCTGCAGAGAAACTAACTTGATTGTAGTCTGCCCCCATAATGCAGAGGGCATTATTCACCGAAAATGAACTCCGACTGGCAACGGAGCGGCGCCTGAAATACCTTGGAACCGCGAAAGTTCCTATTAATTAGATTTAAGTTGATCCTCCGCTGCCTAGAGACCTGGATCCTAAAAATTTGAACCGGGATGATGTTGCGTTGCATGTTTCTGTTAGACAGTCCACTAGGGGTAAGTGCATGCTTGCCTTTCATGCTGTGCTGGAGGTGACTGATAGGCGGTTTAGAAGATTATACGCCCACCGTTTCGTCGGGGATTGAGCGGCTGCGTCAGGTTTTGGAGCTGGGACGGACGGAGAGCGAGGGCGTCTATGCGCGTGCGGTGAATGGATCGCTGCCTGTTGTTGTGCATGCTTTGAACCAGATACATATCCTTCTCGGTTCTTTCTGCTGGTATTGCTAACGATGACTGGTGCGTGGATTAGGACGATATCGCGCAGCTTGTACGCATAAAGCGCGATTTCCAGGCTGCTCGTCTCGTGATCTACGGCGGTCATGGCGCTCCTTTTGTAAGAATCCTCGATTCCTTCGGTGATTGGAAGGTTGGTATTCTTGGTATTGACATTGGTAATTTGTAGGTAGCCTCCCACCTTGCCGGAACAGACATCCCCGTCATTCTGACCGGCAACCGCGGCGCCCCGGACCGCTGAGAGAAGAAGGATATCCCCGTCGGCCCGCCGCTGAGTGTCAGCGCCGCGAAGATACTTCTTGGCGCTGGCGTGAAGCTTGGGCTGGCGATCATGGAGGATTCTGGGATCCATGCGCTGGCGCAGCATGCGAGGGAGGTGGGTAAGCAGGCGGGGTTGTCGGATTGGGAGGCCATCGCGTTGATGTCGACGAATATTGAGGAGGTTCTTGAAATTCGGGGGAGGAGGTGGGCTCGGAGGGTGCGTATGCTGGGGACTTCGTGGTGTGGCATGGTAATCCCTTGCGGGGGAAGGGGTCGGTGGTCGTCTCGGTGCTGGAGGGTGGGGAGGTGGCGGATTGTTGGCCGGATACTGTTGATGCGGTGCTGTGATTCAAGTAATTCTCAGAAGTCATAAGTTTGATGGTGTCGGAAATGTTCAGATTCAACTTTAGACAATAGATGCTGCGTGTGTAGTGTCATGCAGACTAGGTTGATTTTGCTGACAGCGTGCCCGTACAGACCAATATAAAACAATCGACTCTCTAAAACAATGCTGAACAGGATAATCAGAACTCCAAGCGCCAGACATCATCCAGCCGCTCGTTCGACTCCGACAGTCCTCCATGAACCACGATACTCGATCGTCCCTCCCCCGAGACAACAACATCGGCATCGAACCAACCCCGTGGCGCAGGCGACTCACCTTCGACCTCAACCTGCGCCCACCGCTGCAACTCAATATCAAAAACCCACATATCGCCCAGCATCTTCCCGGCCCCCTGGTGGCCCAAACTGCTCGGATCATGCTCTCCGAACACGGTCACCAAACACGGTCTCCCCGCCACTTTCACCGCAAGAAGACACCCCACACTCCTGGGAGTAGGTCCGGACATTCCATCCGCCGAATAACTAACGGTGCTCCACGCATCCGCGACGGGATCATACACGTCCATCGCACCGCCTTGCTCCCTCGTGCCATCGAACCCGTTCATCCGGTACACCTTCCCCTCTGCGTAGGCGATTGACGCACCGCCGCGTTCCGGGGGCGGGGCGGGGGCGCACTCGCGCCATTGCCGGGTGGCGATGTCGAAGGCCCACAAATCACGCAGCCGGCCGGTCGGCGGACACCCCGCGTGCAGGTAGATCGTGTCCGTGCCGTTGTTGGTGAGAGTGTGGTAGCTTCGGCCAGCCGGGAAGGGTGATTCAGGGTTTGCCGGGCAGAGTTGGGTCCAGGTGTTGTTGGTTGGGTCGAAGACCCAGAATGCTCCGGACTCTTCGATGGGCTCCAAGGCAATGCCTCCGCGGCCGGAGAAGATGTAGATCTTGCCGGCTAGGGTTGTGGATGCGGATCCGACGCGGGGTTGGGGTGTCGTGGAGGGGCTTGCGATCGCGGTTGCGGCTGCGATTGTTGGGTTTGCGGGTGTAGCTGGTTTGCGTAATTAGTGGTGACTTTCTCTCCAAGGATGGAGAATTCTTACTGGGGTTGAGAGCGAGATGGTAGACAGTTGAGTCGACCGGTTCGCGCGGCCGGAGCTCGCCGCCGTAGATGTAGGCGTTGTTGCCCAGGACGGTCAGGGTCTGCGATGACCTCTTGAGAGAGGTATCGGACAGGAGTTTGGTCCAGACAGCGAGTACCATCGTGATCGTATGCTGAAGATAGAAGGTGTGATTGAAGGGAAGGCGTGCAGGTTGACGATTGAGCGATGGGCAGGGAGGGAGTTAAGTACACTTCTACAGCCATGCGCTCACTGCTGGATGTGGGTCTGGTCACTCTGTATCGACGTAAAGCTGATACGGGCGTAAGATATATCCACATCAGGTTAGAGCTGTTTCTTGGCACCAGCACGAAGAGCAGTCCGGTATTCGTGTGTATGCAAACTTTATCCTGGGAGTCATCATGGGAGTGGGATCTTCTCAATCCACGCCGTGCCATTTGTGTCGTGCCCGCATAATACCACATCGATTGGGTTATCGATATCTAACAACTTCAATTTCGATATGTCTTCAGGAACAGCTGGCAATGCGAGTGTCACCGCTCGCCCCTGAGACCAGTAAGTCGAGCTTTGCGAGATCATGCGCTTGACAAGGTGGGTAGGGTAGTGCGAGTGCTCGAAGCCTCTGGTCTTTCTCTCCAGTCCCGGCCATACTATGTTGAGGATGTAGTCAAACAGAGTATCCGATCGCCATAGAAAAACCAATTGAAGAAGCGTCTCTGTGAGACTAAATGTGTAGACATCTGCCGTACTCGACGCAGTGAAGTCGAGCGTGCCTACAATTTGGCACACGCTGTGAGCGAGCTCGGTAAGCTTAGCTGCAGTGTGCGACGTTTCATGAACAGGTTGTCCGTCGAAGCTGCAGGCACCATGAGCCTCTTCGAACATCATCTCGCATAAGTTGCTGTAAATGGCGTTCATCGCATCTCGATGAAAGCGAAAAGCCGAATAATTAAAATATGCGGAATTGTCACTCATGCGTTGTTGTTGCGGTGGTGTCCCAATAGGGCTCATAGGCAGTTGGCTCTCATTGATACGAGACTTCCAGACCTCGAGCCTTTCCATCTGAACGGCCAACAACCCGATCAGGTGCGAGCCTCGCACAAAGCCCTCCTGGGCTTCAGCATACTCATCCGGTGCAGAATTTCTGCCCAGCATCTCGTTCAAAACTTTGTGCGCGACACTGCCAATATCCCTTGACAACTCGGGAATTTGACGACTACCGGCCACTGAGCGGAACACAACGAGGCGTGAGCGGATCTCCATGGTCTTGATCAAGATATCATAGATAAGGTCATCCGTGCTCATCCCCAGAACACAGCTCAGATACAGATGATCGGTTGGATCTGGGAAGCAGTTGGGGCCGAACGAGCTGATCCCTTCTCCCTCCAGAAGCAATGATGGCGGTTTTGATAGTCGATGGGAGACACACAACCGGTGCCACATCTGTAACGCCCCAATCCCGTCCACTGAGCGCATTATCTGCTCTCTGTGCTGTGAGACGAAGCGAAGGGTGTCCCAGACTGCCAGACGGAAATTCAAATGATTCGTCGAGGCGTGGTGATAGTACGCAAGAAGGACATGGGCTCTGAGAATGGCAGCCGCGTTTTGTGCAAGAACTTCTGAATCCGTGTAGCGGCAAAGTTGAAGTGTGTGGTCATGGTAGTTTCGTGCTTGGCGATGATGCAGGGGATTGACACGTGGACTGAAAATCGAGCTTCGACCATCGCCTGCTGCGATCCGACTCTGGACTTGGGTGTTGAGCATTGACAGATTTGAGGCGGATATGCAGAGCGCGGCTGCACGTAAGTACGGAGAAGTGAATAGTTCTTCTGCAGGTGGCATCGATGAAGCGGGTAGCAGGTGGCGTACATAAGACTGGAAGTGAGTCAAGTAGAACGACTCAAGACTATCCCCAGACCCCAGAGACGTGGCAATTTTAGCTGGAGTCAGGCGATTGCAGCGATAGGAAGATCGACCGGGCGTCTTGTCTGATGCAGTGGCGTCTTCAATCGATGTAGGTGTCATGGAAAGGCCGATAGTGTTTCCCCGGAAAGCATCACCGTTGACATGTCGGAAGGTCAAGTCTAGACCATAGTTGCATTCCAGGGATAAACGGACACAGGCACGGCAGCGAGGCTTGGCTTCATCGCACTAACAGTTATGTCAGACGAAGAGTTTGCGCAATGGAGTTTCAGCAGACCAACCTTCTTACCCCTCCGCCGGCATGGTTTGCACCCTGTACGCTTGCGAGTGATCTTGCGTTGGACAGTGGTATTGGTTACTTTACCACTTGCAGGCATGTTGGGTGTAAATCTGCTGGTATTGTTGTCTGTATTGCATCTCTCAAGCTGGCAGGGAAGTGTTGCGTGACAGGATTCGGAGGGCATGAGAAAGTTCCAAGTTTCAAGTATTAGGAAGTTACTGTACGGCTCGGTTCCAGTACCATGGCTCCACCTTCCTTCGGGAGTTCTTTACGCGTACACGTTCGCTCTAACGCAATGGGGAAATACCTACGAGCATTACGATACCTAGGATACAAACATACATCAGCACATAAAGTGAGAGCATTTGCAGGTCTTGCTAAGACTTTGTAGAATGCTTGCAGGGGTATTTACATAGCATTATCCCTGTCAAGTGCTCTGGGTCGTACAGCCTAAGGCATAATTGATCTAACATTTGCCTAATGTCTTAGAGAATCATATTATGCATACATTTGTTCTGGATGGAAAAGATTATGATCTCTAGGCTGTTAGTGGATGTCCTATCATCGAACAAGACAACGCTGGATACCAAGGAATACAGATAATCACCACTTCAGACCTAAAGCAACCTCTTGCATCGAACGAAACCGCAGACCAATGAGCCCATAATCGATGTCGAGATGGTACTCCGTGGGGCCCCCGGGCATAATGGGGTGATAACCAGCGATGAGCAAGTCCTCTCCGGTCGGCACTTCCCGATAGAAGCGCACGCGGTCATTCCGGTATATCACTCCGAAGTATGCAGAGGCAGTGGGGCGAGCTCCCCTCATCCTACGCATGAAATCGATGAGGTCCCTCTCTAGATGCTCCCAGTCTGGTTCAGTGCCGTCGGAACCTTCCACACGTTCCGCGGTCACCGTGCATCCGATTGCGGGTCCCCTTGTGCCGAACAGGTACAATCGATTGCAGATTGAGTTGGATTCGGCCATTTGCGGTAGGAAGAAGTTGGTACCTAATATTCTTGTTAGGTGTGGGGAGGCTAAGCGTCGACTGCTATATGTAGTCGTGTGTCAACCTATATATTCCTGTAGTGGAGATGGTTTAACTGATAGGTGTCGGTTCCGGACCAGTCAATAAAAGGCGGTCTCCATCAGAAGGGCAGCCCACGCCCATTGCTCCGTAGTCCTACATCTCTGACACACGGACAGAGCTTCACCTAGTTGATAGTAGAGCCTGGTCGTATGAGTTCCGCCAGATAAATGTCAATTTGAAACATGCCTTGTCGGCGCTGATAGCGTTCAGTAGAAGGCTCGACATATCCACCTTGTTCGTGGATTTCTGAACATAAAATTATCAAGCTGGGAGCCATAGGGCTCTATGGACGGGCCGCATCTTCGATGCCGTTGATAGCATCAAACACACAATTAGAACTTATCAAACTTTGTATTATGACGAGACAGAGCTAGTCCCAGTGAATTTGCATATTCGGTCAGGTATCACAATATACAGGGGGATAGTGACAATCTTTCGACGAAGATCGAACGCGCATGGCAATTACTCCCACATTTGATGCTGTTTTCCTGGCAGTTCAATCCGGTGGTGCGGCGACGTCGCAGGGTCACGATCAAGTATACCGGGCAAATATCGGATCTCACCGCTGTGGCCGTGGTCGCACCCCCCCCCTGAGAAACTCTGAGCACGTGAGGTGTCTCTCAATTGCCTTTCTCAAAGGGAGAGTGCGTGGCTTTATCTTCGTGGTCAACCCACTGCAGCTGTCGGCGTTGGGTGACATCTTGACGTAATAGGTCTGTGGCAAATTAGGCTAAATGTCGTGGGCGGTGATATCTCAGGTCCCGAGCCAGGGATTTGAATTACGGAATTGGGATATTCTAACAACGTCTCAGCGATGTAGGTATGAGCAGTGTCACAGACATATCCGCGGTGGCATATGCGTCCGTGACCCAGAGGTGATTCTGACACGGCATGCAAGTCAGTTCGAGTTAACAACCGGGGAGTGATCCTAAAATGATTTCGATTGAGGGAAATCAATTTGCCAGGGAATGGCCGAATGCATAAGTACCGGAAATGCATAAGTACCGGACAAGTTCGTTGTAGGCTGTTAAGGGGTAGACTCGGCTACCGTCATTGTGCGGCAGGGAAGGAATCAAGGCAAGCCCGCAGGTCGGCGGGACCGATGAGGACCTTGCGGAAGATGGGTGGAGCTCAGCCCTATAGGGCGTCCGTTCATTCCATGTGTGTGTCCTTGCCTGCATCTCCTTCTTGGCACCACGCAGGATTCGCTTGAGTTCGTATCGCTCTAGGTATACGATGAGCTGAACAGACCATAATGAAAATTCTCCGGAGAAAAACTGACCAGATCAATCAACCGCTTCAAGTTCATTTTGGTCCGGAGATGACAACCACGTAGGGCTGGATTTCGTTCACGAACTGAACCCCTGTGAGTGGGCCAGGCAGCAGAGACAAGACATACTCCACTCAGCTCCCAGTCAATAGTCATCGAATCCGAAGCTGACTCGGTAAGATGTCGGGGATGTCCCCACATGGGGTGGCAGCGTGAGGGCATTTCCCGTCGACCAGACCACCCCGACACGTTGAGAGACCCGAGCAGACTGTCAAACCCTCCATCCAACAACCCCAAGGTCCTCAATATAGACAGTTATAAGGCGAACACCATCGACACAGAGCCATCGACAATGAGCAGCACCGCCCAGTTCTCCCCCTCGCGATCATGTCCACCTTCAACGCCTCCGAAGTGAACCTCCACACGGCAAGCAAAGAGGAGGTGCTCTGCTACTATGCCATCTCAGACAACGAGTACAACGGGCACCTGGGGGCGCGCGTCTCGTCCATCTTCGTGATCTTGTTCGTCTCCACCGCCTTCACCTTCTTCCCTGTGGTGTCTAAGGGCATGCCCAGCTGGAAGATCCCACACAACGTCTACATCTTCGCGCGCTACTTCGGCACGGGCGTCATCCTGGCCACGGCGTTCGTGCACCTGCTAGACCCAGCCTACAAGCGCATCGGGCCGAAGACCTGCGTCGGGGTCTCCGGCTACTGGGGCGAGTACTCGTGGTGCGCGGCGATCGTGCTGGCAGCGGTGGTGATGATCTTCCTGCTGGACCTAGCAGCGGAGGTCTACGTGGAGCAGAAGTACGGGATCGAGCGCGACGAAGGCGCGACGCACGCCTTCATCGCCCACGAAGAACCCTACCCATCCCAGTCCAGCGCGCACGCCGCCGACCCAGAGGGCCACAGCCACCGCAACCGCATCCACGCCGAAAAACCTACCCCCTCCGCATCCGCGTCCGACCACGGGTCCACGGCGGACTTAAACGAGCGGTCCTTCCGGCAGCAGATCGCGGCGTTCCTGATCCTGGAGTTCGGGATCATCTTCCACTCGGTGATCATCGGGCTGAACCTGGGCGTCACCGGCTCCGAGTTCGCCACGCTCTATCCCGTACTGGTCTTCCACCAGTCTTTCGAGGGCCTGGGCATCGGCGCCCGTCTCTCCGCTATCCCCTTCGCCCGCCACGCCAAACTGCCCTACCTCCTCTGTCTGGCCTACGGCCTGACCACCCCGATCGCCATCGCCATCGGCCTCGGTCTGCGAACCACCTATAACCCCAACTCCAAGGAGTCGCTGATCATCCAGGGCGTCTTCAACGCCGTCTCCGCGGGGATTCTGATCTACAGTGCGCTGGTCGAGTTATTGGCACGGGATTTCCTGTTTGATCCGTGTCGTACGCGCCGCAGGTCCCGGTTGTTGTACATGGTGTTCTGCACCTTGTTGGGGGCTGGGATTATGGCGTTGATTGGGAAGTGGGCGTGATCATGTATTGTGTTGTCTAGCACGAAGACGAGGATGTGGTACTGCGTGAACAAAAATTCATCTTAGTCATTGATAATTGGCACAATCTCTTGACAAGCCTAGCACTGTATCTTATTGCTCACTACTTACCTAATTGGATGTTATGTCCGGCTAACCCGGCTAAACAATTACCAGTAAGCCAATCAACAGTGCCGACCGGCAAATTGAATGGGTAGAAACACAAGGTAAAAGCGGAGGCGAGGTTCTCGCAAGATACAAAAAGTATTCATAAGCGCATACTGCATTAATATATCATCAAAATTAGAATATACAACAAGGCCCACTCTGTACAGCACCACGCGACGACAGTGATCCGGCCACCAAACGTCATACCCCTCCCTGCATACAAGACCATGGACATTAGGGATATCTATTTGCGTGAAGAACGAGATGAGAGTCTCTAGCAGCAGCACTCGCAGCATTCGAAGCAGCAGAGACCGGCGCAACTTGATTTGTTGTTAGCTTTGACTGATTGATTGACTGGGAAGGAGAGGTGGGAAGGGGACAAGAGACTTACACTCCGCAGCAGACGTCTTCGCCTTCACCTCCTCCACGGAGGTTCATTTGCATTTGTTCGGGTTGGGACTGTCATGTGGGTGTTGGGTTAGTTGGGGGGATGAAGGGGAGGGGGATCGGGATGGCAGAGAAAACATACGGGCTGGCCGGTGACGACACGCTCGGTGACGGGCGCCTCAGGGCCGGAGGGCTGCTGCATGGTCACCGTGTTGGCATCCCAGGTGGGCTGCTGAGTGGGAGCGGACTCCTTGTTGGACGACTTGAACCAGCTGAACATTTTGAGACTGTGGTGGTGGTGGTGGAGGTGGTAAATGGGAAAGCAGAAGCGTGACGGGTCGCTGGGTATAAGGAGCTGTACTGATGGTCGGGTATCGATTTGCGGATTTATGAAAGGAAAAGAAAAAACACTGAGAGAAATCGCGCCGTCAGCAGTGGAATCCACCGCTTATTTATCTTTTCTTCCCTCAATCTTGGGGTCCAGGGGCTTAGACCCAGTGCACAGCATCAGCCCTACAGCACAGGCGGCAGCGAAGCGCCAGCAATTCGCTATGACTTCATCATCGTTGAGTGAGGAAAATACGCAGGATGATCTCTCGTCCAGGGCATTTGACGTCAGAGGGTCAGCCCTGCAATTTGCTTAACGAGGGAAATTGTTGTTGCGGTGAGTGGGCGCAGGGCTGACGGGGATGTGGCAATAGAATGTTTTCCCCTCTGAAGCGAATTATCCGAGACACGGACAGCGACAGCAGGCGAGGCAGTGTCGGCTGCACGAGAGAACTGAGTGCTTGTAAATTCTAGGCAACCTCATTTTGGGCTCCACCCACCGCGCATTTTGGCCTTTCCCGCCTAAGCTTTGGTCAAGCTTTGCTTGGAGGCTTGGCCAATCAACGACTGCTGTTTGATGAAGGAGCATTGTGGCTGCTTTCAAAAGAAAAATAGATGCCTCTGGGGACTGGCGGTGCCTGCGTGGCCCCTGAGTGGTTACTGCGTATATAGAGTGGGTTTGTTGACAGCTGACTGGCAATTGCTGTGTCGCACTGCCGAGGATTTTATTCTTTGTGATTGACGGCTCAGCCGTCTTTATTTAGGCACCGATGGATTCACAGTTGCACAGTCCGGTCGGTTCGCGGACTTTGTTGCACGGTCGGAAACCCGGAACTCGAAAGCTTCGCCTCATTTATTCTGCTGTCTTTAGCCTCGTAGATCAAACAATCGGCTTAAGTGCTACGAGGGGCACCATATTAGATGGATTTGCGCGGTTTTGGAACCGAAATGATTGACAGTCTGACAGCCCAGCCCTACCTTCCGGCGTCACACGGCACCACGAATGACAATTACACTCAAAATCTTTTCTTAGCGCAGCCACGTCACTCGGAATTCTCATCACGCATTGCCCCTATAACTAAGCATTTGCCTGGCAGGTTGACTCTCTACACGTCCACCGCGGCCCCCAACTCCCGCGCCATAAGCTGCTGCTTCTCCGACAGCCCCGTCCCTGAGCCCCGACAACAACCCGCCCCCCGCGCACATCTCTTCGTCCGCTTCCCCCGGCACCGCGCAAGAGCACAAGCCACGATCTTCCAGACCACAACACCGGTCGTACAAACCACCAGCCCAGCCAGTATGCCCAGCAACGCAGGCACCATAGCCGGAACGATCAATCGCCAGAAATTCGGGTTCGGTCGGTGATGATGATGCGCGTAGTAATTGATGGACGGACCCGTCAGCTCGAACGGGGACTTCCCCTTGGAGTGGGGGCCGGTGCTAGGCTTCTCGCCGCACAAGGCGTCGGCCATCGGCTGAGCCTCCGAGTTCTTGCGATGGCCTTTCCTCTGCTCCTTGCTCCAGGTCTTGTACTTGTTCGCCAGCATCTTCCAGTACTGCGCGTGCCAGACCTTGTTGCCGTGGCCGTGCGATGCATGGTAGTCCGGGAACGTCTCGACGATGATCTGCGAGATGGTCAGGTCGTCCTCGGCTGAGTCGCGCGACAGCCGCACATGGACCACGTTCGAGGTCGCCGGCCGACCGGTCGCATCGTAGAATCTGACTTCCACGAAGTACAGGTCGCTGACTTGCGAGTCCACCTTCGGCGGGAGGTATTCGATGTCCACGCCGTAGGTCAGTTGCATGGTCTCGATGTCGTCGCCGTCTTCTGTGGCGTGGTGCTTCTGGGCTGGTAGCTGCATGGGATACCCCGCGGGGAAGACGCTGACGTTGTTGACGAGGAGAGCATTTGCCTCGGTGCGGAGATGCACGGACTAGAGTATGCTTTAGTGTCTGATTTACGGGTCAAGAATGAAATAGGTCTGGTTCACGTACGAGAAAGGCCGTGGAGGTCTCATTGTCTGGTAACTGGCTGTTGTCGTCAAGATGGGGCGGGAGACACGGTAGACGGATCTCATGTCCGGTCACTGTGGGAAAGGAGTGGCGGGGAGTTGGTCTGTCAGACAGTTGTTCGTGTAGAGCATCCCCTGTCTCGGGGACTGGTGAGGCCAAAGAGCCGACCAGCCAGATACTGGTGGCCAGAAGTGAGCGAAGGTGCATTGGAAATTGGACAAATAATATAAGATGTATTAAGCAGTGAACGAGCGACACGGGGTCAGTGAGACACAAGAGTGATGGAAATTATTCGGTGGATATCAGCATCAAAATAAGACTCGAGCTAGCGAGGTAATATTTCTCTTTGGTCAGGGTGATGATATAGTTATGAACGGTGCCGGAGGGTGGAAAGGGCGGGATGACGAGAACAGGGCACTGCCAATGAGACCACTGGCAATAATAGGCAGCCATGTAACAAGTCCACGAGAGCGAAAGGGTATCCAGCCCTATAAGGGACCGTCCCGACCCCGCGGAGGCCGAGGGTCTACTGTACGACTGACCGCGCAATCGTTCCCCTTTCCGACTACACTATCTCAACATTGCTTGCAACATGAACACGCATGCTTTTGGGAGATTCAACCCTCTTATAGCAAAGACCACTTCTGAATATCTTCATTCCGACCGTTCTCCGATTCAATCAATTCAAACATTGCTGCCTATCGCAGCCACAGCATTTGTTCCGCTCGGAACTCGTCCGACGCCCGACCAAAAAGGGTAAAAGTGGCTGACCCGCTGAGAAATTCAGTGGAGAGATGAAGGCCCCACAACCGCGCAGTCATCTCTAGATTCAGATTGATGGGATTCGCAAAAGTAACGCTTTGGTCAAGGAGACGCGTGCTGGACGACACACATTTCCGGACACTATGGAATAATACGTAACGGTCGTGAAATGCAATTCATGTAGCATTGTGTGGCATTCAGTTCATGGTGAAACGCAGGTTAGTGAGCAACCTTCTCGCTCTCGTTCCCCGCTGCAACGGTCTCAACATCACAGTCGAAGCTTAGTGGGGGCCACACGAAAGCAAGAGGCCCAGTGATCATTTCTATTATCTGATCCATGGACCATCCGAGACTAGATCAATGATATGGAGTACAAGATCAACCATTGCGAAGCTAGAAGCGGTGAACAAAGCTTGAAATAAGCTCGCTCGATTGACTTGTAACTGTTCGCTGCTACACTCTTGGCTTGAGCGCAAGAGAATTGCCAGTATGCCACAAAATCAATCCACCCCAAATCGGAATAGCTCTTGTGTCACACACGATAGAGTGCCAAACACATTTCATGAAAAGGGACTAGCTTAGGCAGCAGAGTCATTTATAAACAAGACCCTTCAAATGATCATCACTCTCGGCTAATATAGCCTGAGGAACAAGACCTGAGGAAAATCAAGAAGGCCTACAGAGTCTGGACTGCGCGACGCCCGTGAGATAGGATTTGCCGTGTCTCAGCAACGAGACTTGGCAAACAATCTATCCACATGCTCACTCCGTCACCACGTCGCCGACTTGGCTTGATTGTGAGATGGAAGAATCATAAATGACTGATACACTGAGCTCGAAACATTCGGGGGAGAGATCCTGGCCAATGTGGCGAAGGGCAGAGGCCACTCCACCAGTAAGCTGACAGTGTCTGGCGCTGATCGAGCATTAATCCTTAAGATGGTCCCCCAGCCAGTTTGTGTTGCCTCAGTCGGTTCCTGCTTCTTGTGGACTCTCTGGTATTTGACCCTTGAACGAATCCGCGATGACAAGGGACAAGGACGACTCAATGGCGTCCATTGAGACCCAAGGCAGGCGCTGAGCAACGTCATGCAGACAGAGAATCATCCCGTCGATCGATGTCTTACGCAAATGCCCACACTTGACGTCCCACATTGTGCTAGGCTACCATCAAACCATGACATTTCCGATGCAATGTAACCTCGATCTGGGAAGTGGCAACGTCACGGATGCTCCTTTTTCTCCCGGGCCAATGGCACGTTCATAGCTGCTAAAATAGTGGAGAGGGACTGGACCCTTAATATAGCTCATGCTGTTAGACTTCTTCTGGAGCATCTTGAAGGCCGTAGTGTTGTTAACATCATTCTTTGGGGCAGATGAATAGTGCACACGTCTGCCGGCTGCAACAGGATGATGATTTGTCCAAATGCTGAACCGCCTCATGCATCTCATAGGTTATGGCTGGCGCGAAGCTACCTTCCATTCGTTATCGTCATCAATCAAACAAAGCCCCATCAGCTCCTCTCTGTGGCAACTAGACCTTCTGCCTATGGCGATCTCGTGGCGGTACAGCAATGGAAATAGCAAACCTCGCTAATTCCGACGAAAGATCGGTTTTGGTAGGTAGCTCGTTTGATGCAGCCCTTCTTTCTTACAACCACACTGTCAGATACAGCCTTGCTCCATGTTCACGACTAATCAGCCTGCAAGTTGATCTATATCACTTGGGGGGAGTGTTTTGCTTGCCGTCTAGTTGATTTTGCCTACGGCTTGGTCTAGCAAGCCCCTTCTTTAGCAGTCCCAAGTCTCCGTCTTATGGCTTGTGGTCAAGCTGTTTCTCCAACCACTGTTCGTTTTCGGCCGCGCAATGCACCTAGAGGCGCTTTAGCTTTCTGCAGTTTCTCAAGAGACTCAATAGATTGGGCCAACTGTTTTCGCATACAATGCGCAACTTGAATGTGCTTAGCAATGCCCGAATTTTGGCCATGATGGAACATGTTTCTTTTGGCGCCTTTCTGCTAACCCTGGATATGTGGTGCTAGTCCGTCCGATGGCTGATCCGGGAATTACTTCTTCATGCCAGGGGATGTCACACAAAGCAAGCAACTCTTTCCATGACATTAGCCACGCTACGTTCATCCTGAACATCTCCAATCATGTGAGTCTTACAATCTTGCAATGTGATTTATAGGTCGGCTCGCCTCATACTATTTCACGATGTATTTGGCAGACAAGATCTCTTGAATTGCTCTCACACCTGATCCTCACCAAGACACTGCACTGTATCAACGTGCTACCACCTCCCCACAGATCCGCAACACTTCAAGCGGATTCATACAGCCATCCCTCCTCTATTTCGCCTCGCGTCCTTTCTCCGGATCCGCCAACATCTGTGCATTCCACCGCGGATCCTCCGACTCATTTACGGGCGCCCAGCCCAGTTGAATCTACCTATGAATCAGCACGTCGCCACGCCTCAAGCCATCACGCCTCGGGAGGGAATCTACCCACCTGCATAACCTTCTGATCCCAATCCTTAGTGAAACTCTTCAACTTCCCACCGGAGATCTCAAAAATCGCCGCGGCGCTCCACCGCGCCCGCTTCGGGGGATCAGATTTCTCAATGCCCTTGTAGGGCGCGCCGGAGTGCGACCCCTCAGCGGTATACCGGAGCAGGACGTGGCCGTCCTTGGCCCACGCCTGGTCATATCGCACGATGTGCAGATCGTTGACGGACTTCATCACCTGCGCGTGCGAGTCCGCGTAGTCCATCGGCGTCGCGCAGCCCGGGAATGTCGACGGGCTCCAGAACCAGCTGTCCTCCGTGCATAGGTGGCGCACGGATTCGGCGCCTTTGTTCTCGGTGGGGGAGTACGCGATTGCCATGTAGTTTTTTGCGAGGGCGATGTTGCGCTGCGTTGTGGGGGAGGGATGGCTTAGGTTAGTCATGAGTGTTTTGGTTATGGTGGGCAGATGCTTGCTGGGTATGGGGTTTGTGGTCGGTGGATGCGCGGTGGGACTATACCTCTTCTTCTGGGGTTTGTGATGCAGAGATTATGGTTGGTGGTTGGGTGCTTGGGGACATCTTGACTATGCTGAGATTAGTTGAATTGTTCTTATGAGAGGAGTTGATTGCTGAGATGATTGATTGCTGAGGTGAGTTGGTTTATGCGCATAGCCAGGAGATTGTGTGTTTACATATGAAGTGGTTATTGGGTGTTTTGGTAGCAGGAGGTCCTGGAGTCATTATGACGTGGATGATAATACCTTCAACTTTAGAATTGGAGCACAACAGCTGTATTTGAGCCAATAATGAATAGCTTTCCTTGTGCTGTGTACCGTCGCCACATCTAAACATTGCAATTATCTTGTTCTCGTGGCTTTGATCCTGATTGTGGAAACAAGGATTTTCCGACCTTTTGGATATACTTCCTTGCGGGATACTGAAGACGATGGATCCGCTTGGCATGCCATCGCGATTTGCATCGTGTCTCATGATAGCTTTCTCGTCGGTTGCTAATGTCCGAATTCTACTTCTATACTATATTAGATAAGAGCAATGTGGTGCGATTTTCCCCCCTTGCTCAACAATGTTCCTGGTTTTTTTTTACCGGGTGCGTAGAGATATCTTTTGCAACCATTTTTTCGATTAGTAGCTGAAGGGAGGTTAAGAGCACCCATACCTCAAAGTTTTCTTTTAGGTACCATGGCAAAGATGCTTGCCATAAGACTTGTGCTCTGATTCAAAGGTTGCTATTGTTGAGCTCTAATTGTGCCTACATGCACTAAGCCACATTAGGCGATGCGGGGTAATGGTCCCTGACAGCCCAAACTTGGAGACTTTGGCTTCGCCACGGTTTGTACTGTACAGTCAATTCGAGCATCGGTGTGAAATCCCGAAGTTCAGTCTAATGCAAGTTCAAAATTCATATCTGTCCTGGACTGAGCTTTTGTGTGAACTGCGTCGTAATTTATCTGTTTTCACGAATTTGTCGCATGCCACCGGCAACCTCCCAAGATCCTTTGGAATGTCCCACGGCTTTGGGATAAGCATAAGAACATATCACATATCCCTCTTTTATGTACCAAAGCTGACCGCTGGCTCTTTGAAGTCGATGGCGCGACTCCCTCTGGTGTCCCTCCTGCTGTCACACGCATAGTTGCGCACACGAACAAATAAAATCCCAGCATTCGGGCACGGGTGATATCCTGGCAAAGTTTGCCCCGGGCGGACTGTCTTCAGACATTGGAAGCTCGAGGCCAGCGAGGGCATGGCGAAGGTAGTGCGTCCTTGCTAGCCTTCCCACGCATGGAAACTTCCCTCATCGCAAACAATCTCCTTATATGATTGTGAGGTCGTGCAACACATTGCCACGAGGAAGACATACAATGAACAATGATCGATACCATTGTCGCTTAAAGTGTGCTCTGCTTCGGGGAGCCCTCGTCACAACGCCGTGTTAGGCAGGGAAGTAGACCTTCTGTGACTCCAGACTTGCGCGCTGAATCGGTGCCAAGCCGCGGGCTTCCATGTGGAACTGATGGACTTCGATCTTAGACGATCCAAGATGCATTGCTTTTGCCTCCATGGAGTATCATGGTCCTGAATTTGAGTCCCTCTTCTGTTCATCGTGCGAACTTTTAGTAGCACCTATTGACAATTTCACTCAGATGACAGAGACATGAGACGAAAATCAAGACAAGATTGTTGCTCACTATACCTTATTTATACACACGGAGGCATTGGACTGACGCCCTGAGCTCTGTCGGGGTTAGCCAGCGGAGTCTTATATTTCTATTCGCAACTGCAACCTTGGCGGTCTTACACAAGAAGCGGAATGAAGACATTATTGCACAAGACTCGGGGCAAATGATAAGTTCCGATGCAGGGAGTCATACCATGTCCGATGACCCCGCCATGTTTAGTGCCGATCATGGTGGTAATACTAATACCGGTGAGCTGCCCCGCGGTTTCCCTCCGCCTCCCCTTGCCCAACAACCACCATCCCCAACGAAAATATCAGTCGACAAAGTTATGGCTCCTCGCAAAGCTCTCTTCGTCATTGACATCCAAAAAGGCATCGCTGTTGACTCCCAAACCCGAGTCCCGCATGCTGACCGCGTGATCGCGTCCGCCGAGGGGACCCTCAAAGCCGTCCGGTCGGTCATCGATTCCTATCGCGAGAAGGACCAGCCGTCCCCATGGGTTATCTACTTTATCCAGCACGAGGAGACACCTGAGCGTGGGCCACTGTTGCGGGGCAGCGAGCCGTGGGAGCTTGTGTTCTCTCCGCGCGTCGATGTGGAGGAGGAGGTTGTGGTCGCGAAGAAGACCGGTCAGTCGTGAATGAACTTGGACCCATTCAGAGGGATTGTTAACATTCAGAATGCGGAAATTACAGGTAACACGTTCGAGTCCAATCCTACGCTTTCGTCTCGACTCCGCAATGCCGAAATCAACGAGATCGTGGCCCTCGGGATCCAGAGTGAAATGTGCGTAGATGCAACGTGCAAGGGGGCGTTGGCGGCGGGCTTTCGCGTCACCCTTCTCTCTGGGGCACACTCTACCTACGACTCAGATGGGAAGTCTGCGACTGAGATCGAGCGTGAGGTTGAACGCCGTCTGTCGACGCGCGGCGCTCGTGTCTTGCGATGGGAGGAGGCTGCATCGCAGTGGGTTCGCGAGCAGCGTCTGGCTTAGGTGTCGTGGGCTGTGGAATGTTTATGGTCGGTTATGTATGTGCTGCTGTTTTCGGATTTGAGGACACTTAGTCCTATAATACCTTGTACAGTTACGAGATTGTTCAAGAGTTTCCAGAGTTGCTCCTCCAAACAAGTTGACTCATGCATAAAAGTGGATTCTGAGTCAGCGGCATAAAGATGACATTACACTGTATTGGGAAGGTCATCCGGTGGCCGACTGGCCGAATCCAGAACTACTCTTTTCGCGACTCCAGGTTCATGTCCACGGGTTCTGCGCTACATTAACACACCACTCACTATGCAATCATACCCACCTTGACAACAGGACATTATCGCTCACTTATAGCGATACAATTTAGAGGGCAGTCGAGATCCACTCAATGCAGGCCTCCAGCAACAAAGTCCTCAGCGCGTGCCAGCGCTGTCGACGCCAGAAGTTGAAGGTAAGCGCACGGTCGGGAAATCCCCATTTCTGGGCTATATATTAATGGGCTTGCAAGTGCGATACTCATCGGCCCTGCACTCTTTGCATCAGGGCTGGAGCTCGCTGCTTGCCGGGGTCGACCACGCGGTGGAGGCCTTACCAGCCCACAGCTGCGCCTTCTCTGCGCAGACGGCAACAACAAGATGAGGCAGCCCAGCCCCACCAGAAAGTCATATACGATACCGCTCAACATCCTGATCAGGTATCTGAGCCTGCAAGGGTAAACGAGCACGAGGACTCTTGGAAATCAAGCTCTATGCTATCTTTGGTGGATGGGGTAAGTCCTTGTATGGTTCGATACGCGCCTAGACGGCTCAACTTTATAGGCATTTCACTTGCACCACACGAATGTGCCACAAGATCGCACAACAACTGCTCTTCCAGGAAGTTATGTACGGCAGGAGAGTCCGTTGGCTACGGACGCCCAAGGCGGTCTCTCGCGTTCCTCACTAGGCAGAGATACTCCTTCATCAACGCGACAATATCTCCACGGTTTTCTGTCCTTGCCTACCACGGAGCTACTCTCTTTGATGCCCCCGTTTGATGCCGCCAGCTTGCTTGTCGACACTTATTTTGACCGAGTGCACTGGTTCATGCTAATTTTCCAACAAGACGAATTCCGTCGGCGATGGCCGAAGCTCTATCAACGCCAACCTGGCCGAGCAGCAGATCATTCCTCGAACGCTGCATTCTTGAGCACATTTCTAGTGGTGATTGCCATCGGACTTCATTACGTCGGCCCCTACCGGCAAGCACTGTTGGTCAAACACGGCGTGGACTCAAGCCTGAAAGATCGTATCTTGTCAACGGTAAAAGCCAAGCTCTTGGATGTCATGTCGCTCGGCTCACTCGAAGCAGCGCAGACCTGCGTGCTGCTCGGAACCTATTACTTGTATCATGGCTCCCCTCGCCTGGCATGGCCTGTATGCGGCTGTGGACTTCGAATCGCCCAGGCGTTGCACTTGCATCACCGGCTGAGGCTTCCGGGATCACCTCATTTCCGCCAGCAGTATGAAACACGGAAGCGGTGTTGGTGGGCGATCTACGAAATTGAGACCTTTTCAGCCGTAGTGTACGGCTATCCTCACAGTATTCGGGATGCCGATTGTGATGTAGAGCCCTTGGATCCATCAGCGAAGTTACATGTCGTTCAATCTCCGAGCACATTTGACGAACCTCTAGCGTGTCAGACAACGTTATTGTCCTACAAATACTTCATGTCTAAATTGTCCGTGATAACGAAAGCAGCCTTAAACGAGCTTTATCGCACTAAGTCTTCGCCATCAGAAGACGAGACATTCTCGCGATCGCGATTGGACTTGCAAGACACTCTACGAGCAGTGGCCAAATACAATGGTCGCTTACAACAATGGCGAACTGAAGTCCCTCTTGATCTGCAATGGGACCATGTTGCTGGCCAAGCCAATTACTCGAGTCCGGAAGAAATTGATTGTGACATTGGCGCTTCGGGGCCTCGCTTTCAGAACCATATCTATCAACTCCAGGCCCTGGCTTTGATGCTCGCATTTGAAAATGCCATGATTCTTACACACCGCCCACTTCTCTCCTACAGAATGCGAAATACGAACGAGGCCGGGGTTCTCCCAGACAACTCCGGACGAGCAGACTCGTCTACGCCCAACTCTTTCGCCTCGTCACTAGAGGCATGCCGCGCTGCCGCTCTTAGAATGTCTTCTATCCAGTCGAGTCCAGTGGTCAAACTTGTCGCCGAAACCTACGCGGTGACATTCGTCAGTATACACACTTTCACTGCCGGGATCACCCTGGGTATTCTGTGTAGCATGGATCCGTTGAATCCGCAGTCCAGCATCTCCAAAGTAGGACTCCAGAGGGCGATGGAGACTCTGGAGGATTTGAGGTCACGATCGGTGGTGGCAGAGCAAGGAGTAGACATTCTTCAACGACTGACCCAGCTAGTAATTCAGAAAGAGTTAGATGTCATGCTAGGTAAGGGTAAGCGTGCGGAGACCTCGCTGTCAAGCGCCACGACGGAATCGTTCAGTTATGCTTCAGGGAATGAACCACAAGCTCTCTCTAAGAGCGGCACATCTCCGGGTACTGTATCAGGCGACATTATACAACCTGATCATCCTACTGTCGACATTGCATCGAATTTCGCCACCTTCCATTTTACTCCCGATCCTGCGCTAACAGACGCACTACATGATTTTGATCAAGGTTATATTATTGATTCATCTAGCAGACTACTGAACTGACGTCTTAGACAGCATTGCTATCTTATGCACCCCAACCTGAGGGAGGGGCCGAAGAAACCGCAGAGAACCCGTTTCTGTGGCCGCCAACTTTAGACGGTTTCCCTATCTTGGAGCAGACATGGATGTGGGATCTTGAGAATGATGCATTCGCTGGCGAAGAAGTTAAACACCCATAGCGACATGAAGACTACCCGCGAATCACCTTGCACCTATAACACATGAAGGAAGAAAGGCCATAACAAACTCCTAGTAGCCACCTGTGCTTCCCTCCTCGACCATGGGCTTGAAAGCAACTTCGACGGGCTCATTGCCAATACCACGCTTCTTCGCCTCCTCGAGAATCGCCACCGTCGCCGTGGCACCGATGCGAGTGACGCCTAGGCTCATCACATGCAGCAGATCGTCCAATGTTCTCACGCCTCCCGCCGCCTTGATCTGTACCTTCGCGCCACTCTTCTCCCTCATCAGCTTGAGATCCTTAGCGGTCGCACCCTTGTAATTGTACGAGCCATCGCTCTGCTTGACAAACCCATAGCCTGTCGAGGTCTTGACAAAGGCAACATCGAGCTGCGTGCAGACCTCACACAGCCGGGCAATATGCTCGGCTTGCAGGTAATCATTCTCAAAGATGACTTTGAGGATCGCGCCGTTGGCGGTTACGGCTTCGTTGATCTGCCTGATCTCCTCGGTGACGTACTCCCAGTCCCCGCTGAGGACCTTGCCGACGTTGACGACCATATCGATCTCATTTCCGCCCGCCTTCACTGCAGCAGTGGCTTCAAGGACCTTGATTTCCGTGGTGCTGTTGCCGTGCGGGAAGCCGATGACTGGGCAGACTAGGACGTCCGAGCCGGCGAGCTCTTCCTTTGCTAGCGGAATGAGGTAGGGCTTGACGCAGGCAGTTGCCACGTGGTTGTCGCGGGCGATCTTCAGGCCGGCTAGGATGTCGGCATCTGTCATCGTTGGGTGTAGGAGGGAGTGGTCGATCATCTTCGCTAGCTGGGGTAGGGTCACGGTGATCGTGTTCGACATGATTGTGGTGGGATTTGGAAGCTGATGGCGACGAAGTGTTATGATGATATACGATGTTTTGTGACGTCTGTCAGGCACCGGTGGTGAGATACTTATACATCGTCGTTTGCTCGCATGGGGCGGTTGTGTGCGGTGGAAGACCTTCCTGATGCGGTAATTCGCTCCACCGGCGCATATTGCCGGCAGTCCTTTTTACATCGGGAGCTCCAGTGTCTTTTCAACCTCCTCTTTCCCACTCCCATACCTTGCTTACGGTCAGTCTGATGAGAGGTGAACGAATAAAAATTCTGAACAGTCCTTTCGGCGCCCTGACCGTTGACTAGAGGGGATATCACAAACTACTGATTTTTCCCTTCATCGGGATGGCAATTTGTATGGTAGTAACAGGTGGTGTCACCTCACCAACCTCAATTTTCTTGGCTATATGCAGTCCGCGGGATGTCTATTACGGATCTACTTCCTCTTCCTCGAGATATAGAGTCCCCACCTGTAGGCTGTCAAAAACCTATTCCTCGACTGTCGCAAAATCCTATATCCAGTCGAAGCAGCCCGGGAGCTCTGGAAACGATATCCGGAACTCGCCCTCCCTGAGAATGGTGGTGGGCGCTTACAGCTGGATGATAAGCAGACCGAGGAGCACCACGAGTACATGGCGTAGACATTCCGCTGCGCTATGCGGGACTTGGTCGAGTTAGGCTGTCTGTGCAAGGCAGAGAGTTATCCATGCGTGTACATACAGATACAGCGTTTTTCGGTGGGCTGTTGGGCCTCGAATAGGTTGCGGTTTCCTGGGGTTTCAGGCTAGGGGTAAGGACAGGGATCAGGGCTCTCTTTGACGGATGGGAATTGCTTCAGCTCTGCACCTGGAGGGCAATCTAAATCTCTTTGTGTTCTTTGGGTTCTGTACAGCCTGTTGATGTTCCGAGATTTGATCCAGGTTCTCGGTGGCGGTAGCTGAATCCGAAAGAGTCGGGTTACCCGATCATCATGATTGTACCATGTTCTTTCCAAGTTTAAATCCTTCGTCGCAGCCCGGAAAAGCCGAGAAAATCCCTGCCTCCAGTATTTGCCCCTTGAGGATGCGGTTAGGGCTCGGCAAATGGACCGTTTGTCGTCTATCTCCCCTTAGAGGAGCAATGCACTATTTTACCGTAAGACATAAAAGATCTTTTCAAGTAATCTCAGGAGATGTGTAATCTCAGGGGACGATGAAAGAAACCTCTAATAAATCACGATCTATCGCTTATAGGCCCTGAGATACAATTTCAAATCGCTTATCAATGCAAAGCCGAGAAAGTCCGACAGTAATAAAGCATCGTCTCAACGACCATATGCGGGAGTCCGCCCTTCTTTGTAATCATTTCAAATTCAATAGCTGCAAGTGCCTGGAGGCGAACAAAGGCCTGGATCATGCTCGGAGAGCTCTCAATGGCTAGAACGAAGGGGCTTCCTCAGTCTAACCACGGATCTCTCCAGAAACCAACGGCGATGACATCACGACTCGAAGCCAAGCTCATTGTCCCATGTCTTATACCCCACGCAGCGGAGACATTTCCCCACGCCACTATCATTGACAGAGAGAAATCGACAAAGCCAAGAATCCAGTATAACAACAACCCTGCCTGCCCACCGTGACCCCAGCAAATTGTCAACAAGAACAAGAACAACCACCATCACCACAAAAACATGCGACCATGTCCACCGAGCACATCATCCCGAATCCAAGTCCCAAGGAGACAACCGACGGAGAGGATCTATACGAAGCCTACGAGATCGAGCTACAGTCCTCAGTGGGGAATACGATCCGCTTCGGGGACCTGATAGCAGGCAAGGGCTCAAACATCACGACGCTGGTGATTTTCAGTGCGTATACCTCCCGCCCTACACCCCCCGCTCCCTCAACCTTATCCTAACGAAACACCGAAAATACAAAGTCCGACACTTCTTCTGTATCTACGACCAAGACTACGTCCGCACCGTCTCCAACCATCTCACAGACTCCATCCTCAACACCCTCCCGGTTACGGCAGGTCCGTCGCAGGTAATCATCATCGGCTGCGGCGACCCCGCGCGCATCGTGCCCTACGTCGCCGAGACGGCGGCCACACTCCCCGTCTACACCGACCCCACCGGCAAGCTCTACTCCAAGCTGCACATGAAGCGCAACGTCACGGGCATCACGCGTCCGCCTTCGTACACGGAGGTCTCGTTTCTCAGGGCCCTCGGCCGTACGCTGAAGCAGATGTTTCGGACGGGGGGGTTGATCAGGGCGTTTCGCGGTGGCCCGTGGAATTTGAATGGGGGCGAGTGGGTGTTTCGTAAGGGTAGGTGTGTGTTTGTGCATCGCATGGAGAGTATCGGCGATCATTTGACGGCGCAGCAGTTGTTGGAGGTTCTGGGGCAGGAGGGTGGGGGGACGGAATAGGTTTCGGTCTGGGGGTTTCTGGGGGTAAATTTGGGGCTGGAGGTGCCGGGGTTATGAGAGTTGGGTGGTTTGGTCGGTGGGTTTGGGCTTGCTATATACCCCTTGTTAACTCTTGTCTACTACTGAAATGTGGATTGTGTGGTTTGGTTGGATATCTGCTGTGTTGTGTAGAGATGTGGTAGTCATGTTACCTTGATACCGTCTACTGGACCGTGCTGGGTAGCTCTTACATCTCTCTGCCCATCATTCTTCATGCATTCTCGATCGGGCGAATTGGATAACAGATTTGAGCTCCTCCAGAGAATACTCTTCTCTGCGAAATACGTATGCAATTAAAAACGCCATATGATTGTGAGCGCATTTAAACAATCAAATACAACTATTCCATTACCTCTGGGGGACATGTTGGCATTGACCAGACGTATGGGACAGCATCGGTCTTATGCAGAGAGCAAGATCGAAAGCATCATGCAACCTGCCGAAAGCAATCCCCTCATCTCTTGACGGCAAGGACAGGCTTTATGAGGAGGCGATGTTTATGGATCCTATTCCACTCCTCGAGTTCCCAGGGGGGCATTTCACTTCTCATGAACGAGATTAAACATTCCCGTGCTCTAAGTAGATCTTGATTGAGATTCTCATGGGCGGCAGATCTTGTGAGTATCCATGTGTCGTTGTCGGGGTCCCAAAAAAGTAGCGGCGAGTCTTGTAATTCCGTCAACTCCCACCTTTCATGCAGGTTCATATCCTTTGTCAATGGTTGCGAAGTCGACAACTCATTCACAACGACAGAAAACTGTCTACAACATGAACTCCCGCCGATATCGATTACAGAATCCAAAAAATTGAATTTCTCAGAGAAAACTTCGGCTTTGGGGACTGCAATATGCGAAAAGGATTCGATATGATGGATTCTGTTTCCAAGTTCCAGGTGGCCTGGCGCATCAGATCCTTCGTATATCTCAGATGGAAGATCTAGGTAGTCCTGGGACGAGAGATAGAGCGCGTCGTGATTGGGGTCAAAGAGGCGAATGAAAGAGAAGGACATGGTGGCGGTGTTGAAACGAATTTCGATTTTGGGCTGCTTTTCAATCCAGCGCAAGGCCACCGCGTGAGCTTCGCGGTTCACCAGGAATGGCGGCACTTCGACTTCAAGATAACCGAATGAACGCGAGTCAAACTCAAACTTGACATATTCTTGATTAGTTGTGGGGTCGGTTTGTAGCTTCCAGCGTGGCTTTCTCCAGACATGATTCCTCCAGAAGTACAGATGCTTTCCGGTCGTGTCAGGTAGAGCAGCCTCCCAGATCATGAGGCGGAGCTCGGTGGGAAGGCGAGAGAAGGAAACGTCGACTGCTGGGGTTGACATGGAGGAGTTGGAGGTCGCTGGAGGAGAGTTGGCAGAGAAGGTAAGGGTCTTTGGGTTTCGAGGCGTGATGGAGATGGATGATGAAGAATGACTGCTTAAAGATGTGCGAGAGTGGAGGGATGAAGCAGGAAGAACAAGTCAACAACGTTCCGGGTATGGTTATTTAAGCCTACTTCTCGACAGTGTGAAATTCGAATCACGGTGTGTGTTTGTGTAAGTGAATGGAAGTCGCTTAAATAACAACACATTAAACCAGGCTGGATTCCCCACCGGTGTTATGATTTTGTTTTATGGTGAATTACCTATTCACTCCTGGCCCAGAAACATGCCAGACTAGGCAACTCCCTCGACTGTCTCTGCCTGAGCCTTGACATCTCCATCACGTTCCTCCCCCACTCCCTTTACTTCCGGAGTCGACTGTTCTCCCATAACGTTCAGGTCTTTTGCTTTCCGTGTGTGTGGCCACTGCACCAGTCGTAGGGTGCACAGTGGCGCCCCCGGATATAGCGGACAACCAGCATACTACCACCGCGCTTGGTGTGTTGGCCAAGACTGCGAAGTGAGAGGGTGAAGATGATGGCGAAACAGGCCTTTGATTATGATCAGTCAATTGGATGGTCGAAGACAAACAATCGAGTGCGATGAAGTGAAACGTACGGTACACTTTCGAAGCACAGTACAAGAATGAACATGGTGACGCTGGTAACGCCACTGGTAAGCGTGGCGGCCAGGCCAAAGAATGTTGGCACGCAAGGATTAGCTTCAGAGCGTCATAGATAGGCCAGATGTTTTATATGAAGGCACCATGAAGCTAAAATGTTTGTTTGCTGGTAAAAAGGTATGATAGAGTGTCGACACTAACGGAATTGGTGAGACGCGAGATAATTGAGGGAAAGAACCAAAATATCAGGCGTCAAATCAGGATTTATGGCAGCTGCGATACACTTCTCTCAAGCCGTCCTTGTCAGGCGATTGCTCATGATTGATACGATGGCCCACGTTCAGAAGATCTGCAGGTTAGTTCTTATCTACAGTTTCTCATTTCTAGGCATTAGGCTTCATTTAATCTTTCTCTATCATTCCGAGATCCCGAGTATGTACAGTCATGCTGACCAACCTCGCCATATCGCATGTACATGGGTCGAATAGTCTATTGTAAGGACACACGAACATCAGCGCAGGATCCACTGCTGACCGCAATTTCAACCTGGCTCTTGTTGGCTTCTGTCTTCCCATCCACCGTGTATGACTTGACGGCAAACGGCAAGCTAATGACACCCTTGGTCTGCTTCGGCCCACAAACCTGCAGCTGCAGACTCTTCTTGTTGGAACCGCTCAACCGCCAGCTGGCCTGGATCGATCCTCGCGGAGTGGGTACGCGGCCTCGAGCCCACGAAACATTCACATCCAGGATTGCCGGCTGGAAAGTCCAGGTAGCGAACCCGGGAGACGTGGGTTGAACCCCAAGAACATACTCCGAAAAGACAAACGTAGGAGCGCCGCCCCAAGGATGGGCATGCGAGGTATATAAGTCCAGACCGGGGCGGCCGTCGGGGTAGAGGTATTCCCACGCTGTTCCTGTGTAGTACTGATCCTCGGTGACCATTGCCGCCCACAGCTGATCCAATAACACGCTAATGGCAGTGGTCCGTTCGGCCGATGCTTTCGCGCTGTCGCGACTGGCTTGGAAAAGCGCCTCGAGCAGGAATCCCGACAGGAACGGAGCAAGGTTGGTGCTCGAAGAATTGGCGGTCGATGTCGAGCTCTTGTAACCGATTCCGAGGCGGAGCGATGATAGAGCGGCAATCGTAGATTGGGTCTGGGTCACATTTGCGATTCCAGACAGGATCACCCACGCGCTGCCTGCAATGGCCTGTTCGTCCAGAGTGTTGATGTCGACGCCGTACGTCCCCAGTTGCGGGTTCCAGAGCTGCTGATTGACAGCCTCTTTGATAGACTCGGCATGGTGTGTCCACGACTTAGCTGAGTCGGTCGCATTCACAGCAGCAGCAAGATTGGCCATTTCAGCCAGAGTATACGCGAGCAAAGCCGACGGGGCAGTGCCATTGCTTGATCCGGTGAAAAATGCCCCGATGTTGCCAGTCACGGCAAGGCCAGTTTGCTCGTCGATGAGCTGCACAACCGCTTCCACGCCCCTTTCAATCTGTGACCAATACTTTTGGATGAAGGCACGGTCGTCGGAGTGTTTGTAGTATCCAGCCACGGCTGCCAGGGTGAAGAACTGGTAGTCGAGCAAACCAAAGGAACTGTATACATCGGTGTACTTGGCAGACTGTCCCATTTGCGGGGACATGCTGAAGAGCCCGTCATATACCGAGGAACTAGTTGCCTGGCGATCGATCAAATACTCCAGAGTGCCCGAGATAAAGTCATCGCGACCTGTACTGGTCTGGACGATCCGATGGGTAGGGAAGAAATCGCCCGACCACACGAGTCGGTCGCGCTTAGCACCGTCCAGACAAATCGAGTGGGTGTTGGGCAAGACACCATATTCTTCCAGCACTGAGTCCGATGTCATCGAGTTGTGGTAGAGTAAGGTGCCATTCTGAGCATGCACCTCGACATCCTTCACCAGTGCCACCTGGTCCTGGTACGGGCCAAAGCCCCAAGTGCCGCCCGTCAGACTGCCCGAACCGCCGATTGAGCCCGTTGGGGTCTGCAGAGTAGCCAAGGGGACAAAGATCTCGGTTTCATTGACTGTCACCCCATAGCCGGTGGCATTGATAAAGGTGAAAATCCGGTACCATTCATCCTCTTTGACGTCGAATGGGATGGGGTAGTAGTTGACTTTGCCTGAGGTGAGAGAAATCTGGTTGACCAGATTCCAGCCATAGCCCACCGCCAGGGAGTTGGGCGGCACCACCGTCTTGTTGACGTTGACAAAGGTTGACTCTTGGGGATATTCGCTGGTCAGGACGAAGTAGGCGCCGTAACCCGCCACTCCAGCGACGACCTTCCAGCCGGTACCGCCCCGGATGATCTTGGTATCGAACGCCAAGGTGTAGTTGTCGAACGAGGCTCCCTTGACCGATTGGGCAGGTTGCTGGCCTCGCAGATACACTCCATCCTCGGCGATTTCCCATGTGGAGGGTGCTGCACCGGCTGCAATGCATGCTTGTTGCACCGTCCGGGCACCCAGAGCCCAGATTTCATTATACAAGCTGTTCGACGACTCGAAATACCCCGGCAGCTGGTCCACGGCAGTCCGATCGTTCAAGGATCGTAATCCAGCCCCGCAGATGCGAATCGTACCGTTTGTGAGAAGCTTTAGATATTGCCAGCGTTGGCCTCCTTGGATGAAGGGGGACTCGACGCGCCCGGTAGAAGTGACGTTGAACGTCTCGACGCGGAAAGTGTTGGAGAGGCCATTGGCGAAGTCAAACGGACCATCTCCAAAGGGTTCACTCAATCCAGTGTACGGCTCACTGTACTTTGCCTCGATTTGAACAGCAGAAGTGATGCTGTCAACATCGAAGAATGGAAATCCCGCAGCCTCGGTGCCGTAGTCTAATGTGACCAACGGACTCTGCTGGTCGAGGGTAAAGCAGGAGGATTGCGCGTGGCTGGTATAATCCCGAAAACCAGCATTGGTCCGGTAACGTGTAGGGCGTACGATCGTCTCACTACTGCAGGATTAGTTCATCTTTGTGGTGTGTAATTGGCGCCATTGGCTGTACCTTTGAGCATTGACTAGGGGGGTCAGGACTAAACTGCCCCAGAGCACCGGAGCAACCAATCCCAAGTACGACGGCATCTTCCGCCACAACGCACCTTCTTTGTATTTCAGATTAAGAGAAGAGAAGAAAATTCTTCAGTCCAAATTATAAGAGCCAGAGCAGATCGGAAGCTGAAGTGGACACTCAATTCTTACCGAGGCGCGGGGGATGTTTTCGTGGGGAAACGCGGGGTATCCCTGCCCGAATCCCGCTCATGGCGGGTTAATGCCCCCCGATGGCATCCAGCTTGGCTCTTGGCATGATATTCTCCCCAAAGAAGTGCAGCTGAATTGTGATTTCTATGCCGAAGTTATAGCATATAGTACCTGCTAGCCGCGGATCTCATCCGATGTAGGAACAGTCCTAGCTGATGTGTCCTTCAATGTGGGCAGATGGCCTGGTGAGGGCCATCGGATGCAAGAATGATGCTTCGATGGACTATCTTAAACACTCTAGACAGGTACAACAGTCATCCCATAACTGAGAATTGGCCGGTATCAGCAAGTAATCTCACTAATATGGACAAAAGCAGGCAGAAAGTACGCCCGACTATAGGATGTTAACTTATGAAGTCAGTATGATATTCACTCCTCCAGGATAGTGGCCACTGGAACAGTACTCAAGCTGGACATGCCACGTCCCAAATCTATTCACTCCTAACTGTCCATGTCAGCTAATCTTTTCCTCGGTGTTCAACTTCTTGTTTACCTTCCTTCTCGCCGTGTTACCTTCAACCTTGAGACTCATTTTCCGAGCCATCACACCACTAACCTCATCCACCCAATTTCACCTATTTCTCTTTGACTACCCTCCTTCGCGAGATACCTTATTATCCAAGACTTGCATCTCAAGTACAATCAACCCAAAAATGCCTGTAGCCCGGCCTCCCCCGAAAAACGCGCACAAGCACCTGTCAGCGCCTTACCCATCTGCCAACCCAGCTTCCAATCAACATGCTCAGGCGGTGGTTCCCGAAAGCACCGGGGACAACCTCAGATCAGGCTCCCACGTGAATGAAAAAGCGCAGGGTCATGTCAGCCAAACCGCAGCTCGCTCCTGGGTCGCCGCCGCCCGCGAGATCCTGAAAGCCGGCGACACTGCGCAGAAGCAGGAATACGGCGAGCAGGCCGCTCATCAGACCCAGATTCAGCACATTCATCTCAAGCTTGAAAATCTCGCTCTGGAGACCAAGGAACTGGTGACCAGTCTGGACCAGTTGACCAGGGATATCAAGCGTCAGAGAGCCAAGCTGGAGCGGCTGTGTAAGGATTTGAAGATGGCGAATACCGAGATCTCGCCGAAGACCTACAATGCTGTGTGGAAGGCTTATCGGGCTGCTGTCTATGCTTTGCTTGATGCGCATAAAGATGATGAGGAGGGATGTGCTATGGTCAAGAAGGAGTTAGAAGCGTTGGATGATGTCCACCATTAGGTGGATGAGGATGGGATTACGAATCGTGCAGTTGGAGATGCTTTCATCCATGGGGTACGTCTGTCAGAAGGCTTCCTTACGCAGTCTGTGATTATGGTTGACTGGGTGTTGCTTTTCTGCGATAAATCAAGCATGTATGGCAGAGCAATGCCGGAGTGGTATCAGCGCTCCTATTAACTTCAACAATGTATGACCAAATCAAACTAACAAACAGTATCAGGCAGCCAAAATCAACCTGTAGCCTTCTTGTCGATATTCACACTGCAATATCCCTTCACTCAATCATAATTCCTGAGGCACGACTTCTAAACATAGCTCTAAGTCCAGTGCAACTCCCGCCTACTATCCAGGACATTCATTCACTCTGCACCGTTTCTACAAACGCCCGTCCCGTCAGCTTTTTCGAAGATATGAAGATATAAATAAGCACTTACCCTCTCTTTCTCCCCGTCTCCACCCCCAACCTCCTCACTGACCCCAACTACCATTCAACCCAGAACCATCAAATCCATCCTCACCACTCCATACTCAACCAACCCTCCACGCAACCACCACCCACCTCAAAACAACCACCGCCTCGAACTGATGGCTCCCAAGAAATCCCGCACCGCCGCAAAGGAACCCCGCGGCCGCCCCCGAACCACAAGGGCAAACTCCACCCCCAAGCGCAATGCTCCGCAACTCAGAAACTCGAAGCCCAAAAACCCGAAGATCAAGCAGACACCGAGCGCCAGTGCTTGCCCCATAGCAGCGAAGATCCAGTCAGCAGCGGCCTGTCTCGCAGCGCTGCAGGACAAGTTCGACGAGATGCACTCGGAGATGATCGCTCATATCGCCAGGTTGAATACGTTGGCCTCGAATGTGAATGAAGCGTTGGCGGTTGGGTTGACCGTCGAATTACCTGATAAGATTTTGGATGCGGAGGAGAAGATGTTGGAGGGATTTAGGGCTATGGCGGTGGGCGTTGCTGGGCAGTTGGGTGAGATTCATGGTTTGGCGGATGAGGATGATATGGTTGCGGATGAGAAGGAGGATGATCCTGCTGCTGAGGTGGTGGGTGAGATGGACGCGGAATATGAGCTTGAAGAAGCGGAGGAGTTCGTGGAGTATTAGGGAGGGTCGAGGTGGTGTTGTTGTCTGGGATTAGGCGAGGACAGCTGTTTCCAATGGCTCTCTGGTGGAAGTGGACTGGTGTTCAGGCCTGATGCATCAATAATGCTGTTTGTAGGGGAGCTGGATGAAGTTTCATGTTTTATCTTATCTTTTCTTCGCTGGTTGGATACTTCTAATGTGCGCGTATGGCAATCTACCAGGATACCAGTATCAGTCATAAGCTCTATTTCAACTATCTAAATAAATGCTATCCAAATCAATCACCCCACACCTCTCACTCGAAAAGAAAAAATCGCTCTATTATTGTCATTGCATGAGAATCGAACAGAATGGAAGAATGATCAACACTTGAAGAAAGTCCAGTAAATATACATCCTAATGCAAGGCGACGCGCTGGAAAACGCGACATTATAGGATCATAATTGCTTCCGTCTTCACGCCATCACACACCCGTATTGATGAGGACAAACGATCGACGGATGACGCTGCCTGAGAACGAACCTCGCAGGTAAATCAGCGACGAGACACGCAGCAGAGGATACCGGAGCGGCCGAGGAAGTAAAGCGATCCGATAAAGCGGAACAGCGAGAGACCCGCCGTGATCCAGAGAATGACTTCGAAATACCACGACGTGCGGGTGGTGGAGGTGTTCTGTGAACCATCAAGTCAGCAATCGATAACCCAAAAAAATCAAGAGCGGAAACTCACAGTCAGACACATCTTATCGACACCGGTGCTGGTGATCAGCAGCGACACGAGCAGGTTACTGAACACCCACAGGCAAACCAGCATGGTACGGAAGTTCTTGTAGGCGTCGTCCAGACTCTTGCCGCTCTCTTCCTCAGGTTCGATCCACGGCTCCAACGCGCGCTTGACCGTCGATTCGAACTGGCTGTCGATATCCGCTTGCGGTTTGTCAATTTCTTCGATGAAGTTCTGCTTGCCGTCGTCGTCCTTCTGGGTTTGAGCCGACGGCAACGCTTCGGCTTTATCGGATCCCTTGGTACCCCACGAGACGTCGTGCCAGTTGCAGAAGGCGTACACCATCAGAATGTTGATACCAGTGGTCATACCCATGAAGTAGGCCCATGAACTGGTCAGAATGTGCCAGGGGTCCATGTAGAGGATACTGGCGATGATGTAGATGCCGTAGGTCGAGACGAGGGCAATCAGCACGATACCACCGCCTGATGAACTGAAAAACGATGCTAAGAAATCGCTCAGACTCTCGTTGATTTGGAGGTTGAACAATCCGCTGCTGAAGGCACCAACAACCAGGTAGAATGACAGGACCAGAACATAAATCTGGACGATCGAGAAGTACATAAACGAAAGGGTGTAAGGAACAACGGTTCTAAATTGCGCGTCAGCATTGAAAGTGGACTGGGGAAGTCAAAAGCCGATTCCCACTTACCCTTTCGGCCGGTTACCCAGGGCCAAGATGAACTGCAGCGCAAGAACCCAGATATAACCATACTTGACGAAGTTGTTGATGATCGGCGACGCTTCGTTTCCCCAAGGCCATCCCTTGTTGCCGTTGTGCGAGCTAGGCGTACCCACCAAATCCATGATAACGGAACTGGTCAACCAGTAAGACGCTGCAGAACATGTCAGTATCGTTCTGTCGATGCGGCAGAGGCTATGCGGCGACACGTACCGAGAGAGAACCAGGTCATGATAAGCTGAATGACGTTATAGATCATCTGAAGATGCAGGAAGAAGAGACGAATGATGCTGTGACCGCTACGATAGATCCGACCGAAATGCATGAGCGAATACAGACCGGCAGCGAAGGAACCGTTCAGCCAACGTCTTCTTTGACTGATAAATTCTGCCGCGCCTTCCGGAACGTCCGTCTCACCCTTGGATGCCTTCACGTAACTCAGATGCCACTTGAAACCAGCCTTGGCCACCAGTTCGAAGCAGAGAATACGATCCTCGGCCAAGAACATGTTCTTCTTGAAGATATTCATACCGTCAATACCCTTCTTACCGAGGCGTTTTGACAGGGTGTGGTCTCCATGGAAGTACTGCTCCAACGGACGGCCCATGATCGCGCGGTAGCGGTATGCAGAAAAGGCACCAGGCAACACACTGACATAACCGAACGCACTTTCAAGGGGTTTGTCCAAGATATTAGAGATTTTGTACTCGAAGTTTTGAGCAGCAACCAGCGGATTCAGGACCTTCCGCCATCCCTGACCCAGCATTGCATGGATCTCACCGCAGGAACCACCAAGGGTCTTATCGTTGTAAAAGGCTTCCCATAGTGCCAGCAGCGATTTCGGGCCGGGTTTCGTACCAGCGTCGAGCAGAATAACAACTTCCGGGTTCAGGATTCGACTGAAAGCATTAAACAGCCAGCGGTGGGAGTTGATCTTCTTGCTGTTCTTTTGCTTCAAGCAGAAGATCATCTGCACCGGGGGCAAATTGGTCGACTCATTGCCCTGGGGCCGGATCAATTGTTGGGTGGGGGTGACCGACAATTGCGTGGTGTATTCGAACTGTGATTGTCAGTAATTCTTGCCTTCTTCACTCGGATCTGAGACAGGAACGGGTCCGCCCGCCCGTGCCGAAAGGCGGTGCGGTGCGGTGCGGTCGCAAACCAACTCACCACATGAGCCACCGTCTCCCGTCCGTCAACGTCCTTCTTCATCACTCCATCCTGGAAGATACCGATCGTCGCCAACACATCCAGCGTGTTCTTGTCGCATGGATCGATACCATCGAAGACGAGACAGACGACAATTTTCTGCCACGCCGGTCCGCCCTTGTTCCAGAACTCCGACTTCTTTAAGTTGACGATGTCGCGAATATTCTGCATCACACCGTGGAGGGTACGCGCCGTCAAGACCTTATCTTCGTTATAGTACGTGATCGCGATGAGCAATTCCGTATGCCGGTTGTAGATCGCGGGTCGGAGATTGTAACCGTTCCGCAGTGTGAACTCGTCAGGATCGCACGTGGCCGCCGTGTCTGGAGATGATCGCCGTCAGCTCAATCCTCGTTACCTCCGCGTTATCTGAGTGCACCTACACCGCATGTGTGTGAATTCCTCCGCAAACGCCTCTTCCGCATCTCGGTATTGGGGTTGGATCGCGTTCTGAATGGCACTCGGGACAGGATAATCAACACTCAGGACCGAACCCTGCACCAGGTTGATCTTTCTGGTTGCGGCACGGCGGAGAGCGCCCGCGCGACTGCCGGCCTGGGAAGCGGGTTTTTCGGTGGTGGATCGGGCATCGTAGATGTCACTCGACTCGGATTCTTGATAAGGGGGCGTGGCGAAGACGGTCGCTCCGGGGTCGTGTAGCGTATACCGACGCAGCGAGTCGGTCGACATGGCGGGGTCTTCGAAGGGACCGCCGTAGTGGCTCGAGGGGTTGCGCTGCAGCAGCGATTCTTCCTGCTCATCGTGCTCGTTGGTGTGATACGGCTGTTGCTGTTGGGAATTAGGCACAACGGACGGTCGCAAGGGCTGGTGGACCTTGATCTCCCTCGACCACAGACAGAAGACTCACATTGTGGGTGGGAGATGCGTGAGAGAAGTAACTGCTCTCACTGTCTTGGGGCGAGTGGCTCCCGTAGTGATTTCCTGGCGTACCCATCTTGACAACTGGAAGGTGGGAAGCCTCTGAGGGATGGGATGTCTGGACAATTGCTTTTGAACAAGCAAAGGTTAAAGGAGACTAATGAACTGCAGAGGGGCAGTCCAGACAGGGACAGCAGGCCACCAAAAATAACACTTAATCAAAAGAAGAAGGATAAAAATAAAACCAGAAGTTCTTTCTGGGCGAAGGGGAAATGAGATTACAAAGGCCAGCAACGGTACCACGCAACGCCAATGCTCTGGAATTGGATGGGGGCCGAGATAAACCGACATTTCTCGCGAGTGGATACGTTCCCAGAAACTATATATAGGGGGCAAGGACAGAGTGCTACGGGCCGAAGCAAAAGGGAGGCTGAGGTCCCAGGAAGTCAATGTCTAAGCCTTGAGATGGGACGGCTGTGGCGATCTCATTCGACGAGGAGGAGCAGTAATCCATATATTACACCTGGGTTTTCAAGGTTGGTGTTGGTGGATTGGAAGGCGATACAGGCGACAAGAACTGAGCCCCTCACAGTCAGCATTGGCAGTCATCCAGGAGAGCAAAATCTGGTTTGGCCCGCGGTCAGGACGCATGACTGGGGGGTTGGCGGTGCGCAGCAAATTGAGTGCCATGCTCCCAGCTGATGGGTTTCTGTCAGTGGTGCATCCGAGGAGAGATCTCTGTCGTCAGCTACTGGGGATCCACAGGAGTAAAAATCCTTTTCCGGGGCACAGGGGGCACAAAAACACCATGCGATGGTTCGACCACATTTAAGAGCAAGCCATTGCCCTGGAACGAAGACAATGGTTGATACAAGATTGCACAGCTGCGACAACCCTGAGCTGACGCGGTGAAGACGCCATTCTGTCTGCGTTGCGAGTCTGCGTAGAACGATGCGAACGACTATCCAAATGCGCCAGGAGATCACCTTCATCGAGAAAATTCGTCGGCAGGTCAGAGGTTCCGGATCGACTGCGGTGGAGGATGAGCCAGCCGGGGAACGCCCATTGGCCGGACACAATGAGGATGCCTTCTACTTTCCAGTACTAGACTAATGTCGGCGATTTAGCAAAACAGACTATCGTAGTTAAGACCGCGTGTGGTTCTCACGGGTGGTTCCGATAGAAGCCAGTTGGAAGGCGGAATGAATGCCAAAAGGCTGTGGACGCGCAGGCTGTGGGGTCCGGGCCGAGGGAATCTCCGGTCAAGCGAGGCAGGACTGCTGACTATTGGTGGACGACCGATGTCGGCCAGACGTTAACGCTGACGCCCCACAGGCGGAGGCTCTTTAGTCCCAACTAGTCATCCACGCAAATTTCCATTTCCGGACGGAGCTTCGACCTTCCACATGGAAAGGGGTGAAACTCAATGCAATGCGCGAAGAAAGGGGAGAGCAGGAAAAGGAGAGGGTGGGGGGAGGGAGAGAAAAGAAGAGACATGAACGAGAACATCCTTGTGAGAATTCAGTCGTCCAGCAGCAATCAATGTGGTTGCAACTTCGTCTCGAGGCATGCGCGATGAATACAATCAGATCATGTTCTCGCAGGATAGAAGAAAATCACGCATGACAGCCACACAACAACTCCCACTTTGAGGCTTTGATGCACCATTCCTCGCCTGTCCGCCAATCACCATCCGTATCGGTTCATCATCGGAGTCAGGCACAGGGCAACACGACCATGGGTATCCGCAGATACCACCCGTGGAAGCAATGCCACAAAGGACGTACTCCGGATGGGATCCCTTCTTTATATAGAGCACATTCTACGTACTCTGTATTGGTGCCGGCCTGTCGTCCAGGAGTTCCTGTTCCGACCGTACTGTCAGCTCAACGGGAATTTTGCGGTGGTCTTGGTGTGCCAGTGCCGAGAGGTGGTAGACTGATGGATTGGTTCAACCAAAGTCCGACCAGTTCGGCTCCACTCGTCTGCGGATCATCGAGCGCCATAGCGCGCCATCACTGACAATGTCTCATGCATATTCCGACATGAAGGTTGTTGATATGCTTGTGTGCTGCAGAGCATATCTCACTCATCGCAGTATATGCAACCGGTTGGAACGGACTATTTAAGGGCTGCTTTGGTGGACAGCACACCTTTGTGGCCAGGGGAAAAGTCAGGTCCGTCGGATATACTTATTGCCCGCGACGTCGAGTCTGAGACACTGGCATCCACTGGGGCTGAGTGGAATGAGCATCGAATTCAGACAGCGACAATTGGTACGATTGCCGGGCTGCCGTCCACTATCAATCCACTCTTCGAGGCAGGTGTTTGAGATCCAGCAGTTAACGCCGATAGACCGGAGGTGTGCATCTCGTTGGTTTCGCAATATTCGACTGGAGTTGCGGGAGTGCTGGACTCATTTTGACCGACTGCGATAGGTTAGATATGTAATGATGTGGCTCGTCGTATCCTAGATTCTGTATCTAAATTCCATTAGCATCGCTGTCAGGGCCGTAGGACGCTCCATCACCAAGACAGAACAAGGATGCGTAAGGCGATACTCACGCCGGACCGAAATCAAGGTCGCGACTGGCTGCAACCCTGTCTCATCTCGAATCCCAGCTTGGAGGGGGTGTATGACGCAGCTCTCCGCGTCACTAGCAACTAGTCCATGCTCGCTCGAAACCGCCCCAGTGTCTTGGAGTTAGCGCTCTCGATGATTCAAGCCTCGTGTCAGAATTCGACATTTCTGCTTGGATTGAAAATTTAGAGCCATCCAACAGTTGTCCACGCTGTGCGAGAACATGTCGAATCGATTAACAGAGCTCATATCATGATGTTGTTGTTGATGGCAGGAACGATGGGGACGAGTGTTGATCCCGAGCTCCGGCCGTGCAGGGCTGGCCAATCATAGCAGTGTCTGGTGCTCATCCGCTTAGTCATTAGAGACTGACAGCTTGCATGACGTGGTGTTGTTTCTCAGGCTGTAAGGCAATCTTTGTAGGCCTGAGGCAACAAAAGACCCCTCGTGCTGCCTCATTAAGTAATGCTTCTAACCTTAAATACCTTAAATCCTTGAATAACGAGACTACGGACTACAAGAGCCTAACCAGAGAGTATACATTGATGGCGTCCAACCACCATATCGCCTTGTGATTGATGTTGCTGTTGCCAGAACACCATAGGTTGCTCGCGCCGCTGTTTATATATGCCGCTGTACCGGCGGTTTCAGTGCAAACAACAACACACTACAGCGCGACGACAGCGGACGTCTCGCGGACATCTTCAAGCTCAAACGACAGGTCGGATTGATCCCACTATACAAATACCGCATCTAACAAGCAAGACTATATGCTAATCTATATCTAACCCTTGCACGCCCGAGACCGACCGAATATCAATCACCCGAACCAGCAGGTACTCGGACAGAGCCTTGAACACCATGTTCAAATACTATACAACGCCAACAAACCACCACTATCCTGGAATTCATCCCCTCATCACCCTCTCCGGAACCTTGAACTCCGGCGGCACGATATACTCCCCCTTACAAGTCCCGACCGAGCACCTCTCCAACCCGCATCGCCCGTACAACCGACAATAACACTCCTGCGCATTGGGGCAGGCCACGCGATTCAAGCGATCGAGATCCACCATACCGGGTGCAAGCTCCCCCTCAGGCCGCACGGCACTGTGCTTGACGAACAGGATATGCCAGATATACGAGAGGATGCGGCCGGCGACGCGGTCGTCGGCGGGGGCGGCGGAGTTCTTACGGCCGGGGCGCGGGTTCATGCCGTCCAGCAACCACTGGCGGAGGGCGACGTACTCGTCGCGCGAGTGCTGCCAGGCGTTGGGGCGGGCGACGACGAACTGGGCGCAGCACTGGGCGCGGACGGGGTCGTTGCGGCCGAGAAGGGCGTGGACGTCGCGGGGATCATGGCCGAAGAGCGCGGCCAGCGCGCGCGGCAGCGCTACGTCCGAGGCCATGCGCGCGCTCCACGGCTCCAGCACCGACTGCAGCTGCAGCTCCAGGCTGCCCTGCGCCGGCTGCGTCGCCGGGCAGGTGCCCACACTCCAGTCGCAGCGCAGGTTGTGGTACCCCCACGGCTGCAGCGCCGCGCTCATGTTCAGCGCCCCCAGCAGCGCCGCGTTGTCGTACTCTCCGTGGTCGTTGTGCCACGCCCACCGTGACCCGTGCACGAACACCATCCCCGCCGCCGGTAGCTGGTCGTAGTTGTCGATCAGGAACGTCAGATACCCCATCGCCTCATGGCCGCGGTTGGCCGGCACCTGGAGGTGCGTGGATTGCTTGTTCTGCGACACCGGCGCGTCCGCGGTGTAGATGCAGAGGTGGTACTGCTCGCGCAGCCCCTCCAGCCAGGCGGAGTCGTCGCTTGTGACGCGTGACACGACCAGCGCCGGCTTGTCGGTGGCGGCCAGCCCGGGACAGACCCCCCGGGCTTCTGGTAAACGGGTCGCCGTCGTCTGGTAGGTGACTTTTGTCCAGGCAAAAGTCCGCCCGGGAGTTGGCGGTTTGTTGAGGAACAGGATCAGGCCGAGGATGCCGATGAACAGGGCCAGTTGGATGACGCTCTTGCGCGTGCGGCGTCGCATCGTGACGGTCTTACAGCACAGCAGGCTAGAGACCAGAGCGATGGTTATCGGGTGTGGTCTGGCACTGCATCATTGGTGCTTGTTTGACTGAAGCGTTTCTGAATCAGTTCGAAATCAGTGCTTATTAATCTAGAGCCACTTTTCTAGCCCCGCAGCGACCCGATAGGCGCGACTCGCGGGGCCATCGCTACAGGGTCTTTGAAAATTGGATTTCATTGTTTCATGGAAGTCATAACTGATGGACGGTCGTGTATAGAACCAGCCGCAGGTCAAAATTTGGTTCCTCCCACGTGGGGTGACATTCCGCATCCCGCAATGCATCCCGCAAGGGATGAAATGTGCAGTGTCAGACAGTATCGGGCCCGCCCTTCTCAGAACGCCGGGAATGCAGCAAAATACACCTTGTAATACGCCATCTTCCACTCGCCCTCCTGCTTGAGCAAACCCATGATGCCACACCACTCGGGCGTCACACTGCGCCCGTCCTTGAGGTTGTAGGTGACGGTGCCTCGCGCCAGAAAGGTGTTGTTGCCCAGCGGATTGACCGACGCCACGTAGTGGCTGCGACTAGCGACGTAGTCCCAGGTGGATGCAAATAGGCGGATCAAGCCTAGATTATCGGCGACCACAAGTCAGCTACATCCGTGCTTATGAGAGGGCTGCGAGTCGGCGTACGCCGAACATACCTGGTCGATCCGACACGCCGTGCTCGCCCATCTGCACGACCGCGTCGTGGGTGAAGAAGTCGGCGATGGTCTCGACGGCCCCGTCCGTGTCTACGGTCGAGTAGTAGGCCTGGATCCACTGTTTGACGGTGACATCGTCGAAGGACTCGGGATAGGTAGGTTGATGCATGGGGCGGTCCAGCTGCGCTGGCGAACAGCAGGGGGGGGGGGTGGAATAGCGTGGGAAAGAAAGTCTTCTGAGGGCTTCGGCTGTTGGACACTCCAACGAGGACAAGTGAGGGGTTAATGCGAGCGCATGTGCATCGGCCCCGGGCTTCTTATGGCTGTCTGCTCGCTCTTGGTTAGCGGATTGCTTGTTCGCGGCCCAGCCAAGCCAGAGCAAGAAGTGAAGATCATGCCCATTAGCAGAGTCGCAGTGTCTGGCCGATGTGACGGCTCATGCAGCCGTGCAGTGGTGGTGGACTTGGCTGCTCGTTTAGCGCCTGCGATTCCCGATCGGGGTTCGTCCGCGGCGCTTGATTTAAGATTGAAGCGGCAACCTCTAGCGATGAGATCTGGCTGGTGCTCCGTACGGATAGCGGCAAGGTGAGTTGGGAACGAGAGAGAATCGCTATCGGGACTTGCGATCCCGAATCTCAGCTTCACCAGCTTGCTGACAGGCGCCGCCCTGTCCACTCGGCCGCCACCTTCCCTTCGAACAGTGAGTGCCCAAATGCCGCCGTTAGCTGTCGACCTCAAATCGGGGACGAATGGTCGATAGGCTCAGATGCTCAGGGAGCAGCAAAATGGCTCCTCGCTTAGAGGTAAGTCTCGCCCAAGCATCAAGAGTCCGCCGTCCTAGGAAAGAGGCGCGCGAACCAGTCGCTTTAGCACCATCACAGGCGACCTCGCAGCATTGGAAGGAGACAGAGTATCGCTCAGCTCGCCTAGCCTTATCAAGCGCAATGCTGTCAGCTCATCAGAACCCGACCCGCCGTTCACGATGACATTGTCGATCTGAGGAATATTCTCCGGTCACATTCCCAAGCGGAGCGATCGGCGACGATCACCACGATGTCCGTACACTACAAGCATATTGGTGGTTACCCTCTGTCATAGTAATGCACTACCAAAATTGTAGGCAAGGCCCTTCACAACCACCGCTACGGAAAGTACCAAGATGCAGCCTGGTCAACCCGGCACCAACAACGCACACGCCATCAGCACCAGCCGTCAGACGCCACATTGCAGATAGTCGCGCGATAGCGACACCCCGAGAAAAGGGATGACGAAACCAGAATGGTGACGCAATGACCCAACTAGCGAAGCCTACCTCGCGAGCCCAGCGCGCACGCAGACACTGACTTCGGACCTCTAACGCCCACCGGCCCTGTCCAAAGCGAGTTGCTAAATTTGTCCAACATATCGGTAAGATGAGCGGCAATTCGAAACATGACCAATGCGGGCGGGAATCTTCTTCCGAGTGAGAAACCTTCCTGACTGGATAATACGAGCCGAGCCCGTCTGCAGGGTTTCCTTTGTTGTTGCGGGCCCGGGATGCGGTTGGGTTTGCAATTGCACTGGGAGGCTGTTGTGTTACCTTCAGCACATGCTTGGGCAGACACATGACGTTTTGGTGAGGGTCGGTACCAATCGGTCGGTTGCTATGTTTATCTCTTTCTCTTGCTCTATGTTGCTGATTCGTTTGATAGTTACAAAGAACTGTATTAAGTATGGTATATTACTATCCAGTCAGGTATGTACCGGTACCAACATCATGAACAAAGGGGAAAGAAGTAATTATAAGCGACAGGCAAACAGAACCCACAAAAGAAAGAAACGAAGCATTGCGACTGACAGCTCGACGCCACCAATCGCGAGCTTTGGCCGGAATTCTCCTCCCCCTGCATTTCCTCCAATGGCCGACCTCCTCAGCCCTAATCCAACATCAGCCACACACGGGCTCTCACAGTCCCCCCGCCTTTCCGTCTCGTAGATGACGCCACAAGTCGTGGCAGGCATCCTGCAACGACCGCTCCGCCTTCCAGCCCAGCTCGACAGCAGCACGGTCAGCGATGGCGACACACGATTCCACATCGCCCGGCCGGCGGCCGGCCGTGCGGCGCGGGATTGCCCGTTGACTGACAGTCTCCATTGCGGCGACGACCTCAGCGACAGAGTGGCCGCAGCCGGTGCCTAGGTTGAACGTGCGGAAGGACTCGACGACGCGGCCCTCCTGCGCCGCGGTCAGGGCGGCGATGTGGCCGCGCGCCACGTCCGAGACGTGGATGAAGTCGCGGATCGCCGTCCCGTCCGGCGTTGTCCAGTCGTCCCCGTAGATGGAGAGCTCCAGAAGCTCCCCCGTCAGCACCTTCACCACCACCGGCACCAGGTTCGATGGTGTACCCCGCGGGTCCTCGGCCAGGAGTCCCGACGCATCGCACCCGACCGGGTTGAAGTAACGGAGCCCCAGGATCGTCCAGGAGGGATCCGAGGCCGCGAGGTCGGACAGAATGGCCTCGCCGAAGAACTTCGTCCGGCCGTATGGGTTCGTGATTCCCGTGCAGCCTTGCTCGACGGCCATGAGCTGTCCGTCCGGCGCGCAGTAGGTCTCTGGTCGGTGCACGCAGTGCTCCTCGCGGAGGGTGGGGTGGGTCGCCGACTGGGTCCCGTAGACGTTGGCGGACGAGGAGAAGATGAAGGTCTTGATGTGGTGCTGGTCTAGCAGGGCTACGAAGTCCACGAGCCCGCTGATGTTGTTCTGGTAGTATTTGAGGGGGTTGCGCAGACTGTCGTGCACCTCCTTGTAGGCCGCGAAGTGGATCACTCCCGTGATGTTAGAGCGCGGCGTGGAATCTGGGTCTTGTGTAGTGTGGGCGGCCAAGAGAGCGCGCATCGCTGGCGTGTCGCGATAGTCCATACATGCCAATTCCGCCTGCGGACAGGGTCCGCCCTCGCGCTCGTAGTGTTGCTTGGCCGCCTGCAGGATGCGCTCGAACACCTCCCGGTAGCTGTTGCTCAGGTTGTCCACCAGGAGCACGTTGTAGCCCGTCTTCAGCAGCTCCAGCGCCGTATGGCTGCCAATGTAGCCCAGTCCGCCGGTGACCAGGATGTATTGTGCGGCCGCGTTGACAGGAGGCAGCGCGGCCAGGGCCAAGTCGAAACAATCATAGTCGCGCTCCGTCTCCGGCGTGGACGGGGCCGAGAACAAAGGAGTGGGTAGAGGGGAGCTGCCCTCGGACGGTGGGCAGGAGAGAGTCATCACAGCGAGCGACAATGACAGGAAGGAATTACGGAGGAGAATTGGCGAGGGACACCTACATAGACCAAGACCGGGTGGGAAGCAGAGGGTAACTGTAGGCGGAGCGTCTGTCCCATCATCTATACATCCCCTTTCGGCATTCGGTAGGCCCGCGATAGGGACGAGCCCAGCCCTTCGCCAGCATGATTTCATCGCCGAGTCATTGAGTCAACACTAGCGAGCGTCCAGCGGGAGACCGGCGCAGGTCTGGATTTTTCCTGGCTCGAAATTAATACCGACAGGGGCAGTAGTAGTATAGAACCAGCGTGGGTTCCTGGGGCATGCACTACTGCTTCCAGGGCAGGGGGGTGAATGTCCGGTCTTGGGAAAGAGATGGGGCAAGTGGAGGGATCCAGAGACACCCACTCATGGACAACCACGGTGCCTGAGTGAATACTCCGGCTTAACATCTCTAATGGGTGGTCGTGGGCAATTCGATCACTTCCATTGAGTCAATGGGATCCCGGCCATGGCCAAAAATAGGGCATTGGTGCCGAGTCTCAGCCTCTGGGTGGCGGACGAGGTGAAGTCCGTGGCGGCAAATTCAATGGGAGTATAGACTTTGACTGAGATGATGGCATCGCATTCTACACCCGCATCGCAAGCGGCTTTAACTGCATTAGGGTGACCTCCATTCTTCCTCAGAGGGGCCCGAAGTGGTTCCATACCCCCAATTAGCTCCACTGGGAGGGAGAGATTGGAGACCAACGACGGGTCGAGAGGAACAGTCCAGACTGCGCAGAGGGCTCCACTGGGATGAGATAGATTGAGGCGAGATGTGAAAGAAATAGAACACGACATGACCTAATGCAGGCAAGACAAAGGGAAACTTGACAGAGCGAAGACAACAGACATCGCCATCCCTAGGCACTGTAGCCCTGTGTCTCACTGATGCAGCGACAACTCATCGTGATGGAGAGAGGGTGTGTCAATGGTCGAATGTGAGGTGTGCCTGCGTCCTTCGTCGCGCAACATGACGTGCTGCAATGCCGTTGCAGCGAATACATACATTACGGTGGACTTGGTTTTGTCGATGTATCGTCGCTAACGGGCCGGACCAAGAAGTAAAAATTTGACCCATGCCGAACGGGCTCCATCAGACTCCATCAGCACTAAAGCTTAGACATCCGAGCTACTGCGTTTTGGGCGAAGCGAGTTTGGGGTTGGAGAAAAAAATTGAAAATGGTGGCTCATGGCTGAGAAATAGATACTGAATCCCGCGGTTTGCTGGATAGTCTCTCCACCAGTTCATGCTAATACAGTACTATCTATCTATCTATCTATCTATCTACTGGTCGGCCTGGGCCAACTGCAGGGCCTCCATCATCATCCCCCAACTCTGAGGTCCGAAGCGCTCGTAAAAGTCGCCTGCAATCTCGGTGACGAAGATGTAGGCCGCACGATGGCGCAGATCGTGCACCAAAGGCCGGACCTCGTCGCGCGGCACCTCACTAATCATGTAGCCGCATCGGAGCCGGTCATAGTCAAAGCGAGCTAGGTACTGCTGCACTTCATCGGTGCGATAGCGAGGATAGGGCTCTTCGCAAACGAGGATGAGATCCGGGCTCGGGTCGGTCAGGTTAGGATCAGGCGGCGTGCCCGGATTGTGGACAACCTGTCAGCGCGGGCGGAGACTGATCAGAAAATAGACAGGAATGTCAAATGTAACATAAGAATTGATGCGAGCAAAAGTACGAAGGGAGAAGATGGCGAGGGAGGGAAGAGAATCCGACTTATTCGTCTGGTTTCAGAGATAAGACAAATGACAGACCGTGATGGAGGACCGTGCCACCCGGGTCAATACTACTGTGTTGGGAACAGGTATACTGTACAAACAAACAACAAAACAATAACAACAACAACAACGAGCAGAATAGATGCTTACCAATCGATCCCCAAGGATGCCCTCCACCGACTTGACATACTCGTGCAGCTTCTGTAAGTACTCGGCTCGCTCGGGGGAGTGATGGTTGGGGGTCTCATCCACCATGATTCCCCCCAGCCCTAACCCTGGTCGCTCGTCGGTCGCCCACTGCGCATAGCGATCAATCTCTGCCAGCGTCTCGGGCAGAGGCTTTCGGCAGTAATCGATACGGATATAGCCGATGAGATAGACGTTCGGGTAACTGTTCAGGCGGGCCACTTCGCGTGCATAATTCGAATCGGGAGAAGGTAAGTCGCCAGGGCCACTGTTGGGGTTGATGATCACCAAGAATTCAAGATCGGGATGGGTCTCAATCCTGGATCGGTAGTCAGAGTGGATATCCTCCCAGATTGTACCAGACTTCCGAGCCAGGTACCGCCAGGAACTCAGCCGGCAGCGAAAAAGCAACCAAGGAAAAATCGATTCATCATGACATAACCTGTACCATGTACCAGACTATGCTAACCAGAGGAACAGAGGCACAACAAAAGAAATCAGAAATCAAGGAGCTGGTCAAAACAAGGCGGGTGGCTGGAGCAGCGGCGTCTAGGCGAAGGTGTTAAGGAAAAACGGAGGAAACTTTACGCGTCATAAAGTGGATCCCAACTCTTGGGCGTCAACGGATAGATGTACAAAGGTACCAGGACACCGGCTCTGGGGAGGAGCGTGGGCGACATGGTTGGTAGAGAGAAGGGGAGGAGGGGATGGGGATGCAGGAGAAGACGCCGGCGTGGTGCAGTAGTAGGAAGCAAATGAGTAATCCAGTGCTAGTAGACCAGGGTTGGTGATGATGCTCCCAGTTTGGCTTCTTATAGACTGATTATTAGACTAGTTAATGGACGCGATTACGAGAAAGGAAGGAGAGAAGAGGAGAAGAGGGGAGCAGGAAAATCGGAAACTCGGAAATTAGGAAAATAGGAAATTAGGAAGTTAGGAAAATCGGAGAATTGGAGATTACTGGAAACTAGGAGGAAATTTCCTGCACCGGGGCTGAACCAGGCAAGGACAACGTGGTCGAGGATGAGAACCTTGGGAGGGAGAGAGAGAGAGTGAGAGAGAGTGAAAAGCTTTTCAGCCTGGCTGTCAGCCAAGACTCGGCACTCAACCACCACTATTGCAGATACCAGGCAGCCACCAGCACAACCATGACAATGACCAGGTCAGCACAACATGAACTACACTCAATTGATCAATCAATCATTGAAATTTGGTGAATTACTGATAATCTCTGCAGAGGACCGTGCTAGTGCCTGGTTAGTCCGCTCATTAGCACGCTTGGTTCCTGTCGTGCCTTGGCCAGAACCTGCCAATCTCACTCTTTCGCTCCTCAACGAAACAACAGTCCCCGTCAGACCATTCAATCCGACCAATTCAATCAATCCCATCCAAGCTTTCCACTCCCTTGTCCAGCCTATCTGTCACCAATCACCACTACCGGACGCCTCCCGTCTCCCAAGGCTGTGGTGGACCTCGTCTAGTGCCGCCGCTGGTCAGCGCGCGCGGGATCGATCGACACGCTCACTCTCCACTCCGGCTCTCAAATGATTGATCCATCAAATCAACTCGGCATCAGGTCGATAATTGTGGCCCCCGCTGGATCAAAACTCTCATAGTAATTTTCCGCCAACGTGGTCAGGAACAGATATTTGGCCCTGAGACTCAATTGGTCGACCAAGTCCCGCAGCGTACTGTTCCCCATCTCGGGGACCGAGTGCAGCATGTAGCTGAACCCGCTCCGGTCGCTGGCCAGCGCATTCAACTTGCCCTTCTGCGTGTGGTAATCATTGTACGAACTCTCGAACACCACGGTGACGTCGGTCGTGTTGGAGTCATAGCGACCATCTGGGATAGTCCCGGGATTGTGGATGACCTGAGGGTTGGGGGCGTTAGTGGATGCATCTCCATCACCCAAACCTGGTTCCCCCCCTGGGTGCATGCTTACCAGTCGTTCCCCCTGCAGCCCGGTCGAGTTCTTCACCACCGCGGAGATGGTATTCATATACTCGACCTTGTCCGCCGCGTAGTCGTAGGGCGCTTCGTCGAAGAATATCCCATCCATGGCAAGCTGGGCCGACTGGTTCGCCCACCCGGCGTAGGTTGATACATCCGCCAGTACTGAAGAGATGTTGCGGGTCGCGTACGCGGTTCGCACGTACCCTACTCGTCGCACATTCGCATAGCTCGCCAGGCGCTCTACCTCGGTGCTGTATGCCTCGTTGGGATACGTGGTATTGCCGGGTCCACTGGACGGGTTGATGATCACCGTAAAGTTTAGATCCGGCCGTTCAGTGATTCTGGGGTCCGTCAATGAGGGTCTGCATCTAGAAGACTGGAAGGGAAAAAAACAGTAACACCGGCTACACTCACTCCTTATACAGGGGACTCCAGGTGCTGGAATTGGTGGGGTAAATGTACAGAGGGTAGAGCACATTGATCTTCTTCGCGTGGTGCTTCTTCCGCGTCAAAATGACCGCACAGGGCACGACAATGACCACAATCACCACTACGGCCACCGCTATGGCAATGGCGATGCACCAGGGCCGCCGCGGGCGACTAAGATTGGGGCGAGCCATTCATGCACCAGCTAGCCAGAAGCGTGGGGGGATTGAAACGGAAGTACAGGAGCAAAGGACTCAAAGGGAACTGGCTTCAAGGCCGTAGTCGTAGCTAAGAGAGGCAAGGAGATGGCACACCACGAAGGTTATAACAATATGATGAGAATCAGAGCCAGTCCAGCGTGGTCTGGACGGGTTCCGACAATTGAAATCGAATGGCGAAATTTCTTTGTAGGCGAAGGCCATGGTTCTGTTCTCGGCGTTACCTGTGCGGTGTAGGCGGCCATGGCATCCAAACATCCAACTGAGACATCCCATCGCAACCGCTCGATCGCAGTGGCTAGTATTCTTAGGGTTAAAGACGTGACACGGGAACGCAAAGGACGATGAGAGACCCGTATTTTTGAGTCAGACCTGCAGTCCACCTATTGTTAGCGTTCTTTGGGAGCCACGCCACTAGTCTGGCGCAGGAGGAGATTTGTTGGCATCAGCACTGGGGAGGAAATAAATGGGTCTCCCGAACCAGATCCAGTCGACACTTGGAAATTACCCAAAAGGAAAGAAATAAAACAAAAATAAAAACAAGAAATCAATAGGATAACCGGAAAAAGGCAAAATATTGTTCTGCTCAAAATACAGTACGCTACAATTTTCAGTCAAACAAGCCAGTCTTTAGACCCTGCTCGTTGCGGCGACGCCGCCATAGATAGCCAGCCATGTATCTGCTATAAATAGGGAATATTAAAGTATTAGAGAGGCTGACACTCTCCCTCCCCTGGTAACTCGTGAGGATCCGCGGGCTGTAGTGATTACATTCGTTTGATCGGCCTTCATATAGAGCCGTCGCAGCTATTAGTCCACAGTGTCCCCTTTGCGGTGGAAGAAGAGCATATGCCTGGCGTTTGACGCTGCCTCTTTCACCATGGCAGGACCCGAGTACCTGGGCCTCGATGCCGTAGGATGGGATCGGATGACATCGACCTGGTGGGACAAGGTGAGTGGTCACTGATGGTCGCGACAAACTCTGAAGCTTTCCCCTGACATCGGATGCGCAGGTCCTAGCATTCTGTTTACTAGCCACCATCGTTCTTGGTTCACTCTTTATTCTGGGTTACATTGGAAGGAAACTATATGGAATCTGGCGGGTAGGTGCTCTTTGTTCACTCCTGGTCTCTGGTCCAGGGCAACCCTGATCACCCTCACTTAGAAGCGTCATCAACTCTCCGAGGTACCGGGTACCATTGTCCGGTACTTCGATCAGCTCAAGACTGAAAATTCTTCCGTGCCCTTGTCCGAGAAATCGGCCAAACGCGACCTCAAATCTTTCGGAGTCTTCCTGGGGAATTTCTCCAACCCTCCCACCCAAGCGGAGGCACAACTGCTTTCGCGATGGGATGTTCTCGTTGTCGACCCCCTTCAGTCAGGCGTCTCGAATGCGCTCTCCGGCCACTGCACCTCGCCGCACGTTCTTGGCCGGCTCGACGTACAAAGGCTGGTGCCATCGGATGCGAGTCGCAGTAACGACGAGGTCATCCAAGCATTAACCACGGTGGTCCAAGCCCTGACGACCAATTTCCGACGGAACCCGGGATCCTCTTCTCCCTTCCACGGAGTGCTGTTGGCCGAGTTTCACGCGCACTTTCAGCCCGTGGTCCTGAACGAACTCGTCAAGTATATCAATCACCTTGGATTGGATGTGTGGCTCGAGCTGGCGCCACCGGAGTATTTGGGGGAGAAACAATGCCGGGAGGTCAACATGCAGCAGGTGCGCGGAATCGTCTACCGCAACGGCACCATCCTCCCCGATGGCGACCGACGCAACTATTGGCAGATGGCAGAAATGCGGGCAGCTATGCGTGTTGTCGCGGCACAGAAGGCTCGAGGTGACTCGACGTTGGCGATGTGGGACACAGTTAGTGAGGGAGTGGAGGTGTCGCACCACGTCCTGGGACGCACGTTCAAGTGGTGCAACTATAACAGTGCGATGATCTACATTGGACCCGAGACAGCCTTGACCAACGCGGAGATTGCCGTGGCTGAAACCGTGCGCCACGAACCTCTGGGCGCCATGATGTGGCTGAAACGTGGCGAGGTCCTCGAGGCACATGATGTGTGGCGCACCAACAACACCATCTCTCCCATGCCTGCCCAGAACGCTTCTTCTTCTTCTTCTTCCTTCGACTTCGACGCTCTCGACTCCTTCATTCCAGACCTCAAGGCAAAGCTCGCTCTGTCTGCCCCTTCATCCAGTTTGACCGTTGACAGCCCTGGTTTGACCGTTAAGGGCCTGGAATGGAATGTTCGCGACGAGAATCCACAGATCGATCCACTGTCAGTCTCTCCCGATGGAGCTACGTATACTGAACTCGGATGCTTCCATCTCGGCTTGGATTGTACCTCACAAAACATTACCGATGTGCTCGAGACACAGCGTCATCTGCGAGACTTGGACCTGCTCGAACGCCTCAAGCCGGAACAACTTCGTGCCATCGCTGCATCAATCCGCACCCTCCAAAAGGCGCAGGACATCCATCCCGGCCTCTCTGATGCCATTGCCGCCACCAAGGAACTGGTCGACCTACTAAATGTCAGCAGAGGTGATGACAATGATCGTCTCCGAGTCTACGTCGGCTTGCACTCGGGCTTTCGGACACGTCTAGGCACTCAGATCTGGGGTTTACTCGACCTTGATCCCCACATTGGCATGCTGAATCTCTATGTCAATGGTAAAACCCTGGATCGTACCGGGACCATCCTGCACGCCTATCTCTCAGGCCGCGGATTTAGCCGCACCCAGTGTTTGATGGCGGAGATGGCCTTGGCCGCTCAGAACCGCACGCTCTCCGAAGACTGGGATATTCCTCAACGGTTTGTCGATGACATCGAACAGCTCACTCCGGCGGAAAACCTCGCCTGGCATCGACGGTTGGCTGCATCTCAGTGCTCGGATTCTTTCATGCTGTGCGCGAAACTGCGGGCCTGCAGCGAATATCAACTCGTGGACGCGCCTTCCCATGCCCAACGCCGAGCTTTGAGCTCCAGCGCCTACCTCGATGGGGAAATCACCGCCGCAGAGCTCGTCGCCTCTCGCTTGACGTGGTACCAGGAGCAGGGCTGTTGGTCTCCAGATGCCGAACTTGCCACGGCACTCTTTTTGGAAGTTGATGCTCGTTTACCGCAGGTACTGGTTAACAACGAGGCGGATATCCTCGCAGTGCTCCAGGATGTGGTGCAAAACACTCTTCAGAAAGGTCGTATTGATGCGCGTGCGGACCTATTCGCCCTCTGCATTTTCTGCGCGTTCCGTCGCTTGGCATTGAATGAGATCTACTTGGAGGTCCTCGATCGGAACCCTCTGCCCAACCTAGACGCGGTGCAGGCTTCGTGCTTTACAGAGATGTATGCTTGTGGTGCGCGAACCGATATGTACTTTGACACGACACCCAAGCGACTTGGAAAGATTATCTGGAAATGGTACCGGGCGTACTATCACAAGTACCAGCCGCCTCAGCGGGAGGAAGCATTCACGGAGCTTCCCACTGCATACGCTTCCATGAATGTCGATCTCGACCCGAAGGGTGATCGAAGCAACGTTCCCTGGCATTATCGTTTTACATTTTTGGGGATCTTTGCGGTTCCAGCGCTCATCGATGTCACGATGCTCACCACTGTTGGTCGTGGTCTCTACCTCACCACGTACATGAGCGATCTTGACAAGACCTTGGCAACTACCGCCCTGATGTGCGCGCTGCTTGTCTGTGGTGGCTTTGGTAGTTGGATCAGCTCTGGTGGTAGCTATTATCTATATGCTATGGCGTTTCCCGCCATGAGCATGTTCGTTCTCACTCGTTTCGTCGCTGGTCTCGCGGTCGCTTTGGTCGGAGGAATCATCGCACTCATTGTTGTGGGTGTGATCAAAGGGTTTGCAGCTGGAATCTTGTTCTTCCTTTACTTCGTGATGTTGTCAACATACCTTATGACCCTGTCTGCGCTCTCCGTTTACCAGCTTCCAGGGTATTCCTTTCAGTCGGTAAGTTCACACACGCGAAGTGCTCAACCACGGCTAATATTCTTTAGGGACGAACTGTGATTATGACATGTATTCCTATCCTGTTCATTTCGCCCATCGTCACACTGTGGGTACATCGCGACTCGGTCATCTACCTCTGCTTCCTCTTTTTGTTCCTCGGTTCCCTACTGTTCGGTGCGCGGCGCGTCATGGGTCAATGGAACAACTGGTATCTCAATATTCCCACGGTGACCGACACCCAAATCGTGGAATGGTACCTACAAAAATGCGTTCCCCCTAGCGAGAGCCAAAGCGAGAAGGTCAAAGACTTCGGATCCAATGCACGCCAGGCTTTGTATAGCCGTGTCAAGAAAGAGCGGAAACGCCCCTTTTGGGCCAGGAAAACAACAGATCCGTTTGTCGCGAAGCTGGCTGGCGGCTACTCAGCGACTGTCTTTCTCTTAGGCTGGTACTGCCGTTACTCGCGCACGAAGATGCCTCTGCCCTACAGCCCGACCTGGAACCTGCAGTTAAGAGCTGCAGTGGATACTATGGGTGAGATGCAAAAGGGCCTCAAGCTTCATAGCGCCTTCTTGCATTGGCGTCATACCGGTGCGGACGTCTGGTGTGGTATTCTCTACTTCGTTGTCGCTCTTTCCGACAAGTGGAGTGCCCTCCTCACGGGCGAATCCATCGTTGGATTGTCCGCAGCAAACAGTGCCACGTATCGACTCACCGTTGGCTTCGCACTTGGCTACTACTTGCTGGGTGCGGTCATTCTTGACGCGGTTTCTCAACCTCTCTGGATATCGGTTACCAAGCGCAATCCTCAGCCTGTGTCATCGCTTGCTGCTCTCCATGAAGTATCGCTCACCGATGCCAATGCACGCCGGAGGCTGTACTGGAAGAACCTAATGAAGTTTTTCTTCCTGCACCTCTGGGGTGTAGCCATAACTCTTGCCATCATGTGGACATTCGAAATGACCAAGATCTCGGTCATCATGTTCTTGGCCTATGTTGGCTGCTACAGTGGCCTTCTCTGGTACCAATACAATCGGATCTTCAGCGGACCACATGTGGCCAGCGGGCTTGCTATCAGCGCTCTCATAGGATTAGTCGTGGGTATCATTCTTCACGAGGTTCTGCCTGCGTTCCAATACAGTAGTGTGATCGGTTTGGGCAGTGGAACCTGGGCGTGTGCTTTTTATTCCCTTTACAAAGCGGATATCGGCATGTCCTCGTTCAAGAGCTCCCCGGAGAAGGCCAGTGTCGTCAAGATCAAGGACACCTCGAGAACTCATGGCTTCAGCTCCCTGGAACCTTACCCTGATCTTTCTCAGTCTACGCTGTCTCAAATGTTTGACAATATCGGTCTACTTTCGAATGAGTTCCGGTACAAGCTCGATCCAACACTTCATCCTGGTGTGGAAGTCATCCAGATCCTCCGCTCCGATGAACCGAAGGCCAAACCCGTTCGCGCTGCGTTCCCTACTGCCACACAGATAGGCCACCGCGTGGCACAGCTTTGGGAGGACGGAGAGACGACAGTGGAACTAGTCTCAGCTGCCCACTTAATTCAACCAGAGCAAAAGGTTCGTGCTCTTTGTCGCCGGACGGGTGAGCGTCTCCATATCTACGTTGTTGTTGGCCCTGATCTTGTCGGCTACGACTGGGTTTCGGATATTAGACGCAACTGTCACGCCATCGCGGAGGCTGTAGTCCAAATGACCTGTGAATCTCGCCTTGGCCTGTCTCATGATCATGCCATGTTTGCTGAGTTCCTCACTGTCCAAGGCTTACCTGGCCATGAACTGGTTCTACCCGAAGGTATCAAACGTCAGCTTGAGAACAGCTCCGCGGAACGAACTCGTGTGCTGAACCACAGTTCCAAGACAATGCTCCGCCATTTGCTGCTTGGAATTGACTGCGATATTGAGTGGGACCTTCTGCCTCAGTACGCTAGATCATTTTTGCTGCGCAGATGCCTAGGGCAGTCATGTCGCCTCTCTTCACAGCAAACGGATTGGCTTGTGTCAAGAGCGAGTGCCGATGAACCTCTTGGTCTTGAAGAATACCTCGCTCGCTGGAATCTGGGTGCAACCCTGACTATATCAGTCAAGGGGTATGCAAAGGTACTGGAGGCTCAGCATCGGGGTCTCGAGCACGAGGGTTTTCTGAGCAATAGGTATGACAGACCCATCCGGGACATCCTCGCATTGAATGCAGAAGTGTCACATGTCGGAATGCGTGAGGCCTTCCGCATGTCACTTGCTCGGACTGTTCAGATTTGGAACTCGTGCATCAAATTCATGGTCATTGCTCTGGTTGCTGATCCCGAGTATCAACGAGAGCTCGAGTTTATGCTTCGAGGACAGCCTCTATTCTTCGCCTGGCCGGCAACCGTTGTTCTCACCGCTGTATGGCAATTCTGCAAGATGCTGCAGCGTATCATTATTCCATTGGTTCTGGTAAGACGAGCCCTCATTCTCTCCGTCGTGGGCCGTTTCATGGTGATACTGACTCCTCATAGGTGCACGGTCGGGATAAGGTCTCCACCCTGTATCGAAACATGCAAGGTTGGAAGACTGTCATTTATCAAAATCGTGTCGAGATGGAAAGCCTCAGTGGCATCTCCACTGGTTTCTTCCGCACCGAACCGGATGGCACACTCAAGCTTTACCAGTACACTGGAAGACATGACCAGGAGCCCAGCGACTACAAGAACCTAGTCGCTATCAATACGTATAGCGCTAAGTTACTGCTTCTGGGCCGACAAGAATATAGTGGCCAGGATCTGATCAATGAGTTCAAGTACGACTACGCTCAGCAGGGAAACAAGTCGCACGCCAAGCTGCCTATGCAACGGCAATGTATCCAAGGCAAACTGGAAGGACAGATTGTCCAATATGACAAGCGCGGATACATCACTTCTGGCTCTGCCATGCGGGGTGTCAACCCGATGGAGTTCAAGTTCTACTACCGCAAGGGTGCCAAGTTCGAAGACGAACTTCTACGCGCTGAGTATGAGCTGCCACATATGAAGATCAGGGTCGCTTGGTGTATGCCACCACCCAATCGTCCCGAACGCTTGGATAAATGGATCCCGTATCCCCGCGTGACGGATGCCACCTACGTGCAAGCCGAGGATCAGCACAGAGCTACGTGGACCTACGATCACAAGTTTCACCCTGTCATTGCCACAACACTCAACGGAGAGGATGTTTCCACCCCAGCCATGATCCACGAGGATTGGTTCCATGTGTTGGAGAAGCCAACCAAGTGCAGTTTCCTGGATGACAACCCACTTCTCTCCTTTTCCTCCGTGAAAGTGAGCCTTGTTTCGCGCTTGCTCGGAACCAACGTGAAGAAGTATCCGATTCCCACCTCGCGCGCTCGTACACATCTTTGGAAATCATGGAAAGCGAGCAAGGAGTTCGATGCTATTACCGCGCGGTGGTTGGATGAGATTCTGTTGCGTGCAGATCGAGTCCTTAAGCCTTACTGGCGTAATCGCGACTGGTGTAGGCTTGAAGTGGCCGGTGACTATCTCGACGCACGGGCTGATACAGTGCTGGCCCGAGTAGACATTGATCCGGAAATCAGCTCCTGGACACCCATCGCGTTCAAGATTGCAGACTTGTCGAGTTTCGGTGTGGGCGGCGAATCTCGCATCAACACCCGAACACTCTCTACCCAGATACAAGACAGCGACACTGAACTTCATGTTCTAGCCATGGACACCGGCACGTGGCCTAATGAGCCAGGTGGCGTGTCGGCTTGTAGACGAGACATGGTGAACGATCTTAAGGGTATTCGCTGGCACATTCTTGCGGAAGCAGCCAACGACTTTGGTGTACCAAGGTTTCAGATTGAGCGGAACGTGCAGTCACTGACAGTTCTGCCGCAATGGGGTCTTGATTTCCTGAACCCAACGCATGGCATGTTCCAGAACTACCTCGATTCGGAGGTGGTTCAGAAGATTTACGACACAAAGGTTGCAGACATTGAGCGGAACTTCATCCCTATCTTGGCTAGCCTGGTTCGTTGTGCTCGTACGGTCAACAAGACTCGCGCACACGTTGAGGAAGCCACAAAAGCCTTGGTCGATCTCAACACGTACTTCGAATCGTCGCGCAACTGGAACGATGTCTGGATGAGCGATACTGTCAAGCATGCTTGGCGTGAGCTCTGGTTGACTGAGGAAATGGATGGCGCGATTGCCGTCTCCGAGTGGTGGCACGCCGAACTGCCTACCCTGCAACAGCTCGATACGGCCCTCGATATGTGGCACCGCTGTGAGTATTACTCTACCTATTTGATTTGAGAAAGATGACACTGACCAACCACTAGATCTCTTCATCTTTTCTGTTCCTGTTCCCGACCGCATTCCAGACGTGTTTCAAGCGTCGCACCACTTCACGGGCGCTAACTACGGTGTCCTCTGCAAGGTCAAGCGCAAATGTGCACTCCATGTCTGGGATCACTGCGTCAGCTTCCGAGAGATGACTACCTTCCTATCTGCGGCTGTGTCTTTTGATTCGACTTTTGTCAACTCGACCTTGATTTCGCTGGGTCACTTGTCTTGCGTCCTCATTGAACATCATGCGGATGTCGTTCTCCCTTGCGCAGAGTACTTCAACCCCGGATGGGAGATTGAATTGGGAACATGCGAGGGTGTGTTGGAGCATCGTCGGGCATTCGCACGCAAGATCGATCCGGTCGTCAACGGTATCACGAACATGGAGAGATATAAGCCCATAGAGAAGATCAAGACGGAGACACCCACAGTTGTCATGTTGTCGCATATTCGGTAAGCAATGTTCCATCGCCCTGCTCTAGCACTAGTGAGATCATACTAATACGACATTCAGTTATGTCAAGGACATCAAGACGGCCATCATGGCCACGGATCTGATTGTCAATCAATGGGGATTCAAGGACTATCGCCTCCACATCTACGGAGACATGGAACGTGCGCCCGGATACGCCTCTGAATGCCAAGAAGTTATCGCCTCAAAGTCCTTGCGTGAACATGTTGTATTGAAGGGTTTGGGTAAGCCGGATGTGGTGCTTCAGGATGCTGTAAGTCATTCCCTCAGATATTCTCTTTTCATGTGGCCGTCACTAACCCACCTCTCTCAGTGGCTGTTCATGAACTCGTCGACCTCCGAAGGTCTACCGCTGGCCATGGGTGAGGCGGCTCTGACTGGAGCACCGGTGGTATGTACCGATGTCGGCGCATCATTCTGTGTGGTTGTCAACCGCGAGACCGGCAAACGATTCAGTGAGGTTGTTCCTCCCAACGATGCCTATTCCCTCGCATCTGCACAGATTCGTGTGATGGCTCTGCTTGGCGAATGGAGCCAGTTCGCCGAAGACCCTGAAGGCCTTGTCCCGCCCACGTTGGGCCTGCGCCCCTCTCCAGAGGAGGTGCAGGAGATCTCGAAGCGTATGTACGAAAAGCAGGAGCAGCGCCGCAAGTTCGGTATGCAAGGTCGCGACAACGTCTTGGCCAGTTTCTCCAGCCATCGGTACCTGCGCGAACACGAGCAGATGATGTGGTTGGGCAAGTACCAGAGCCTCAGCTACTTCGCTCACGGCCCGGCGTCTTCGAGTGGATCGAGTGGATTCTTCAAGGATGCCAAGGGGCAGGTGACGGTTGAACAGGTTCCGGATGCTCTGTTGCCTCCTACCCCTCCCTGGATGGGTGGTTCCAGGCGCACCCGTGGGAAACGTTTCGCAAGATTCAGTTCGACGAGCACACAGTCGCTCGCATAAGTGATCTCGTCACACAACGCTGGATTTGGGATAGAGTTGGAGTTTTCTCTATGTAGTGTGTTCTGTATATAGTGGACCACTTTTCCTCTACTTGGTCTTAGCTAGCATAATCTTAATGACTATTGTGTACCTGCAAGTTGTTTCGAGATTCGTGGATAAAATCTGCGATAAAGCACGGGTCGAAGAATCTCTAGTTGCTCCGCTACAAGCCGAGAAGGGAAGATTGGTGCCTGGGGCCGAATGCACAAGTTCAGCAGTAGATCAAAAGCGCTATCGAGTTACGCGACTGGGCGTTAGATTGTGAGGTACAGATTCAGTCATTATTGTGGTGATATCTTCATGTGGATTTGTCTATTGGAGGTTGATAGCTATTTTTGTAGCTAATTCTTTTGTAGTTCACAAATAGTCAATTGAGATGCCGTATACAATGTGTACCGGGACCATCTCACCCTCTCTGACATGAGTATTCTCCGTACTTCTGGTACTGATTTCAAGCTCGTGGGCAGCAGATGCAATATGGCCGGATCCCGGGTTTCGTGGCTGAGTCCAACGGATTGATCGATATTTGGTGGGCCTGCCATGGACGGAAGCCCAGCAGCCGAATCAGCTATAAAGCTGGTCAAAAGAGTAAGCACTAGTGCTTTTTTCCGTTCGTTTCCAACAGCTGCCGTCTAATTCAGCTTGCTCCGCATACGGTCGTAGTTGACAACCGACTCGAGCAGTGTCTGCGTTCCGAGAGCACTGCACAACAAATCAGTAAGCCAATCCGAGCAACTCGTAATCGAACAGCGTCACCACTCACCAGTCTTCAGGCTTGCAATATTCCTCCGGATGGTGGCTGACACCCTCCATACAAGGCACGAAGATCATCGCGGTGGGGCAGTGTCTATTGGTGTAGACACTGTCATGGCCGGCGCCACTCGTGATCTCGAGCCAGCCATCAGCGCCAACGAGCTGAGCCGCAGCCTCCTTGACGGCCGAGAGGCAATCCGCATCGAACTCCACGGCCGCCGAATCGGTATCCACCTTCCAATCAAAGGATACGCCCTTGCCGTCCTCGCGCGCGATCTCAGCGAACAGACCCAGGCACTCGTCCTGCACGGTGTGCACCACACTATCGCGGGGGTGCCGGATGTCGAGCGTGAAGGTCACCTCGGAGGTGACGGTGTTGGTGGACGAGGTCGGCGGCAGCTTGAGCACGCCCGTGGATGCGAGCGCGCCGTGTCGCTTCGCTACGGCGTTCGACGCGGCGATCATCTTCGACGCGGCGAGGAGAGGGTCGCGACGCGCGCTGAGGGGAGTCGTGCCTGTGTGTGCGTCGCGTCCGGTCACGTTGATCGTCAGCCACCGGTAGCCCTGGGCTCCTGTCACCGCCCCGATCTTCTTGTTGGCTTCCTCCAGAATGGGTCCCTGTTCGATGTGGAGCTCGAAGTGCGCGCCCAGTGGGTAACCCTTGGGCGAGCAGGGGATGTCGCCCATGAAGCCGTGGCGCTCCAGCTCCGAGCGTAGGGTCACTGACGGGTCGAAGATATCCGCCAGCTTCCAGGCGCTCTCGATGGGGATTTCACCCGCCCAGACGCCGGAGGAGCACATCGATTTAGGGAATCGGGCTCCCTCCTCGCTGTATTGTGTCAGACATGTCGGTAAGAATGGTGTGGGCTTCAGGGGTGTACTCACTTGGTCCAGTTCACCAATCCGATGTCGAACTGGGTTTGGTAGCCGTGGTCCTTCATCGTCCGCAACACCTCGAGCGCGGCAATGACGCCGAGGATGCCGTCGTACCGACCACCCCGCGGCTGCGTGTCGAGGTGGCTGCCCATCGCGGTCATGGGCGCTGGGGAGTTGAGTGCGCCGCGCTGTCTCGCGAACATGTTGCCCATCTGGTCGATTGTGACGTCGCAGCCTAGCTTCTCGGCTTCGTCCAGCAGCCATCGGCGTACTCTGGCGTCGTCGTCTGTCAAGCATAGTCGATTCATGCCGGTCTCGGTCGGGCCGCTGCAACTAAGTCAGGATTGACCATTGGGAGATTCAGAGCATACTGACTTGCCGTATCGATGAGCCGCACCCCATTGACAGGTGTGGTGAAGGGTCTCCAACAGCCGATCGGAATTGATCTTTAAGCCGGAACCAGCCAGCGACGACAGGTGTCGTCGGAAGCTGGACGCGGCCAACCCACGAGAAAATGAGTATTTGAACATGATTCTGGTGTGTTTAGGCTAGGCCACAGGATGATTCAGCGCCAGAGAGCACCCGGGATTGTCATTGGGGCCGGTCATGCATGACATGAGATGGTGGTGGCTGGCAGGGCTTCAAATATGGCCGCCGACCGCCGACCGTGGAAAGATTGCGCCCTCCCGCGACTTGCGCCTTCTTGCGACAATGAATTTCTCCTCCGCATCTTTGGAGAACTATTCATTGTATCCACACTGATGAGAAAAATGGTCACTCACAGTGGGTATCAGAAGAGAGTGAAAAATTCTTACCTAATAAAGCGCAGTTTTCTTTTCCGATAGGCGTGTCATCGAAGGGCGCAGTGGTCGCCAGCTGGACTGAAGCACTTATAAGCTGTTGACCGTCGTCTCGGAAAAACACCAATCGCCCATAGAGAATTCGAAGACCAGGAAATCTCAAGACGATGGCACCTCAACGACAGTCAATCTACATCAACTCAAGCCCTTCGACGATAGTGTCGCCTCCTGCGGCCCAGGTCCAAGCCTTCCATGAGCAATTCCCGGGTTACCAGGCGAGTCCTTTGGTCGCCTTGCCCGATGTCGCGAATGAACTCGGAGTCCGCGCTGTGTACGTCAAACAAGAGAGCAATCGCTTTGGTCTACCGTCTTTCAAGGTGATGGGAGCATCATGGGCTATCTACCGGGCGCTTCTTGCACTTTTGACATTGCCGCTTGAGACATCCCTCGAAACCCTCACTGAGCGCATCAGGGCGGGTGAGCCTTTCACATTGGTGGCTGCCACAGAAGGCAATCATGGTCGCGCAGTCGCCTGGGTGGCACGTCAGTTATCTCTGCAAGCGCGCATCTATGTCCCTCGAACAATGGTCGCATTTACACAGGAGATGATCCGGTCGGAAGGGGCGGACGTGGTGGTGGCCGACGGGGATTATGACTTTGCCGTTCAAGAGGCCGCCAAAGCTTCACAAACGACGAAGAATGCGATATTGGTGCAGGATACAGCTTTTGATGGTTATGAGGAGATCCCGTCCTGGATTGTCGAGGGCTACTCCACCTTGATGCACGAGGTGGATGCGCAGTTGCACGCCCTCGGTCTGCAAAACACGCTTGTTGTGTCGCCTGCGGGCGTTGGCTCGTTGGCTCAAGCTGTGGCCATGTACTCCAAATCGCGCACCACTCCTGCTACTTTTGTGACTGTCGAGCCTGACACCGCTGCTTGCCTAAACTTGAGCCTCAAGAAGGGGGAGTCGACCTCAATCATCACAAGTCCCAGTATAATGGCCGGTATGAACTGCGGGACGGTATCATCCGCCGCATGGCCTATCCTACAAGAGCTTGTTGACGCCAGTGTCACAATCTCTGACTTTGAAAGCCACTGTGCGATCGAGTATCTTGCCTCTCGTGGAATTGATTCCGGTCCATGCGGTGCTGCTAGTTTGGCAGCTATTCGACGCCTCAAAGCAGAGCATGATTCACCCTCGTACTTTTCGCCCGACTCGGTGATTGTGTTGCTGAGCACCGAAGGTCGTCGTCCCTACCAGATCCCCGAGGATGTTTCGTCAGACGACCCTACTGCGCTGACCCAGACGCTTACACGCATCGACTCCTCAAACCCGACATTGTCCAAGGCGAAGGGAGCTGGCGAAACGGAAGTGGTCAACTACCTGTCAGCGTGGTTCGCACATCGTGGTATTGAGCATCATCGCGTGGAAACCAAACCAGGGCGTCCTTCGGTGGTCGGCATCGTGAGAGGAACCGGTGGTGGAAAGTCTCTTATGTTCAACGGCCACGTGGATACCGTGACCTTGAGTACGTATGAAGGAAACGGATTGAGTGGTCATTTGGCGAATAAGGATGGCAAGGAGGCGGTGTTCGGTCGGGGGACGCTTGACATGAAAGCCGGTGTAGCCGCAGGACTGTCTGCCCTGGCGAGCGCCCAGCGCTCGAAGCTTGCTGGGGACGTAATCGTCACTGCTGTAGCGGATGAGGAGGATGCCTCACAAGGCACGATGGATGTGATTGCAGCGGGGTGGAGGGCCGATGCAGCCGTCGTGCTGGAGCCCACCAATCTAAGCCTGGCGCATGCTCACAAGGGTTTTGTATGGGTGGAGCTCAACGTACAAGGACGCGCAGCTCATGGCTCGAATCCTACGGCCGGCATTGATGCGATTATGAATATGGGGCTGTTGCTACAGGCCTTGAAGCAGTACCAGCAGCGGTTGCCAGTCGACGATGTGCTTGGACAGGCATCTCTCCACTGCGGAGTTATCAACGGCGGGGACGAGATATCTTCATATCCGGCCAGCTGCACGCTGACTGTCGAGTTTCGAACTGTGCCTGCGCAGACTGATGCAATAATTCTTAACGAGATGCGCGACCTGCTCGCTCAGATACAAGCGCAGGATCCTGATTTCCAGTTCAGTGAGCCTAGCATCACTTTCTCGCGGCCGTGCCAGTACCTCCCGGAAACCCACACCTTTGTGCAGCAGGTGGTTGAGATCAGCAAGAAGGTACTCGATCAACCCGTCCCCGTTATCAGTGTGCCCTTCTGGTGTGATGCGGCTCTCTTGACGCAGGCTGGAGTCCCCAGTATTGTTTTGGGCCCGTTTGGAGATGGGTTGCACGCCAAGGAGGAGTGGGTTGACGTGAACAGTGTGCGACAGCTAACCGAGATGCTTGAGCTCCTGGTCCAAGACTTTTGTCATTAACTGTGAGTATACCATAGAGTCAATTGCCAAAGAAAACCAATAAAGTAATCTCTCCAGCCGTAGCTACTGAGAAATAGCTTTGCCGGTAGCGTGATTTGATGTCAGGGTGATAGGTGGAGGAGAATGACGCGAGGTTATAACAAGTACTTGCTGTAGACATGTCTCTCAGCTGGGGAACAAGTCAGTTGATGCCTGAGGCACCAGAATAGTACGTGGGGCAACGGCGGGGCAGTGGGGGATGCCAATCTAGCCCTTTTTGGCAAGCGGTGACTATCGCATCACTTTCTGCCCCCGTCTTCGCCCTTTTGACTTCATCACTAAGTCGTCCTCCTCTCTGTCTCTCCTTCTCTTTCTTTTCCTACTGGATATACTCGGTCCTCGCGCCTCTATTGTCCATTCTTGGGGCCCATACCTCTCCTCTGGATGTGATCTCACCCTTCATCCTGGCATCCTGCGATGGACGATCTCCTCCCGTTAGATGATCAGCTCCTGTCTCCTTCTTTCGAGAGTCTTCTCGATGACACCAACTATTTTCTTAATCAATCAGCAGGCTCGGGCGCATCGTCTTGGAATCTGGCTACTTCTCCTGAGCACAACTCTGGCTTTCTAGATTGGGAGCTATTGGGCAATGCAACGCCCTTCACACCTCCCATCAATGAATCATCGATTGGCTATCCTCCCCAACACAGCCATCCACCCGACGTCCTCTCCACAAAGAATCTATCGCAACACGACAATGTTGGATCTTTTGACTGCTTACTTGCACCAGAGCCTGCTGTCCCGATCCACGCCAATCCTTTGAATGACGGCTTCGTCAGCGTCTCCCAGTGGCTGGACGGTGCCTACCGACCCCCCGTGCCTTGCAGCTACTGCCAGCGCCACCGATTACAGTGCCTTATCCTGCGCACCACCTCCGCGAATCCCAACCCGGTAACCTCATGCTCCAGCTGTGTCGCACTGTATCGAGAATGCAGTCTCGCGCAAGGCGAGAAACGCCAAGCTGCAGGCTTCGAAACCATCTCCCCAGTCTTCGGTCATCTGCACGGCGTCACGGAGATGACGGAAGAACGGGATGAGATCATTGCTCATGCGAAGCCGGGGAAAGAAGCACCTGAACGGCAGACAGACAACTCACACAATGCTGAGACGCAGCCGAAGCCACGCTTCTCGCGGAAGGGAGCCAAGATCCTGCGTGACTGGTTCTACAGCAACCAGCACTCACCCTATCCGACCGATGAGCAACGAGCCGAATTCGTCAGACAGACAGGCTTCACCGACCGACAGATCTCTAATTGGTTTGCCAATGCCCGACGACGTCGGAAGATGGCTTTGCGGACGCCGCGGCCCAGCTCCATCACGCCCGCGCCTCGCGGCAGCTCCCCCATGCCTGTCTCGCGATACGCGTCGTTGACGCCGATGGAGCGCTGGCAGAAGTCTCCTCCCGACCAGGAGCCAGTTCCGCAATCCGTAATACAGAATGCTATCGCTCGTTCAGATCTACCGGGGGCTGCAGAAGGTGACCTCAGCCGGGGCGAGCGCATAGGGGTCGGTCATCGGAGTGACGATCATGCTTACTCGGTCTCGAGTATGGAAAGCGGACAGTTCGAGAGCGCACAATCCCAAGCCTCATCCGATACGGTGTCCTCGGCCGCTTGGAGTTACCGTTCCGATGATCCTCCCCCGTTCCCTTTGTCAGATAGTCGGCGACGTCAACGCCAGTCTCGACGAAGGCCCTCCTCAATCCACTCACTCGGCGACCATCAATACCAATGCACGTTTTGCCCCCGATCTTTCAAGAAGAAGCACGACTGGTGCCGGCATGAATTGAGTATGCATCTCTCACTGGAATCGTGGCTCTGCACCATCAATCCCGCCACGTCCACAGTTGAAGACCAAGTCGAGTGTGAATTCTGCGAATCTTCTCAGTCATCGCCCGCGCACCTGGAAACCCATGAATTCGACGTTTGCGCTGACCGGCCACTCGCTGACCGGACATTCACGCGCAAAGATCATCTTATTCAGCATCTCCGCAAGTTCCACCGTTGCACGAAAGTGCCTACAGCGAGGGTGGAGGGGTGTCGGTCCACGCGCACGGCTGTGATAAGTCGATGTGGCTTCTGCCATATGGTGATGCAGAACTGGACGGAGCGTGCGGATCATCTCGCGGACCACTTCAAGAAAGGTTTGCGCATGACTGAATGGACTGGTGGATGGGGATTAGAAGATACCTCGCTGGCCATGTTGCGAGATGCTACCCTTCCGGCTCAGCGATCGCCTGGATCGTGAGCACCACGTCGTCTACGAGGCCGGGAATGAGCCAGTGCAGACCCATCCGGCAATTTACGAAATCTCCTATGCCGTGACATGACCCTTCCTCGGTCGTTTGAGCCATGGACTATTCCATGCCAGTTCTATGTCCGCAAGTGTGCAGCTTGGGATCGCCATAGCCGCAGCCTGTGGCCACCTACATCCCCTTTAGGATAACCCTCCGTGGCTCCGCCGCCACTCGAGCAAATATCATCCGGAACGTAGAGGGCCGACGCTGATCATTAACCGCAGCAAGACAGTTTGAGTAGTCGTCAGCTACAAGAAAATTCTGGCGGTGGAGTATCGAAGGCACCATTGCTCAGTCGGGAATACCGGCAGGCTGGATACAATCGGTTAGAATAGTAGAACTTTCTTCTTCTGTCAAGAGAAGAAGTTTTCGTGGCGCTGTAATCACTTGGATGTCGAGAGAGCAAGATCCGCTCACCGCCCGCCGATCGGAAATACGCCTCCAGAAAATCGCCACCAGCAAAAAGTCACTTAGGCCCTATCTCTCAGAAAACGCCAATATCAGGCTCCGGGATCAGCGCATACTGTTTTCGCTAAGTGCTGACTTGCCGACTTGCTTACTTACTCACACATTTCATCTTTATTATCTGGGGGCTGTGGGTGCAGTTTGCAAGGAAACTACGGTGACAGCTCAGTTGGGAACGGGTATTGAAGCGTCTGTAGCGTCCCGGATTCATGCTGTCGGCGCGTGCTGCTTATTTCTTGACAGGAGATGAATGAAAAAACTAAAAACTCAGGCGCGTCCGTCATAGGTTTGGTTGTCATCGCTCTATCTTTATTTAGACATCCCAGTCCCAAACATAGTAGCTTGAAGGCTGTGATCCAGCTTTTGTACTGCGTACATCGAGTGCAAGTATATATATCCTTGATCCCCGTGCCACCCTCCATCCACAATGGAAATGTCATCTTGAAAGTCGGAAGACCAGATACCGATCTACAACAGTCATCAAGTCGTGATCCATGTACCAGCACTAACATTATATACATATATGTACTTTTGCACACTTTATCTACAGAAGATGGATAATGTGACAGGTAAGCGAATCCGTTCCGGAGGCCAGCTATCGCCGTCATTCCGATCCCGGGTTGGGGGGGGGTAAAACAGAAACGAGTTCTAGACCGTGTACATCTAGACTGCGGGAAATAGTCGTGCATCATATCGATGATTAGGTGATCTTCATTACTTTCTTCAGCCCGCTCAGCGAGACGGGCTTGACCAGGTATTCGTCCACTCCCGCGGCCAGCGCCTCTTGCTGCTGGTCCGCCGAGCCGAGCCCGGTCACCGCGATGATGCGGGTGGGGATGAGTCCCATTTTCTTTTCGTACCGACGGATTTGTTCGGTTGAGGTGATGCCGTCCATGACGGGCATGGAGATGTCTGGGGCTCGGTCAGTGATTTGCATACATACAAGTCACGGATGGTTTCTAACTTACCCATGAGAACTATATCATGGCGTCGGGAGGCACTTTTGTATGTATTGAGAGCGATCAGCCCGTTGGAGGCGGTGTCATAGCTGCAGCCCAGTTTGCGGATGAACGTGGCCAAGATCTGCGGATATTGTTAGTATCAGGTCAGATCAACCGCAAGTCATATGATGCTCACCTTCAAGTTGATATCGTTATCATCCACAATGAGCACATGCACATCCTTTAAAGGTTTAGCAGAGGGAATGGAGTTTGACTGGCGAGAGTCGGGCGATGGTGTTGGCGCCGGTGACATGCTTTGAAGAAGTTCGGGAGTAGGGTCAACTGTCGGGGGGGAGAGAGGTGTTTGACACGGTGTGGGGTTTTTGATGTATTCATAGTAGAGAAGGAGTATGCGATTGATCACGTCGTCAAATTTACGGGGGCCAAATCTGGGCCGATGTTAGTACAGAAGTATGAGTATCAGCAATAGCAGAGAGACTTACGGTTGAGAGACCCGAATCATGTTCGGCGCCATGGTATCGCGTATCAGATCCTGATTGCTGTCTAGTACGAGGAGAAACTTGTAGCCGCCAACAGCGCCCATCGCAGGCTGTAACTTGCTGGTCGCCATGGCCCTACTGAGAGATTCCTCCTCGATCACAGCGACTTCGCACTTAGCGTCTGCTAGCGACTCGGCCTGAGTCAAAGTCCAGCCAGGCTGTTTAAGTAGGACCGAGGTCAGTGAACTGCGAATTGCCAACTTGCGCTTGGCCTCGGCGGGCAAAATGCCTGTCGGGACCTCCCGAGGGTGCGGATAGCTGTCAAAGCCGACGAGGGAAAATCGCAAGGGCGCCATTGGCAGAGCGGGTGGTGAAGCGAACCCTACGCCAGGCGCTCCATTTGCGTCGCTTGGTACCAGTAAGCGCACAGGGATAAAGATATCCACCTGCGTACCGATGCCCAACTCACTGCGAACGTTGATGTGTCCGTCAAGAGAGGAAACCAATTGCCGCACTATACTGAAGCCCAAGCCCAGCCCCTCCGAAAGAGAGTCTTCCTGCGCGAAAGGTGAAAAGAGCTTATGTTTCAAGAAGTCGGGCGCAATGCCACGTCCAGTGTCGGTAACCGTGAGATGAGCAAAAATCGATTGTGGGTCGGATTTGCGTCGTGCCTTGGAAAGTGAGACCTCAATAAATCCCGTCTTGGTCCATTTCAGGGAGTTTCCAAGCAGATTCATGACAATGCGCCGCCAAGCCCCGGCTACGGACTGCACGGTCCACGCCTGTCGGTCCTGCACACGCACTACGACTGTCAACTCTCCTTCCTTGATTGCCGCATCGGCAGGCGAGTGCATCAGACGTCGTGTGAGCGGGTTGATCGTCCGGCCCAGTCGCTGACCTGTATACTGAACATCGGTCACTTCTTCCACCAAAGCATCGAGATCGAAGACGGTCAGGAGATTGGCCGACCGGGAGTTCGATGGCTTATCATTTCCAGCGTCCTCCCCTGTGGTCAAGTTATTAATCTTGGCAAAGTCGAGCCTGTAATTGTCAGTAACGAGGTAAAGAGCTGAATGAGGTAGATGAAGGTTGACGTACAGATGATTTAGCGTGTCGAGAAGAGTCAACCCACAGCTCTGAACCATACTCATCCAATGGGCCTGAGAAGCATCCAGCGGACTCGATTGTAACAGCTCAGCACTTGCCAAGATGCCATGCAATGGCGATCGCAGTTCGTGGCTGACGGAAGAAATGAAGTCGGACTTGGAGCGCTGAATCGTGGCCCAGTCGATCCGAGCCACTTCGGAGATGATGGAGTCGCCGAAGACTTTGAAATAGTGGAGCTCTTCCATGTCTAGCGCACGATCACTGCCCTGTGTCCAGACGAGCGTTCCGGCCAGCCAGCGCGAGCGGTTCCAGTCCCATAATGGATAGAAAAGCACGCAGTACGCTTCAGGAAAACATTGTTGCAGTTCGCGGCATAGATCTGCGACACTTGTACGTTGGTTCTCCACGAATTGATCCGAGGACTCCTCGGAGGGAGTGGCGGGCTGGGATGCGGTGGCTGGCATAGCAGCGGCAACACCCTCGTGGAGGTTGATGAATTGGCCGTGCGGGAAGAATGCCACCAGACGATTTAACAGATCCTCGGTGACGGGGTTGTGGTCCGTGGATGCGGTAGTTGAGGGATGGCGCGCCTCTCCCAGCACATCACATGGTCGCTCCGAGGCCTTGGAGAGAGACCCCACGCCAGGTAGGTCTACCGGACTCGGATACGGGTCCGCAAGAAATTCCGGGTTGGCGGTGGTCGGCAATGGCTCCCACGAACCTGCATCGCCCGGTCGGACACTGAGGCTGCGTTAGCTTACTTCAAACTTCATACTACAAGTCATTGATAGAGCAATACTCACACTCCAGAATTGCTCCGAGAGGCATCTAAAAATAAGACACCGTCCAGATCCATCGAGTCACGCAAGGTGGCACTGGCCCGGGCAAAGATGCGCGCCAGATTATCGGAGATACTTGCAGGAGTCCGCACCGACACGGCGGGGAACTCCGCGCGATCAGACGCTCCAACAAAGGCTTCCCGCGTATCGGATAAGTCTTCGTCGGTTGTGGTGGCCCGAGCGGGATTGACCGAGGTCGATGAAGTGCTCTGTTCTGAGCAGGTCACCGCCGAAAATAGCGATGTCAACTCCCCGGTCAACACCGATGCAGTCGAAGGACGCCCAATAGGAGGTTCGGAGGGTTCGGGAGAAGTCTCAGGTTCCACCCAGGGCGGCACTTCCGAGTCGGTGGACGGTAATGGGTCACTAGGCACAGTCACCGGGGGGACTTCCGTCGGGTCGAACTCGGAATGACCCTTGACGAAACTCGTCAAGCCTTTGACCAGGTTTTCGGCGCGGCGGTGATAGTGTGCGATGCGGACATGCTCAAGGTGCCCGGAAATGGCATCGGCAATCTCGCGCAGGGTCGCAACTTCGGCATCTCCGAAGTGGTCGCGCGGGTGATCGTCGACGATGCAGAAGGAGCCGAGGACGTAACCGGCGGGGCTGTAGATCGGGACTTCGGCGTAGAAACGAAAGTGAGGCCAGCCGACGACGTAAGGACGATCCTTATAGAAGTCTTCCTTGGTGAAATCTCGGACGATGAAACGGGAGAGATTGGCGGTCACGTTGGCTGAGTCGACGACTTTGGAAGGGTCTTGGCCGGTGAACAATGCGATGGAATGGGGACAGACGCCCCAGATCAAATCGAGAGTACGAACCCCGAGGTAGATGCCATCGTCCGGGTCATGACGATCCTTGTCGCGCAACGAGATAGACTTGGTGGCTTCGGCGATGATGTACTGATGTACTCCGTCGATGATGGAGACGTAGGAGCGGTTGCAACCAAAACGGTAGACTCCCAACTGGGCCAGCGCGGTCAGGGTGATATCAGAGGAGAGGCGAATGTCGGGGGGGGTCTCGTCGTCGGGGATATCAACATGGGAATCCTGGTCGTCGGCGGCTACCAATCGGAGGACAGGACGGTCGACAGTACAATAGTATCTATGAGGTTTGAAGTTGAGTCAGTCAGTCCGAGGGAGAGATGATCCCGGTAGACCTATGTGAGAGCATTGAGAGGGCGACGGTACCTAGATAAATCACGAATGCGCTCTCGTTCCGCCTCCGGGTGGTGCAAGGACGCTGCCATCACGCACACAGCCCGTTTCACATTGCCTTCCTCGGAGGGGGCAGAGAGAAACGAGCGGCGTTGCAGGCCAGGGAATCAGTTTACGACCCCAAGCAAGTGACAGTGCTGAAGACGAATGCGGGGAGGAGGGGGGAGAGGGGGGGAAGAAAGAGAGAAAGGAAGGAAAATGGCAGCAACAAGAGAGTGTGGCCGACAGAAGGCTAGATAGAGCAAAGAAAGAAGCCGTCGGAAGCGAGGCTAGCAGGAAGAGAAGAATGATAGTGGAAAAACATGGGGGTGTTCCCGAGTCGACGGCAGGGCCAAGAAGAATTGAGGTTGTAGGGTTCAATTCAAAGGAAAATCAACTAGTGAGTGAAAAGGCGAAAAGAGCGAGAGAGACAGACAGAGAGAGAGAGAAAGCGGAGACTAAGTGACGGAGCCTGAGGCGACGAAATCATCCATGAAGGTCCAGGATGTTCAAGTTGTCAATGTAGAATCCGGTTAGATGGAGGGCGGCAGAATGACGGAAATGGCAGAAATGACACTCCAAGGGAACTCACCGCCTCGGCAGTCACGCGTCCCCCGCCTGCCGCCCAGGACTGTGGCCGCGCTGATTGGTACTTTCCAGTATAGCCGAGAAAAATCTAGACCGGTTGGAGGCGACGGACTCTTGGCCTGATTGGGTTAATCACCGTTGGGCAACTTCTAGTCCGGTTACCACACCCACCAATCACGTTCAACTTTTTGATTTCGACCCGGGTCTGGCCTTCCGTCCAGGTTGGAAGTTGCCGTGACTGCTGGAGTGCCTCAGGCAGCGAGGACTCTCCAACCTGGAACTGCCAACTTATTTTTCCCATTCCTCCCTGGTACTCGTGTGACTCGAACGTCCTCTTCCCTGGCTGCAGTGCATATTCGGGTGGGCTCATCCTTGTAGGCGGGAAACCTCGTTGGGAGCCTCAGGCTCGAGATATCTGAAGTCAGGCAGTACCTACTTGGCCGTTATCTGTAGTTAGTCTCGACTTTAACTGACTCAGTTGCAGAGCCACCGGCAAGCCACAACACCTCTATGATGTCACATTGCTTGAGCTTGACCTAGAGGTCCTCAGACCGCAGGGCATCAACATATGACTAAGAACTAACCTACCTGATGCATTATCGATAACCCCATCAACAGACACCGAGCCCGCTTCTTACTCCCACATTCTTGGGCGTCATCTGAGTTTCGTGCTCGTGCTTGTCACTTTGATCTATTCTTCGCAAGCGTTCAACCGCCAGAGAGCAAGAATGGGCGGGTGATGCCCGGCCCGGATCGAAGCCTCCACCGGGCCAGGGAACCCACACAACTTCACACGAGCGTCCAGAAAACGCTCCCCTCATCGATTGGCGCTCACAGTTCGCCTATTGCTTGGCCTCTGCGAGCTTGTCCAAGCGTTCAGGCTGACACTCATCGAAATCAAATTGATAAGCCAGCATGAATCACGCCATCCGCTTGCAACTTCGATTTCTAATCATGCTTGGGGAACGGGTGTTCCCCGCACAAAATACTACGAACCACATGTACGAGAGTATCTAGTAATGACTCGATAAACGGACTGAGGAACAAAAGGCTCGGATTCCACACACATCCTCCACCACCCTCCCCATGCCGGCTTGTACTGCTATCATCGATCTGTCGTCCTGCGCCACCACCTCTTTGGCTGCAAATGCCCATCTGCCGGGTCTGCGTCGGTCGTCGCGGTTCCAGATCGCGGCGCTTTGTAATCGTAGTCTGTCGGCCGCCGAAGCCGCCATCGAGGAATACCAACTGGATGCCACTAGCGTCACTCCCTATGGCAGTTCCGCCGATCTGGCTGGGGATCGCACGATCGATCTCGTGCTTTGTAGCACCCGCGTCGATCGGCACTATGAGACAGCGTTGCCCATGATTCACGCGGGCAAATCGACCTACTTTGAGTGGCCCATTGCTAGCAATTTGACCCACGTTGATGAGCTTCTTGCCGCCGCCTGCAGCAGTGGTGCGCGAGTCGCTGTGGGGCTCCAAAGTCACTTTGCTCCCCCCGTGCGTCGGATCCGAGCCCTGCTCCAGTCGGGCTCCCTGGGTCGATTGTTAAACACGGAGGTCCGAGCCTTTGGAGGCACCCTGGATCGCGAAATCCTCCCACCCGGATTGGCCTATTATGCCCAGCGAGGAGGTTGGTGGAAACCCTATCACCATCGCCTACGCACATGGTAAGCAGCGATCACTCGTGCCTATCCCGCATTCGATGCTAAGGTGAGCACTGAACAGTGATCGACTTCGTGCAATCTGTCGTAGGAGATGTGATTCCCGAGACCGACCACATCCAATTTCAGCTTCAGCGCCCGAGCATTCGTGTGCGGGAGCCTAGCACACAGGGTCTATCGTGGAGACTATGCGTTCCGATGTCCCGGACCTGGTCAGCCTCCATGGTAATTGGCGTCGCAGCCAGTGGGATCCACCCAGACTTTAAGTCTCTAACCAACACAATCTTGAATCATAGGACACCTGCCGGAGTCTGCCCACGTGGCACCCCAGGCTAGTCTAGTCGCCTTCTTCAGCCGGGGCCAATTCTTTCCTGGGGATCCGCAATTGATATGGACCTTGACCTTTGAACAAGGTGCGATTCGCCTTGTCTCCCCGTCTGGAATTGTGCTGGGCGCAAATACCTACGCCGAGCCTGTGACCACCTCGTTCCAGCGTGTCCACACTGGTGAAGTAGAATCCGTTCCCTGGACATGGTCCTCGGAGCAGGAGGCGTTGCCCTTCAGTGCACGCTCCGTCTACAGCTGCTTGGCGAGCTTGGCAGAAGGGGTTTCCAATGCATATGTATCCCTGGAACAGGCTGCTGCACGGGCACGACGGCTTGCACGCTGGCTAGACTCGTTTCCAGCACATTGGTAATAAAGCGAGAGGTTTGGTATTCGCATTGATCTTGGGGGCTAGTTAGTATGTATCGTTGTCGATAGTGTCTTGGATTGGGACATCCACCTCCCGAAATGTCCAGGGTTTTAGAGAGTCCAGACGCATTGCAACTAGTAGTGAGAACATCTCGGGCCAGTGGCGCGCGAGTCGGAGTAGAAGAGAGGCTGATCGATTCGTGGGGGCCGTGAGCCTGACACGGCCTTGCACCTTCTGCCTGCAAAGTCTAGTGTCAATTCAGGGGGCGGGCTCGCTTGCAGATTAGACCATGACATCCACGTGTGGGAGTAACGATCTTCACCGTTGGATTTGGAATTGACTTTATCCTACCTAAGTTCTGTCCCCACTCCATCGGGCTCTTACTGCTGCTGATCATTGTCTGTTCCTGAGCCGCAATGTGGGGGGCCAGGCGACATGACAACTCGCACGGTCATCCTATGGTTTCAGCTTGATAGTTGAGCGATACGAACGTAGGAGCTAATGACGAATGCTCAGTCGGTCGCAAAGACTGAGCCTCGTATTGAATTGCTGCAGCCCCTGGGCCGGACGGCACCTCGCACCTGCGCCGAACTTGGGGTTCCGCTCGTTGGCCGATCACAACGTTGATCTAGGATTCTACCCCATTAGCCCAAGACTATTATACGTGGATCTATCTGGTGTCTGCACTAGACAGAGATCTATGTACGCGCTCTGCATTATTAAACAAAGGCCTGCTTTGAACATACTTCCATATACACGCATCCACGCGGGTGCTGTCGCGCCCGGCATGCACTGCGACCACAAAATTGTGTAGATCATGACAAGCTTATCGACAGAACGAGACCCATAATCAAAATATTCTGCAAGATGCCTGCATAGTCAACGAGTATGGGAGTGGAGGTTGGGGGCCAGGAACCGACCCGATGGTGGCCATGGCATGCTCGCCCAACTTGGCCCCAAGGATGAAACCACACGGCTTATAGAACAAGATAGGGAGCAGGAAGACGCGAGGAAGTCTTTTCGTACCGCATGAACATAGCCTCACTTGCTGAATTGGGGATGGAAGAAAGGCATCAACCCCAGGATATATAACCCAGTGTGGACTGCAGTCAAGGATCTCTCATCACCAACAGCATCATACGTCCTTCCACACTCCAACCATGGCACCTCAGAAAGCAATCGCTCTCAGTCTGCTCCTATTGAGCTCTTGGGCGTCGGCCTCCGCCATCCCTGTCCGCGCTCGCGCCGCAGCATCCTCTGCGGTGGCCTCCTCTGCATCAGCCCAAGCGACCTGCGGATGGACGTACTTCCTCAATGTCGACAACACCGTCACCACCGACGATGAAGACGCCAACAACGGCGAGGATGACTCGAGCACTACGTCCAAGCGCGACGAGCATGGTCTGCACCAGTTTGCCCGTCGCAGCCGCGTCACCACTGGTTATAACAACAACAAGTGCTCTCTGGGCAAGAAGAAGATCTACAAACCGCAGTATCCCGGACCTGCCGCCCTTGAAAAAGAGCAGGGAGATGCATTCCTGGGATACTACATCCCCAAGTTGGACCAGTGCCCGGCTGGGGCTGTGACCTACGATGTGATCACCGATAGTTCGGTGCTCACCAATACCGTGGCCGCCTACTGGGACTCGGCCAATGCGGGCACGGGCCAGAAGTATATTGCTCTCGGCGACAAGCCCTCGGCAACTGATTCATACATCAACGTGGATCATGTTTGTAAGTAACAACCGGATGCCAGATGACTCGGTCCCAATTTCGGAGAATTAAACCGGCGTACAGACGAATTGAAGATTGTCGACAGCTTCTTCTCCGCCATGATCAAGAAATACAACTTCTGTGACAGCTTTAAGACCTTCTTCCTCACTGATGACACTGCACATCCGATGGCGAACGGCGTCAAGACCCGACTTCAGCGACTGTACGCCATGGTAGGTGCCCCAGAGGTCCAACATTGTTTGAAAGCGGCCGGGCTAATGCGCTGCTCATAGTTGCCCAGCAACACATACCTAGACTTTGTCGCCATGGACAATCAATTGAACAGCATGAAAGCTCCTGTAAGTGAATATTCTCGCATTGTGTTTCGATCCACTAGTGACTAGGACAGATGTTCGATGAGAACCTCAGCGGGATGCAGTCTCCCAAGGGCGCAACGGCTGAAGAAGAAGCCAACAACGCCCTCTCCATCATCAACACAATGGCAACGGTGGTCTCGATGCTCCGCGACAACAAGATCGCCGAGATCTTCAAGACGACTAACAAGCGCATGTACGAGGCCTTCTTGGGAATCGATCAGCTGGCCACTGGATGCAACGACCCGATCCCCGGCAAAGGCTGGGCGGACTCGTACTCGAGCTGGATGGAGGAGTTCCTCTCGACGCAGGCTACATCTGTCTCTTCGCAGCTCGCCTCTATCTCTCGGCAGGTGACTCCCACCACCGACGCGTCCGGGCAGAAGAACGGCCTTGGCGAGGGTCTGGATGCCTTCAACGCGAAGTATCCCGCCGCCTCCTGGACCTGGGACGCCAAGCAGCTGCTGGACTTCTCCGCCCCGAGCGCCATTGCCTTTGCTAAGCGCGGAGCCGAGAGCAGTGTGGCGGCCTGCACGCCCACTGCCTCGGTCTCGGCTTCGTCCAGTGCAGCTGTTACCACCCACACTGGCTCCTCCGCAATCGTGACAGGTGAGTCCCCGGCAACCGGATTTTTGCTACCATGCTAATGAATGACCAGCCTCGCACACGAGTCACCTGGTGACCTCGACGAAGACTACGCACACGCCTGAGAGCGAGACCTCGAAGGCAGTGCACAGCTCCACGAGCGTGAAATTGGAGACTTCGCGGCCGGTCACCACCCAGACCACCGAAACACCTGTCGCCACTAAGCACTCGACCACCACGGAGGCTGCTCCCAGCACGACAGCTATTAGCACTACTACCACCTCGTCTCACACTTCGTCTTCCACTACTTCGACTCCTAAACCGATCACTTCGACCACCACCCTCACGACATCCACCACATCAAGCAAGACCACCACAATCACCACCACCACCACCACCTCGAGCAAGACCACCACCACCACGGCCACCAAGACCACAACCACCGCGGCAGAGGAGACTACCAAGACGACCAAGTGCAAGACGGCGTCCCAGTGCCCCCGATGCAGTCTGCTGAAGAAGGGCAAGTGCAGCGGAGGGTAAGTTTCCATCGTCCTACTATATGAAGCCTTCGCTAATATCCTCCAGCGTGTGCAAGTGCTAGACCATAGAAGACGCATGACTTCACCCGCCAAGTCCAAGCCACAATCTACAGTAGAAGAGGGAGATCGTTTATCAAGAAGGATGTACAAAGCCAATTATACATAACTAGACTTCATTTCAGCCTGCAGCAAAATGTATTATTAGAAACAATTATCTTATCTTCTTCTCATTCATCTAGAGAATGCAAGTTCTTGATATAAACAATAATGACCAATCAAATGCCTTGCAAAAGGAAAATGAACGCACTACGCCTTCTCCGCCGCGATCTGCTTGTCCAAGATGACCTTCAGCAGCCCCTCCACATCCTCCTTCTCCATGAACACCTCCACCCAGCGCAGCCCCTTCCCGTTCTGAATCTCCTCGCGCTGCAGGACCTCATCCAGCTCCGCCCAGTTATTAGCCGTAAAGCTGTTCTTCGCGCCGTGACCATCTTCCGCGCCGAAGAAGTCCGCCGTGAGGTGGTGCCGCCACCGCGTCACGTCGTTGTAGCTCTGCTTCCGGCCGTGGATCGCCCGCTCGATCGTGTACCCCTCGTTGTTGATCAGGAAGATCACCACGTCCAGTTTCTCCTTGATCATCGTGCTGATCTCCTGCACCGTCATCTGCAGACTGCCGTCGCCGATGAACAGCACCGCCCGTGTCGGCGTGTCTGGGTTCCGCTCGCGTTGCGCCAGCCCCGCCCCCAGTGTGGCGGGGAGCATGTACCCGATCGAGAGCCAGGTGATTGCGCCGAACAGGCGCGTGCCCCTCGGCAGCTTGAAGTCGCGCCCGCCGTAGCTGGCTGTGCCGGTTTCTGTGAGCACCACGTCGCCCGGTCGGAGGAGCGAGTTCACGCGGCGGTAGAAGTCTTTCTGGGTGATTCGGCCGGTCGGCGAGAGGGTCTGCGCGGGGACCTCGGTTCTTGAGGGTGGGTTGGCGGGTTTCGGGATGCGGGCGAAGTCGAGCGTGTGGACTAGGCGCGTCACGAAGGCTGGCGAGAGGTCGCGATAGGTGTCGTCGCCGATGCGGACGGCTGTGTCTGTGAAGGTGATCGAGGTGGCTCGCTCGGGGATGGTCTGAAAGATCAGGGTGTTGGTGTCGGTGTGGTGTTGTCCGATTTCGAGGATGAGGTCGGACTCGTCAAAGTAGGTCTTATAGTTCGGGTCGCCCAGGCGGCCCGCATAGTTGCCGTAGACGTTGGGTTCGTGTTCGTCCACCAGGCCCTTGCCCGAGACGGTCGTGAAGGTCGGCCACGAGGTTTCGCGCACGAGGGTCTGGACGTCGTCGACGATCCCCATGGCACGACTCTCACCATCGACCAGAATCAGGGGTTGCTTGGCCGTGTAGATGCGGTCGGCGACGCGGGTGAGGACGCTACTCTCTGACTCGGTGGTCGGAGCAGCTGGACGCTTGATCGTGGTGGTGGTGAGATTGGCGGCGGAGACCAATACACCCGGCATGTCGTCGGGAATCTCGATGTAGATGGGGCGATTGTGGAGAAGAGCCTGCTGCAGCACGCTGTCGATTTGGTCGGGCACAGTGCGGGGATCGTAGAGGTTAGTCTGCGCGATGGTAACATGGGCATGCATGGCGGCGAAGCGGCGGTACTCGCCATCGGCAAAGGTGTGATGCACCAGAGCGCGCGACTCCTGTGACGATCGTGGAGGTGTTCCTACGATATGCACCACTGGCGCACGCTCTGCGTAGGCACCAGCAATCCCATTGATGGCGGACAACTCCCCCACTCCAAAGGTGGTGATTATGGCCGACAGACCGGCCAGACGCGCGTACCCATCTGCCGCGTAGGCGGCGTTGAGTTCATTGCAGGTTCCAACCCAGTGTAGCCCCGATGGCTCCACATAATCCAGCAACCGCAGGTTAAAGTCGCCAGGGACGCCGAAAATGGACTTGACACCGAGTTGCTGGAGTCGGGTAAAGAGGTAGTCCGCCAAAGTGACGGTGCTGCTATCGGACTTGGTCATTGTGAGAGTGTGACGATGAAGTGGTGAGTTGACGAGAGAGGTATGTATAAATGAGGGGTAGGAGGGCGTTGGAGGTCTTTTAAATTGAGGGGTGAAATGGAGTTGGAGAACAATGCCGAATGACCGAAGCCAAGCGATCTTATCGCCGATAATGAGGGGAAGCGGGGGGATTCGTCCGCCAAGCCGACGACAAGGCTGGGATGGTGATACAGTGACGCGTGGAAATGAAGAAGGAATGCCAGACTCGCTCTCGTGATGCCTGCTCCACATTCAATCAAGCTACTTCCGGAGTGTCGAACGGGAGTTGGTGTCGACAAGTTGGAAGTTGGAGAGGGGAAAATGTTGGAGGCGAAACTGTAGATCGAAAGGAGCAGGCGGTCTGAGCCCGCTTATCGTCGTTCTTTATCGGCTCTCTCTTAATCACGTGCTATTCTCCTCTGGGCCCGCGGCTATCCGTCATTTCTTCTTTGACCGCTTGCCTGACCGCCATGTTTGCGCACCGATTCTGCCCCGTCTGAATGAGCGGCTCGTCACTGCACGTGCTTCATCTGTTCCATTTCAAACCACTTACTGCATCATGCATTCCTTCCCTCCCTGCTCCATTGCCCTGCAATCTAGACTAACAATTCTCATGGTCATTTAGCAGTGATCTCCCAGACTTGCTTGCTCTCAGTCGACTGGGTGACTCACTCCAACCTGTTTCTGCAATGTCAGGCCCCTGCTTTACGTCGGCCAAAATCTAGGCACCGGGCCGACAGAGAGGTTGCACCGTCAGACATCCTTGACGAGCATGCCGTATCGGTTCCAACCTATATCATAGAAAGGACCGTCGGGTGACTTACAGCATTGCTACTTCTTGATGATGCGATCTCATCAGCGGACAGGGACAGACGAATGCACCGGGTCGTAAGTGCCGATTGAAACAAACCAGTCAGAGTGCAAATGTGCTCTCGTCTAATGCTAACTGGGCTAGTGTGATATTATATCTTTTTACGCGCTATAGTACAGTATCGGAAAGGGTGCATATGTATTCCACGAGGAATCAAGGAAGAAGGATTAACAACCAGGTTTTAATATCGCCCGTTAGACCTCTTCTCGCTCACTCGCAGTGCTCGTATTAGTCAATCGGGAACTATCGATCCGAACCACCGTTGTCGATTGGATGTCCTGCTTCTGCTCCATACTCTTCGATCGGTCGGACGAGGGCAGGGAAACGGCATTTTTGCGCCACGAAAGGTTCTGGCGCCAGGCAGGGCGAGGCAACATGGTGAAAATAGGTCGCATGTTCGAGAGACAGGCGGCCGTGATTCCCATCATCGGTTCGATGCAGGTCCACACACTCGCGGGCACTTGGTTATCTGTTACCCGATCAGCAAGGAGCCTTTGGCGGAGCTTTGCTGTTTCAAGTGTTGACTTACACGTGATGTCGCTTCCTGCTTCAGAAAGCTGAATCATCACTACCAGTCGCACAATGTCGAACGCCAGGGTCCTGTACGCATACATCAGTTCGTATCCTTGAGCCAGACGGCAGCGAGACACGTACGTGATACCGATAAGGAAAATGCCCGACAGCATGACCTTCTGTGATCTGGGGACCTGCAAATTCCACACTGCTTTCATCGGTAGCACGAGGATGATTGCGTCAGTGAGAATGTTGGGGATCTGGAGACCGTAGTAGAACTGAGCAAGATTGATGCATCCTCCTGGCAGAGTGGGCTCCCAGAGCTTCTTGAAAGGGATGCAGGTCACTGCGCCTATGAGGCAGACCCCAAAGCACCAGAGAATCACTATGCAACCGACTGCATTCGAAGCCAGCATCATCGGACGGATCGAGAAGATCCGTTTATAGAGAGCGAGAATGGAGAGCTTCACGAAAGTGATGCACAACGGGTAGAGGAATGCGCCGGTGGCTAAGGTCTATCGGTATCGGTACCATGGTTAGTATATGGTAAATGGAGCCGGGTTATGACAAGACTGGGAGAATTACCTTCATATAGACCACCAACTGCTCAGGAGACAAATATATGATGTGAGTACCCAAGCCATTGTACAGCACTAGCTCACGCATCAACAAAGTAGCTCAATGATAGTCGCGACTCGATGACATACGAACAACCCCTGCAATTGTGATACCATACTCGAATACCTGCCAGTCGAGGCGTGTCAGCATCAAGCAAGGCAAGTCTGGAGTCGGCGCCTTACTACTCACCAATGCGACGATGATGAGGTAGTCATCCAAGAAGACCTTGGTGCGAGTGATACGCCGACACCAAAGACGCAAAGCCACGGCTACAGTCGAAATCACCAGCGCAAAACAACTGGCCGTGATCACCACATGACGCAAATTATTATGGTCGTAACCCTTCTCTCCCTGGGCGAGTGCACTTTTCATGGTGTATGATTTGAACTTTGAGGATGCAATTGACAGTTCCGCAATAAGACGTCAGGTTCAGAGCTGCACCTAGGACGATTTTGGGACTTCCGAAGGTTAAAGTAAAGTCATGCGGGATATCGGAGATGTGCCATCGTAAGTAAATACTCAACCCCAACCCATATTCCTGGAATTGATAATATTTACGGCGTACGAAAGACTCGAAGACTAAGGAGCAGCCACAGCCCAGCTATCCAATGATTATCTGGCAATGGCTACCGCCACCTTGACTTTTCAGGAGACATCTACATCCCGTTCTGGCTGCCTCTGCAGCCCGGGATTGTCATCCTGTGACATATCTTATGCATCCTTCATCTGGAGCTCCTTGCAGAAGCTGATGGCGTTGATTCTTGCCGAAGATCGGCGATCAGACACCGCATCGGGTCAGGGCGTGCATACATCATATTTTGACGGTCGCGATAAGCCAATCAATCTCGACTATCGTAGAGCTTATGGTTATTGGCGATGCTGAATTCCTGGTTCCCTGAATTGAGGCTTCATGAAGAAGACCTGTCAATTCACTTAGGGTTCTCGCACCACCTTGAAACCATCCTTTCGTAACCCTCACCAGCATGTTTGATTTCTCGACAAAGTCCCCGCAATCTGTCAGACTTACATGGACGCCTCCCTGCATGGCTATCTTTCTACTGCTACAAGGCTGCGTTGGTAAAAGCGCTGGTGATAGGGGCAGCACTGGCCTTGAACATTCTTGCCTCGGTACGGAAAGTGATTAGCATGAATTGCAATGGCGATCATATGTTCAGCAAGGGACTGCTCGCCAAATATCGAGGAATTGCCGAGATTGGCACCTGTCCCTGGCATCATCGCTCAGTCTTGTTTCGTCAATCTTTCCCGAATACGGTCGCTTTACCAGGAAAAGGAGGAAAATGGTTCCGATGAGCAGCGCTGTTCATCCATATTCTCAACCTGAGAGAGATCCTCTTCCTTTCTGAGAGACTGGTTAGACGAAGCCTGGAATTCTCTTCCGATTATTCAGCTTTTCCCAATAAGACTTGTCACCAACTCTTGCCAAACAAGGCTTCAGAAATTTTCAACCACTGTCTTCGCGAACGTACTTTCTCAGTAGGTCCATTTCGCCAGATATCAATCAAACTTCCGTTTGTCCTTCTGTCGCTGAACCTCTAGGTCAGTTCTAGAGAACAATTTTCAACTGTTTGGTTCGACTACTGATCGTTTGCGTCAACGCTATGGTGCTCTGCCCGGCCTCCTTACCATGGAAAACTGCCTCAAAATAGGCCACCACCGCGGATAAGCTACGCAGGAATCAAGTTTCAGACTATCCCTCAGTCAAAAACTAGTATCGACAGGATATAGGCTGGAGAAATCAAAAATTATGCCAGTGGAGAAAGACGCACTTGGCCTGCGGCACAGAGTCTTCATCGAGCCTATTGAGTTGCCAAGGAGGATCTGAACAAGCAACAGTGTACATCAAACCTGGGCTGAGCGTATACTCTACCCTCTGCACTGCTTCGGGCTTTATTTGGTCCCCGACCCGTCTCAAACCTCTGGAGAAAGGCTCGAAGTGAACCACGGGCTATCTCAAGATCGAGTTGGAAGGCGTGCGCCTTCGTCGTCACCACTCAAGGTTTGAACCAAGAACCAAATGATTATGGCGCCCATCTCCGCGGCGCCCAGCTACATAAGGCAAGCGATTGTGATTTCAAGGAAGTCAGGTTCCGGCCTCGACGGAATTTATGAGCCCTGGGGATGCCAGTCAAGGCCGCTCCAATAATCCCAATCACAAGGCAGCAGCGAAAGAGACACCAGAGACGAGATGCAATCCGGAGTTCGATCATCGCAGTCCGCCTCAGCGGCATGGCCCTGCACCATACCACTGTTTGACTTTAGTCAAGTCTCCAGCCGGCAAGTACTACCGGCGTATCGAACACACGAAGCTCAAATCTTCTTACCGAGTGGAACGGGGGCTGCCCTCCGCTCGTTGGTGCGCCATGTGGGTGCAACCGAATCTCTAGGCCATCAAGCTGTGCTACAGGTTCTTCTAGCACGACTCTTGGACATCCGCGAGGGTTGTATTGGCATTGCGGCATCCCAACAAGGAGACAACAGGGACCCCCAACTGCTCCCCCATTGTTTCACCATCGCGCCCCAGGACACTATCACAGAGGTTATCTATCGAGCTTGTTCGGTTCCAAAGGAAACGCTAAACCATGGACCTACAACACTTGATGTCCTTCTGAGCCATGCATTCGTGCCTCAATCGACTGCCGAGCACCCTTTGTTTCAGGTGCAAATGACTTATAAAGACCATTATACTGTCAATGGGTCTGAAATGTGTATCGAGGGTGCTGCAGCTCCCTGCGATCTAGCTCTTCACTTGACTCGACAACCTGACGGGATTACCAACATCAGCCTTCGCGCACCAACCTATTTATACTCACTGGAGAGTCTTCATTTTATCCTACGAGCCTACTCGGGCCTCTTCGAGTCTTGCGTCCTGAACCCCGATACCCCTATCACACAGCATCGTCTGTACGACGACAACGATGTTATGGCAGGGCTTGTTTTTGGAAAGGGTCCTCCGATGATCATAACGGAGACGGCCACACTCTCGAAACGAATTGAGCAAAGGGCGAATTCTAAGCCCGATCAGATTGCCATCAAAGATGCGGATGCAAACAGTCTCACATACAAGCAGATGCAGCAGCACATCCAGAGGGCAGCCGGCCTTCTTCAATCGAAAGGGGTCCAAGCCCAGGACTGTGTCGCAGTGTATTGTGAGCCGACAATACATTTTGTCTGTCATCTATTAGCTATATGGCGTCTGAATGCCATATATGTACCACTAGATCCGCAGAATCCTGTCTCTCGACTCCAATCGATCCTGGACGACTGCCGCCCTACAGCGATCATATACCATGACCCGACCGAAGCAGCGATCAGGGAGCTGAACCTCTATTCGGGTATTGCGATCTCCGCGTCTGAGATTTATCTGTATCCACCCCAGCCGTATCCCGACGTGTCCCGGTCTGTCTCTGCTGCGTGTGTTCTGTATACCAGTGGATCCACTGGAGCGCCCAAGGGAATTGTACTCAGACATGTCAATCTGCTGTATCAGATTTTGGCAGTGCGCGATCGGTTCCAGATCGGGTGCGAGATTGTGCTCCAGCAAAGCTCACTTGGCTTCGACGTCTCTCTTGACCAGATGCTTCAACCTCTTCTTGGAGGCGGCACTCTGGTCGTCGCTCCGCGCCGCATACGTGGGGACGCCATCGCCCTCTCTCGGCTGATGCTGGCTGAGAAGGTCACCTACACCTATGCCACACCATCAGAGTACATGATGCTGCTGCGCTACGGATCAGATGCTCTGCAACAACTGTCCTCTTGGCGAACGGCATTTGTTGGAGGGGAGGCCTTGCCACGACATCTGATTCAATTGTTCCACGCCTTGCAACGACCTGGTCTGCGACTTATCAATCGATATGGACCAACCGAAATCTCTATTTCAAGCTCGTGTCTGGCTATCAACACCTTTGACCCTGCCTGTGTTGAGCTACAACCCATCAGTGTCGGCCGGACTCTGCCCGGTTATTCAACGTATATCCTCGATTCCAATGGTTCACCCCTCCCAATTGGATTCACCGGTGAAATTGTCGTTAGTGGTCCTGGAGTTGCCAAGGGCTATCTCCACAAAGACGCCCTCACTAAACAGCGATTCCTTCCAGATCCATTCGTGGATGCCCCGAGCCAAAGTTGCGGGGTCAACATGTATCGAACTGGGGACAAGGGGCGTCTGCTCCCCACTGGTGAGCTTGTCTATCTGGGACGGATTGATGGCGATCATCAAATCAAGCTACGTGGCTACCGCATCGAGCTCGATGAAATCGCGGATACGATCCTGAAGTCTGCGGAAGGACGACTTGCGGAGGCAGTGGTTTCGGTCCGCGGCTTGCATGACGCTGAAGGAGATCGTCGCTTCCTCACGGCCTTCGTCGTGCCTTCTGGCAGGCAGGGTCAGGCAGCAGTAAACGTGACGATGGAGGCTTTAGACGAACTCGTTGCCAACCTTCCACTTCCGCCATACATGTTACCACGAATCATAATCCCAGTTGACGAGCTGCCCCGAAATCCCAATGGCAAGTTGGATCGTCGGGCAGTCGACCAGCTACCACTGTCGTTCGAGAACCAACAAGCCATCTCTTCCACATTCTCGGATGCTGAACGTCTTATCATCGGGGTCTGGGAGCAGTGTTTAGATCAGTCCGCTTCTACGGCTGTCTGGAGGCTTGGAACTGACTTCTTCCGCGTAGGGGGCAACTCTTTGTTGATGGTGAAAGTGCAAGCATTATTGCAGCAACACCTCGGACGACAAATCCCATTACGCACGCTCTTTCAGTCCAGCACCGTAGAAGAAATGGCAGCATTGTTGACAGACGAGCTGACACCGCCCCCCGATTCGGTCATTGATTGGGAGCAGGAAACCCTGCCTGGGTTAGATGAACAGTATCTTTGCGACGAAAGAAATGCAGAGTGCAGCTCTCTGCACGCTGATGGAGCCATCGAAGTGTGTCTGACCGGCTCGACTGGGTTTCTGGGCTCTGCGCTGCTGCAATGTCTGGCGGCGGACCCTCGCGTAGCACGGATTCATTGTTCATATCGCTCGACTCCGCCGTCAGTCTCCGCTGCTGGCAGTGCCAAGCTGGTCCGCTACAAGGGCGATCTCACTGCGCCTCGATTGGGCCTCGACCGCACCTGTTGGCAGGAACTGGCTGCGCGGGTCGACCTGATCATTCACAATGGGGCCGACGTCTCGTTCTTGAAATCGTACCGGTCATTGCATCCGGCTAATGTGCAATCCACTCGTGTACTCGCCCATATGGCCTTGCGCCGCCGAATCCCGTTCCATTTCGTGTCCACTGCCGATGTGGCTCGGTTGACTGACCTGGAAGCACTCCCTCCGCAATCGGTGGCGCAAAGCAAGCCTCCTGTCGACGGAGCGCACGGCTACGTTGCCTCGAAATGGGCAAGTGAGGTGTATCTCGAAAGGTGTGCAACCCGGTTCCAGCTCCCCTGCGCCATTCATCGGCCGACGGATATCGTTGGGGAAGGGGTGCATAGCACCGACTTCATCCAGGGTCTCATTCAGTGGTCAGTGCACACGCGCCAAGTTCCAGCCCTGGGCAACTGGACGGGGTTTTTAGATTTCGTTTCTGTCACAGATGTGGCAAGGGATATCACTCAAGCCGGTTTCCGTAGCCTGGACGCCCGACGCAATGGCCCCCAGATGAGTGATGCACCATCATTCCATCACCACTGCAGCACCAGCCCAGTGCCTGTGGGTCAGTTCCGAGAATACCTCGAGGAGCGCTATGGTGTGTCTCTGCGAACGGTGGATGCAGACACCTGGTTGGAGCGAGCGCGTGAAGAAGGCTTATCGGGTCTGTTGGAGGGCGTGGTTGCTGCGGCTCTCACCGATCCTCAACCACATCGCATGCCTCGCATGCTGCACGAGTAAGTAGTCGGTGCTGGGAAGTCAAACTTGAAATAGTAGTGTATATTCTAGAAATTTCAGCGCTAGTTGAATGGTGCTGCTGTACAAATGCGACCGTGACCATTTACAAATTCCGCGTGCGCCGAAGCCCCCGTTCCTCGATTAACTCATATCTTGCTTGGCGCTTCATCTCATCATTCGTTACCATACCCCTCAAGAGATCTCTACAGCCGAGCCCGTTCCTGAGGGGTCAAGCAACGACGAGGAGGCCCACCACGACTCCCGTCTCCGGAGGCAATGGGACGAGGCGCCACCGGCCACGCCCACTTCTGGCGCTGCTCAGCCGACGCAGTCAACTCCAGGCCATCTGCGATGTAGCGGCCCAGCACGGGGAGAAACTTGAAAGCACTATCGGGGTGGGTTAGCGTTGCTCTCATCCTTCGGACTCCATGGGGTCACTTACTGGCCACTGCCACCCGTCGCCACAAACAGACCCTCATACTCCGGGTGGTAATCGACGATGAAATCTCCCTTGGGCGTATCACTGTACCAGCAGAGTCGACGCTGAACAAAAGGCCGGTCCTTGAATCGGGGCAGCCACAGCTCGAGACCCTCGCGCAGAGCCTGCTCGGCATCCGGGGGGAGATAGCCGCCTTGGCGGTCCAGCGTCGGGGCCGAGAACGGGCTCGGGTTCTGGGGCTTCGCGTCGTTCGTGCGCTCGTAGCCGAAGCCGTGACGAGCAATCTTCAGCAAGTGGGTTCCCGGCGTCGGGGGGAAGGTGAACCAGCCGGTGCTCAGATCCAGGATCACCGGGCAGCGGTTGTCGTCGAGTGCGCGGGCTTCCTCGGGGGTGAGTTGAAGGAAGGCCACGGGCTGGGCGACGGAGACGGAGCGGCCCGTCATCTCCAGGAGATGGGGGGTCCAGGCGCCGGTCGACAGCATGACCAGGTCGGCGGAAATGCTCTCGCCATTCTGGGTGCGGACGCCGGAGATCCGCTTCTTGCCGGTCGGGGTGGTTTGAGTCAGGAGCTCGGTGACGGTCCCTTGGCGACCAGCGCGGAAGGAGACGCCGGCCCGCGTGCAGTTGCGTGCCAGGTGGCCGATGCTGAGCTCGGCGTTGGCCCAGCCTGAGTCCATGTTGACGTAGCCACTGGCTTTCGAGAGGTCGCCGTGAATGCCGGGGTATCTCTGGCGAATCTCCTCGCCATCGAACGAGACCAGGTTAGCCGTGCCGCCTAGCTGTTCCATATTCTGCTTGGACTGGGCGATGTAATCGTGCTCGCCGCTGCCTTGCGTCTGCGTGCACATCAGGCCACTCTGGTAAAAGTATGGGGCGTACTCGCCGTGCCAGCCGTTGAGAGCGTCCAGTGCCATGCGCGCATAGAAGACGTCGGCGTAGTCGGCACGAATGATGCGCGAGACATCGACACTGGACCCATCCGGCACCGGCGCCAGATGACGGTCCAAGACTGTGATGTTGGTGTAACCCCGACGTGACAATTCCAGGGCCGTGGACAGACCGAAGACGCCCGCGCCCACAATCACAATGGAGGCCAATTTGGAAGGAGGGATCGCCATTCTGTGGGATGAAATGGACGGAAGATTGGATGTACTTGTCTTCCCAAGGCAAGACTCATCCAGGAAGGAAGTGGTATTATATAGACAGGGCGTAGCCTATTGCCGGATACTGGAGAATTTTTCGCTTCCGAAGGTCGGCCACATGGAAAGCTTGGCGGGCGGGTGGGAACGGTTTCACTGGCTCACTCCCGGACCGTGCCCACTTTTGACCGGCCCGGAAGGTGGAAATGCGGAGAGAATCCATGCTGTACGTAATAAATATACCGACTCTATTCACAGCTCTCCGGGGTAGTCTGGCAGCAGTTGCGACGAACTCTGCCCGAAATATGGCACGTCCAGCAGGCTGAAAAAGTCGCTGTTCGTCCACTCCGACGGAGGCAGAACATCTTCCTCCGGCGACTCTCGTAACGGCACCAGGTGTTGGGTGGCAATCTGTTGGCCACCAGGCACGAAAGCTAAATGAGACTCCTCGACGCTGCTATGCGGGGAGTTCGGATCCAACAAATCCCACATTGCCGACCATTTGAAAGGGGGAATGCTACTCGCCCCAATGCCTTGCGCTGACAGACTCTGCAAGTACGCGAGTTTCTTCACCTAATCAGTCTGGTTAGCAATCTGGCCAACAAGCGCACAATGGACAAGCTCACCATCCCAGTGATATGTGGCCATCGAGTCATCAGCCCGGTCAGAAAGCGTTGACATTGCGCAAAGTCCCGCCGGGCACTGTCTGCAATGGTTTTGTCACTCGCAAACTGGAACATCCAGTGGATGCTAGCACATGTCGCGATCAGGTGGCCTAAGAAAGGATCATTGATTTCAACGCCATGCTGTTCCCATGTTCGGACTAAGCGCGTAGGCCAGCCCGAGTGCTGGAGTGCCTGGTCGATCGTCTGTTGGAGAAACGACGGCGGTTGAAACTTGGACGACGCGCGTCGCACATGGGTGATATGAAAGAGGGGATGATGCAGCAGAGCCTGCCCAGCGTGGAAGGTCATCTGCAAATACAGCCACGCCGTCCAGTACTCCTTGTGCTGCAGGAGCTCGGTGGGAGTGATGGTATGGAAGCCGACGTTCCGATAGCGGTGCAGTTGCGAGATCCCCGTTTCGAACTCGTAATATTGCGCCACCAAAGTGTGATGGGGGGATGAGACGAGCCACGGGTCATCGGTCGGATTGGCAAGGCGCTGTCGCAGGTATCCCAGTACTTTATACCAGAGCTCGGTGACTTGTAGACAGTACGCGTGTATCCCGAGGTCCGCGGCATTGCTAGCAAAGGCCGTGGGCACAGAGCCATCATCGTTGGCTACAAGCGAGCGTGGTCGCGGTGGGCTGGTAGGGTATCCCAGCTGAGCCAGCGGGTGACTGCTAACTCCCAGCAACAGTGGGCCCGGGGCGAAAGCCCTTTCAAGAATATACACACTCCAGCAACACCGTGTTTGGTCGTCACGCGTGGAGGACGAGTCTGTAGCCAACCCAATTCCAGCCGGTGACAGACAAAGGACAAGCCTGGCAGCAATGCCAACATCCATCCAGACTTGCGCGTGTCGGCCAGCTAACATAATCAGCGCTGTCCGTCGGGGTAAAGGAGATAATGAAGCTCACCAGCGACGTCACTTAATGTGAGCAGGCACAACGCCTGCAGTACTGGAACCGAAGGGTTTCCCTCCGCCGCAAGTTGGATGACCGTTGGGCGAACGGAGCGGAGGTACAGCTCAATCGCTTCGGTTCTGGCGTCCCCGTAGAATTGGGGCTCTACGAAGAGCAGTGTGAGCGCCAGGAAAGCGTGCAGGAGAAATTCGGGAAATTGTCTGATCTGGATGTGCAATTTCTCTTTGTCGAAAAGTGGCAGCGGCTGGTCGTGCACTCTCTCTGCATATGCGTTCACCAGGTGGGCCAAGATTTCCGGCGGTGGACGTGGGCTGTTTGCATATACTTAGCTGGAAAATTCCAAAACGGAAGCTTCAGAGACAGCCATGCAGGCGTACCATCTAGATGCGTCGAACAGCTGGGGTTGTGAGATGCCTTGGGTCGGCTTGAATGCTTCTGTCGGGCTCTGCGATATTCTTGGTAGAAACGGTTGAGCCTGCGGGGAGAGCATGGCGTCTTGTGGCGCGCGATCCACCAACGTCCTGGAGCCGCCAAGTTAGTTCAGCGAGATTGATGTGCATCTAGGCCTCAATCCATACTGAAAGAATCCATCGATACGCTCCAGGCGTGATTCCAGTCGCCGAAGCCGGTCCCGGGTCTCCTGTCTAGACTGCAGCCCATGAGCGTCCAGTCAATATCAGCCATTCGAATAGGCTCACCTCCGAGGAGCGAGTCGGAGGGTCACTACTCCGACCATAGGTGCATCTTTGATTCAAGCGTCGACAAAAGGAGCATATGGGCTTTTCGCCAGGACACTTTGTCTTCTTCTTCCTACCGATACCAAAATGAGTCTGTAGGATGGTGACGTCGATGCTGGGAGTGTAGAAGAACTTACCGACACGGTTCACAAGCCTGTCGGGCGCGTGGCTCAAGACTGACTAAGCGACTGGTCATTCCTGCGGCGGTGAAACGGGGAGAGGTGTTGGAATTGAGAATAGGAAAATATGTGACGACTGATAACAAAAGGACGAAGGAAGATAGAGTTGACTGGATGATGGAATGCAACTCCTGTCATTGCCATGGCCCATACATACAGCCAGGGCAACCAACGTCGCTTCCGTCTTCCGTTCATCTGACCGGGATTTTTCTCCAATGACGGCGGTTGCAGTCCCGCTCACATGTACGGCTTCTCCGTCCACCCGGGCCGATGTCGATGTTCATCCATCATGATTTGTCAACTATATCTCTTCCAAACTGAGCAGTATACAACTGAACCTAAGCACTCCAGCCTGCTCGGATACTTCAGTCTTTTGAGCCGCGCTTTCTGATGTTGGATGTTGCAGACGGGAGCTTAGCTGGAACATGCCATCTCATACCTGTTGTAGTACTTCTATGCGTAAGCTCCACCCTCATTCGGTTGTCCCGCAAAGCGATTCTCTCTCACGTGGAAAGGAACTCCTGTCCATGCCAACGCAAGAGACCTCCAATACTCGCCTTTCACCATCCAAATCCATTATGGTCACATTCATTCTAGTCAGTGAATGCCCATCATTCAGGCCAGAAATCACATTAAGCGTTTTCTGAATGAAATCTGCCGGTTTCCGAGTCCACCGATGCTACATGGGCCTTCTGCCGAGCGGTACTGATAAATGGTGGACACCAGCCGGCGCCGTATGAAGATGAACTCTTAACATCGAAAAGCATTGTCTCACCTCAGTTTGGGACATCATTCTTCGTGCTCGCCGTTCAAGATCAAGAAAATGGTCCCTCGTGGGAAAGGCACCGTTGACCAAAGGCAGGCCCCTGAAACCCCGGAAGGGCCAAGGGCAATAGCTTAGCCGAAGTCTCAGTTCAGCCAACGGACCTCAAGAAAGCCACTGCAGAGGAACCCGAACACAGCCTGTTCCCACTACCCGGGCATGCTCAAATACAAGGAAGTCCCCCTGTAGTGGTATTGGGCCCTGTTCGCGCTGGCTTTCTTTGCGGGCCTGATTATCAACATTAAGGGAGACACTACGCTACCGGTATGAGGCTATATCATAGCCCTCATGCTTGGAGTATTCATCGCTCCTTTCTCTTGTATCCTGTATGGTTTGTACGACAGTGGGGTCGGAACGGAGGCTCTGTCCAAGATGGTTGCAGGAGCTCTGCATCCGGGCCGCCCTCTTGCCAATCTCTATTTTGCCAGGTCACTTTGCTGGCGGTCAACTTGGCGAATTGGCTCAAGGTGGGCCAATATACCAATATCCCCATCGCGTCATGTTTGCGACACAGGTTTATGCCACTCTATTGGGTGCTGCCCTAAACTACGTGGTAATGATGATAATCGTTACCAACAAGCGTGAGATTCTCAGCCCTATCGGCAACAATATCAGGAGAGGATCGGCTATTCAAAGCGTCAACTCCTAAGCTATTACTTGGGCGTTAACTAAAAGAGGTCTCCGGCGTCAATGGGCGCTACTTCCTGGTTCCCGCCAAACATTTCCAACGAATACAACTACCTAATTGGCGCTGTATACAATGAGGGGTCTCGGATTATCATCTTCGTCCTGTCTTTCGCGGTATATGGAGCCAGTGGAACTGAATATCCGTTCCCAACGTGGTAGGGAAATCCCTCGGGCATCCTCGATCATTATCAGTAATAGGTTCCTAAGGAGGGGATGGCAAGGGTGTGCATGGAGATGACATGTGTTGGTGTTCAGCATTGGGGTGCACCTCCAGTCTTGCCTTACCGCTCGCGGTAAACGATTATATATATCCAGCTACTGACAGATCCCTTTTTTCACAAGGAGTGGCGTCGCGGAAAAGACATTTGAGCAACTTTGTGTGCTCCAAATACATAGTACCTCCACCGAGAACTTTAGGATCGACGACATACATAAATGTCCCCTACTAAGAAGAAAAGCAGTGCCTCGATTGGTTATACGAGCAAGCAGGCGCCGGTCGGAGGTTAGTTAGTAGATAAGATAAGAGGGACAGAAATCAAGTAAAAAAGCAACAAAAATATGACGTCCTAGGAGAGGATCGAACTCTCAACCTCACGATTAACAGTCGTACGCGCTAACCAATTGCGCCACCAAGACGTGCTTATATGGTCTTCGTCATAACGATGTAATATACTCCAGACATAACATATAGAGTAAATAGTAGGGTCTTCCGGCTTGCACCTCTGTTCCTGGACAACGCACAGCGTATTGACTACTCCCTGGCCACAATTCAACCACACGCTGCTCCTAACTACAACTTCATACAGACAGTCCAGTCATTGAATAATTCTAAACTTCCTTAAAGTACTGTTTACAGTCCGATGCATGGCACTCAAGACTGCATCTGTGGACAGAATGCCCGAAAACGGCAAATGTATTTTCTTGGTCCGTGATTGTGCCTGACCATCAATCTATTCACATTTGGCGCATGCAAGATTTTAATGTCACGAGTCTTGTGTCTTGCATAAGGCTGCTTATCGGAGTTGACTGGTTGTACTATATGCCTCATCAGGAGGTTAACACAAGTTGATCAAACGTCGTTGTTTGCTGCCTGGCGTGAGATTGATGACACGACTCCGCACCCCGCGTTGCTATTCCAACTGCCATGCCATGCATGTCAGTCTTGGCTGCAAGCCCTACAGAGACCCACCCTATCACCAGACCTATTCTGATCCAGCTCCCATTGAAGATATGCTCAGAATTGAGGCTTGCTAGGATTAAACTAGATTCAGTCATGGCAACAAACATTCAAGGTTGAGCTGTGGGCAACGAAGCGTTCAGAACCGGCCTGCTAAGATCACAGACATTCCTCGTGTGATCATACTAACCTTGTCGACAACTGTCTGGTCTGGTTCGATTACCCTTCTACTTCTGGCCCGAAGGCAATTTTTGTCAAGCCATGTAGCTTCCACCAGTCTATATAAGAAGGTCATCATGTCAAGTCGATCAGCAGAAGACCATACTCGAGACGAGCCGGATATCTTGACACTCGCACCGAACCACATCTCCTGGATCCGTCCAAAATGAAAATTCCTTCCATTTCATTCGCGCTCATCTTTCTTACTGCTTTGAGCGCAACTGCCAGCCCAGTTGACCCTGATTCTTTGACTGCTGCCGATCTTGGTGCGAGGAGTGAGAACAACGTTCTGGTCAAATACGACGGCGTCAGTCCCCCCCTCGATCCAGCTGCAGCACCATAGGCTGACACGGTAATTGTGCGCAGACTTGTCGGAAGAAGGAAAATCAATGCAGGTATAAAGCACAGAGCGGAAATACTGCCATCTGCAAGTGCCAATTCCGAAAGGTGACTTCGCCTCGTCCAGTCCTGTGAGAATGTTTGACTGAAACGCCTGCAGTGCAGCAAGGATAGCGCCAAATGTAACTACGACTCCTACAGTAAGGAGTGCAACTGTTACTAGCGACGCTCAAGTGACTAAGGGAGACTGGTTGATACCTCATGCAACCAGGAGGGGATACGATGCGAGAATTCCAGCCCACCAGAGGAGTAGGGAGTCTACTATTCAACTGGTGCTGTTGTTCGTGCGAAGATAGTTTCAGAATGTGATAATTTGCTTATTAACGAACGGTGGGACAATTCAGGCTTGAATAGATTAGCTGCAAGGTGGCTATAAGATGTTCATAGGCATTCGGTAACCAGGCGCGGTGCTCTTGCAAGGTCACCCATACCTTCATCTTCACGCAGTCTGAGCCTAGATGTTTTACGAACAGAAGCACCCATCAATTCTCAGCCTCAGCCTCACGTGTTTCTGACCCCTCATCCTCATCCTCCAGGATCCGTGAAGCCCAGAACTCGGGCCACTTGGTTCGGATAAAGTCGTCGGGTGTAGCGTGATATGCTCGTGAGACAGGACAATCTCGGTCTTCCAGCGGGTTGAGCATCAATTCTAGGGTGGCCCAAGCTTCATCCGCGAGTTTCGTCTCACCAGCCTCTGTCGCCCGTTGGTGTATCTCGTCCACCCGCTTGATCCAGAACAGCCATCGCCCCGGACTGAGTCCACTCGGCGACTTCTGACTGAGCTCCGAGGCCAGAAACAATGGACCTCCAAGGCCTGACGATGCGTCGCACTCTTTCCATGACACGTCGCACAGATTGATCATTTTCCGGCCGTGCTCGAATACCCATGCGCGAATTGCTGGAAAAAAGGCGGCAACAGACATGTCGGACAATCCCTGGAGATTTTCCCAGTCGTCTGGGTGCTGGAGACTCCCCAGAGGGCGGCTTGTCTCCAGCGCCTCGCGGAAGGTCAATAAGCCGACCTCGGTGACTCGATCCTGTAGCAACCCGGTTGATGCCACTTTGGCCACAAAATGAGTGAAGTTAAGTCGATGGTCGGGCTTCATGGTGGGGAAGTGCTTGAAGAAGTATGTAATGGTATCTTCCAGGAAGAAGGGCAAATCGCTCCACAACGCCCCGGCTGGTCCTCGGGCCACCTCAAGCTCGTGGTCACTGTCCTTTAATAGTCTCCGTAAGGGGCCTGAACCCTGGATCCGAACGAAATCTAGGACCACGCGATCGTGCTCCGGGGCCACATGGGAGATATTGCTGGCCCAGACGTGAAATGCAAACCAAAGGTCACGAATGGCTGGCTCGAGCTCCTGAAAGGACTCCCCGGAGCTGCCGAAACCGCTGCTAGTGCTGTAGTATCGATTATAGACTGAGTCGCGGAGCTCGTCCAAATTGCCGCGCTCCACGTCCGCCAGGAGAGATTCGCGATACTCGATCGAAAACTTGGCGTACGAAAATTCTTCGTCGTTGGGCTCGCTCGGAGGCTCCATTGGAGAATCTGACATCCTGTACCAAGCTTGCGGTCGTCGTTGAAAGGTCTAGTGACTGTAGAATCAATGCACTGAGTAATTATGAGACGATGATTCCAGAAGGCTGAAGACATCCTTTTATATGAATGAATATCTACATATTTAGGCAGCCATGGAAGCGGGAAGAAGTCTTGACCTTTCAGTGCCTTGTCTCTTTGGACTCGTCCAACGAACACAGGGGTGGCCATTTCACCGCTCAACAGCCCAAGTCATCGCTGTTGTTGCAAGCCCTCACGAACATACCAGAGCGACGTATTGGCCCGGGCAAATCCGGGGCTGAGGTTGCCAAGCCGTGAGAGCAGGGATTGAGCCTGCCACGGTTGTTGCAATGGGGGATGCCTCGCCCTCATCATAGGGTTGGTTGTCATCCAGCCCAGTCGGTGAAGGTGGAGAACAAACAACAGTCGGTGTGCTTTCCACTTGTAAGTACTCTTGATTTTCAGTGGTAGTTTGTCTCCACGGTGTAGACTTTCGCCTGAAAGCCATGGCAGGGGACTTCTACGCAGGATCCGGCCTGTTTGACGGTAGCTTGCGACAGCTGTCTTCCCCGCTTTGCTAAGTCTGGCAGGTGCTCATTAGCTTGTCGCGTAGTCATGGCGCAACCGCTGCTTCTTGGCGAGCCCATCAGATCCACGCACTGAACGGTGGTTGAGAATGTCTCCAGAGGCTTGACATCGTGATATGCGGGTTACTGTAGGAGTATAGGAGAAGGCTCGGGTCGCCTGGGGTGATGCTGATAGGCCAAAACCAAGATGAATCCCGTGTACAATTCCTGAAAGCCTGACGACAGACATCCCTGCCCAGTCAGGTTTATTTCTTTGTGGTGTGCAGGAGGGAATGGGATGATCTAACATAACTACCTACAATGACAAAGAAAGAGCAGCCCGGCAGATTCTCACCGCCCTTGACCACCCGGCAATATTCTTGTTCCGTGCCGCAGCCGCAGATTGCTGGGCAAATAATCATTGTCTAGTCTAACTCACTCACTGACTACCTACCGTACCTGGTATCTCTACAAAGCCAACCGCTGCTTCGACAGCAAAATCGACGTGTCCGTCGTAGCCCCGTCGATGAAATCGTTCATAATCACAATCGTCTTCTCCGCCTGCAACCGTTCCAATGCGTTCTCCCGAATCCACGGAAGAGTCCGGGTGTCCAACGCGGCTTTAGTGGAGGTCAAACACGACGACACCGCGCCTGCCTCCACAACACTATAGACCATCACCTCCTTGATGGACTGCGAGGTGGCCTGGCACTGCAGCACCGTTAAGTCACTACTCTCCTGGCCCTCAGTGGTCATCCCTTCGAACCGAGCGAGAATCGAATCTGCACTCAGCGTCGCGTACGCCTCCGCCGTCCAGCTGTCGTACTTGTCCGCCTCGATCACACAGATCAGTCGCTTGCCGCTACTGCGGAGCTCATCGATCGGCTGGTTGAAACACTCGCGGGCGCCCCAAGTCAGGGGATTACGGGTCGCCGTGGCACACGCCTCAGTGAGTAGGTTCCCGATTTCCGCTTCGGTGGGCCTCTCGCAGTCGGCCACGATGTTGTCCCAGCGAATATGGATGGTCACAATCTCGGTGGGGTTCTCGTCTAGAAAGGCCACCTGCGCGCGGAGGAAGGCATCGAATGCCAGTCCGGGGATGCACGCATGTTGGAAGTAGTACGTGTCCGGCAGCGAGGAGATCTTCTGGAAGATGGGCAGCAACTTCGCCGGGCGAAATTCGAAGTATCGGGCGCCCATGTCCAGCATCACGGCGATCTCTTTCTTCTGGGTGATGGCCAGCCCGTAGACGATGTGAGGAAGCTTCTCCATGAGGAAATGGTCGGGGATGTGCTTGATGTGGGCGAGTATCGGCACGAGTTCGCGGACGGCGGAGAGCATGTCCCCGTTCAGATGCTGGAACACTGCCTCGCAACTGGCCATGCTGTTCATCCCGTTGTCATGAGGAGCAGCGAGCGCGAATCGTGAGAACGGTTTCTGCGCCTCCAGGGATCCGACGGGGGCTAGACCGCCCATCCAGGCGCGGTTGCTCGTCGAACAGATGGTCACATAGCACTGATCCCGCTTCGTCAGACCAACCTCCCCGCATCCCGCATTGTAGAAGCCGTACGTGATGATGGCATCGTCCAGCACGATGGGGTGGAAATCCTGGGTGGAAACCATCTCCCCGCCAGTGACCTTGCCCGTCAAGGTACTGATGTCATTGTAGGCACTAGCGACGACTTCGCCGTAACGAACGACCTTCCACTCGAACCGACCGGTAAAGTGGTCCGCACCGGGAATGTTGGCGGAGTCAAGTTCCAGGCGACGAGAGGAGAAGTTGTGGGCGGACGTGTGCAGGACATCCTCTCCGGGGATGGAAAATCCCACCTCGTAGCCTTCTACCGCGGGCGAAATGTAGCTGTAGACCGAAATCCCCTTGCTTGGCATATTGCTTATTTGTGGCCCCGACCGGAAAAGCAGGCGAGTATGATGCGACCTGCATGATGGGCGATGGTCGGGATACGTGGACACAACTGGCCCTGCTCCACTCGTGCACTGGACCCTTTGCCCGACCGGGCTTAAGAAGGGCGAACTAAACTTGACTAAGTCAACTAATGCAGTCAAGCGACGTTATTCCCAGAAATTGGCCCATGCGAGATCAGGTGATTGGCTTGTCGGGTGGTCTGACTACTAGCCATCGCTAGTCGCCACTCTTTTTACTCGTACTGTTGACAATCGATCGTTTGTTCAAGATGGTAAAAGTCACATTGCTCTGGTTCTGTGATACATGCAAAAGCCCACTCACTATATGGATATTATCGGTTATCGATTAAATCATTCACTCACCCACTCCAGGTCCCGCCCGACTGCGTCAATAAGTGTTGATGATAAGATGGAAAGGAAAAAAAAAGAGAAAAAAAAAAAAAGAAAAACACAAAGGACATAACACCGAGAAGCTCAACCCATCAAATCAACCAACACCGAGAAACACCACCCATGCTGTGGCACTACTTCTGCTGTTCAGCTTGTGCCCTGATGTCCACGTAGACATGGCCCAGAGGTCCTGCCTCTGGGCTCCATCCCCCATGCTCGACTCTGTACTTGTCACTTCCGTCCAGCACCTCGACGAGGTTGACCCAATTGCCCTTGCGGTTGTCCCAGTGCAGCTCGCAGATCTTGTCCTCGCCGTGGAAGAGGTCGAGGCGGCCCTCACTGCCGCGACGGCCGCGGGCACAGATCTCGCCGACACCGTAGGAGGGGATACGGAGTTCGTCGACATCGTCTTCGGTCATGGCCTTGTCGTTGAGGTTGGGGTCGTGAAATTCACCGCTGTAGGTGGGCAACGGTTAGCGTCTCTGCGTATGCAGCAACAGAGGGGAACAGAGAGAAGACAGAACGAACCCTTCGATGACACAGTGGCGGACGGAGATCTCACCCTTGTCGAGGTGGTCCCGGATGTGGAACTGCACCCACTGGGAGTTGTACTTGTCCATGGCGGCAGCGTCCATGATGACGGTCAATGGAGTGATGATTAGATGGTTTGAGGATTGTAGATTAGTGAACGAAGGAAGAAGCCCCCGAAATTGTGGTGAAAGAAAGAGAAAGAGCCAGCGAGTTGAGGGGGGAAAGAGAGAGGGTTATATAGGGCTCGTGAGGACGGGAAGCCAGCCAGCCAGCAGTAACTGTGTTGGTCCGGGACGGTGGGAAGGTGACGAGACCTGGAACTATGGGACCCAGTACTTTCTACTCTTGGGATAACCCAATAGTGACGGGCAGCGAGACAGAGAAGCCGAAACAGGCGATCCCTCCCTGTCACAGCCAGTGAGGGATCATATGACGGGTTTGGTGGTACGACCTGGTTGGCCCTTCAGTGGGCTGATCCTCGGATCGGGCCTGGTTTGACTTCAACGGGGCGATTCTGGGGTTCTGGGATGGCTTTTGTCGTGTGCTGCATTGAGTTTAGCATTGAGGGAATTGCGGGGTCACCGCATGGCTGCATGAAAGATGGTCGCGTCATTCATTTATTCTTCCTCCATTTGGATCATTTGGATGCATCTTTCCCTTCCCGCCCTCCCTTTGCATTTGCCATTATCTCTCCCTCCCAGAGGTCCTCATCTCGTCCCTGATCCCCAGGTTGGACGAGAGATAACCATAATCCGCCCAAGCTGCTAGATCTCCCCAACAGCCTACTGAGCTATAAACAATTCGTCGGCTACAAGGGGATTACTGCCCGAGTGGCTCCTATCTTGTCCCGTCGATGATCGACTATAGCACCTCTGCTCGGCTGGACTCCACGCAGGGATACTCTGGAGGTCGACCACTAGGATGGTTGCTGTTTCAGCCTGCGTCCTGCAGCAGTGTCGAGCCTAGGACCACGCCCAGTGGCCACGACACTCGTATCGCGGGTTTCAATGGCGCGTTTGCATGCATCGACCTGTCTGGATGCCGGCCGTCTTCACTCGCTCCCTGCCACATTGTTACCACACCCCCTTCCTTTCCCAGAGTTGTGCTCCTTCCCGCAGCCTTTTCACTTCGATCGAATAGAGTAGACATGCGATGCTGCAGACCCCAGGAACTTGAACGGGGTGGAGATGGGAGTTCACGTGGTGGTTGGGACCAAAGAGTTCTTCTGAAACCAGCCGGCTGCTCGCGTGACCTTAAGCTTCAGTGTCTCCGTGGGAGGGGAAGAAGGAACTGAGGAAAGGGGGTTTGCCCGCATATCCATGACGCGATGAAAACCTCCATCGAGGTTCAGTGGCAAACGGGAGGGAATTCGTCTGGGAAATAGACACGGATCGGTGGCTGGATCTTTCGTCGACGATCGGGCCCACCGAATGAGGCATTCGCCTATGAGAAGGAAACCAGGCAGCCAAGATAGCTTCGTTTGCTGACACTGGTGGTGTTAGTGGTTGATCTCTGCTCCATTGGCTATTTCCCCGGCAGGACGGGACCTTTGTTAGGGGCATTACCCCGCATTCTGTCAATGACCGAAAGGGGGAGAGAATGTTACTGTCTGGCAGAAAGTACAGTAGTAAAGTTATACATGGTATCGGTCGGTAAGGAGGATGGAGGATGGAGAATGGAGAATGGATGCAGTCTCATGATCTCATGGCTTACCTAACACACTCTGAAGGTCCCCGCATTTCCCGCTCAATCCGGGGAAGCTCCCAGTTGCGAGTCCAGGCTGCACCCGTCGCTCTACAGAGCATGGCACTAGAACTTAAGGGCAGAAACAGCACCAAGGCTGTACTAATTCAGTGGTTGCTGCTACTAGGAATCGCATTGGCAACTTTCTCACTACTTTGGTTGCGTTGAGTATCACCACTATGTCCACGTGACTATATCCTCCACCTCTCCCCCTCATCTCCGGTGTTTACCGCTCCAGTCAACATGAAGAGCTTCTTCATTATGACAACTTCTTTGCATCGATCAAGCTGGAGCATCAGCTAAATATATCCACGATAGTCAGTCTCATTAGACAGCAATGAACTTTCGCCAAGTCTGTACCCATTGCCATATCCTGATTTCGGGAAATATATATCACTGCGATGCCCAGAGAAACCATCATAGTTAGAACAGAACTGCGAAAAAGCGTAGGAAAATTGATTAGAACGGGTGCTACTATTCGCTCTGACTGAGTGTAGCGAAAGGGTTGTCTACTCGTCTGCTCGTGGGACAGTTGTCAACCTACTTTGCAGCGAGTGCCATCGCCTCCAACTGTTGACAATTTACAGCAAGATGTGGGTGTCTCGCACCAAAGCCATGAGTTGCATAACGGCTTACATAAACAATGCTATGCAGGCATATTCATTCCTTGCCCAGAATGTTTATCATCGATCGAATAAGATCCTCGTCAACTCAGCTCCGATCATCTCCAACGACCAGCAACTTCCATTTTTCGGGGCGTCAAAGTCTGTAATCGAGAAGACTGACTACATTGCCATCAAGGGACCCGGGATATCTCGACTGACCAGCGGTTTGCTTGCTTGGAAAAATGGTCTTTGTGTACTGTGCATCAGGCATTCTTGAGGCCTCCTCACCCTGCTCAATCCAGTATCATGATGAAGCCCCCAACGGCTGACTCGGCTGCCGTATCCTTGATAGCGTGCGCCCAGCATGTCTCCTAAGTGGTTTCGTGAAGTGAGACCTTCTGTTTTTCCACCGGCCGCGGTGGGTGCAGGATCTCGCATTCTTATCGCAGGAGTTCTTAGCGGGGCGTCGCGACCAAGTGGCGGCGAATAACTGCCTTTTGCTGAAACAGAGTGGAACAACGAGGGATGCTTAGCTCACAGTCATCCTAAATAAGGAGAGCGTTGCTCGTGTGCTGCTCTAGTTCGGTCCCTATGGAGCAGACTTCGACCGTTAAGTCTGGTGTGATTACCTAGTATATAGGCGCGATGGATCCTTCTTATGACAAAGATATCTATGCCTGCTAATCAAGCAAAAACAAGCTACTCAGATCGTGATGCTGCAGGTTCTCACCCGTGAGCTCACACTTTGCTATGGGTTTGTGCGTCGGGACTTGGGAACTGGTCTTCTCCCCGTCCCTGCATTCACCCTGGCTTCTCTCATCTATCGGAACGCGCCACGCTCGGAAATTGCTCCAGCAATTGGACGTATGACTTCGGCCTTCCCCCAAGTGTCTTATGCTGATTCAGAATGTTAATCCAGACGCCTTTCTCTACGGCTTCCTCTACCTCTACACCTTCGTCGTCTCGAACCAGATCAGCGGCGTGAGTGAAGACAAAGTCAACAAGCCCGATCGTCCTATTGCCTCGGGTGCAGAATCATTATCAGCCGCCAAGAATCGGTATTGGTCACTCACAGTTATATACCTCGCTCTGGGCTATTCTCTGGGAGTATGCAAATGGACCCTTCTGTGGATCGCCACCACGATCGCCCATAACCCCTTAGGATTCTCCAACTTCGGACCCACGAAAGATCTGTGTATGGGCCTTGGATGCATTGCACAACTGAAGGCGGCGTGGGCCATTGGCGGTGCACCCGCGGATATGGGCTGGGCATGGATCAAGGTGATCACTTTGTACATGCTGTGGCCGATTCCGCTGCAGGACCTGCGTGATGTCCCCGGGGATCTGGCCGCTGGACGACGCACGACGCCGATTCTGCTCGGAGACCTGCCTGGTTAGTCGCCCGTTCTTCAGATTTCCGTGTGTCTTGCGCTAAGATGATTGCGTACCTGTAGCGCGCATCTACATTTCGGTGGGGATCGCGGTATCACAGTACCTGCTTATCTACCATCGTATTTTACAGCACCGGTATGACGATTCGACCGTTGCTTTGTCCGTGGCGCTGGGGCTGATGACCGTTGGCTGTATCTTCCGACTGTTTTATTTCCGGTCTCTGACGAGCGACCGGTTTTCATATTGGTTGTACACGGTGATCTACGTGCTGCAGCCTCTGGCTGCATGCGTTACTCTCCGGTGAGGGTTGAGGCTGGGAAGAGTGGATAGTGGGGACTCTAGATAGATAGATCATCTCAGTTACAATGCATGACTCGGCTCGCCGGACTGAATTGCCGTGCCCCTCCCACGTGCGCCGAGAATTTTGGACGCTCGTGAGGATGTACCTGCAGTGGGGGTTGTCCGCTCACGTGGTGCGCTACAAGCCATCAAGTCGAGTCGCATAGAGTTTTCAGAGGATTCTGGGCCCCATCGACGCATCTCCACGCTTCGGGCTTGGTTATGCCAATGGTGAAAGCGTGCGATGCACCCGGATTTGGGTGAGGGCCGACGGTTACACCAACCGAGACCAATTGTTTACACAAGAATTGTGGTGCAGTCATCGAATGATTCATTAAACAATAGGTATATGGCCATAATCTTGCGTATAAATCAATACAGCGAGGCAGATTTCCCTCAACATAAAACATCGAAGTCGTAGCGTACCCCCCAAAAGTCTACTTTTCAATCATTTCAATCAGTTCACTCGGAGTCGGTGGCGGACAAGCCCATGGTGGAGGTATCATAGCCATGAGCCTCGAGATACTGGCGGAATCGCGCATCCTCGTGGGTGATGGTGTCCTACAGTCTATTAGCTCGCTGGTCCGACCGTCACTGATCCGTCGGGACGTACCTGAGTGATATTGGGCAGGAAGAAGTAAGCTAAAAAGGCGCTGAAGATGCAGAGCGCGCTGGAGACATAGAAGGGGTCTTGACCCTGGCGGATCTTGTTGGGCGCGTTCTTGACGATCACCGGGAAAACATAGGTGCCCACAAAGGCGCCCACCTTGCCCATGGCGGCGGCAGTGCCGTAGTACTGCCCCCGGATCGGTGTGGCGCACGTCTTGGCGGCACAGAGACCGATGTTGTCACCAGGGCCGACTTCGCCCATAGCCAGGAAGATACTAGTATCAGAAGCATTAGCCGACTAGATACAAATGCTGGGAGCAGGGCAACCCACCCATAGATGACGACAAAAGCGCCCACGTATTCTTTGGTATTTAGGTACGGGTAGCATCCCGTCATGATCAAGCCAATGACGCCCTGGACGAAAACACCTCCCGCCAGGGTGTTGCGAGGGCCATACCAGTCGCTTAAGAACGCCCCTAAAGCCGATCCGGGCAGGTAAAAGACATTGATCAAGGTGTTCCAACCGAGGGAGATCCACAGGGGCGAATCATCGCCAATGATCAGCGCCAGCCATTGGGAGGAGTAGATGCTGAAGGAATAGGTCGAGAAGTCGTACATGAACCAGATCAGAGAGACCGCGCACTAAATTCATCGTCAGTCTTGCGTGGCGACGAGCGCGCAAAATCCATGCGGGGCTTACCCAGCGTTTCCAGTAGAATCTAATGCAATCAATTAGCATCACCAGTCAATGAGCCAAGATCCTAAGCACTCACTTCACGATCAGCCAGATGGGAAACTTGTGCATCTTCTCGCGCGTGTACTCGGTCGGTTCCTTGAGCTTCATCCGCAAGTAGATCAGACTGAGCGGAGGAATGACTCCGAGACCCAAACAGATGCGCCAGGCGGCACGAAGGTGGTTTTCACCGCAGGCCAGCACGACAATCATGGGGACTAGCGAAGAGGCGACCGAGGCCAGATCGAGCTGGAAGTTGGTGAACAGAATGAACCATCGGTGGCGCTGGCCCTTCTTCATCTCTCCACTGCTCTCCGCCGCCGCCACAGAACCGGCGGGATACTCGCCGCCCACACCCAAGCCAAGAAAGAAGCGATAGACGGTCAAGGCTGTGAACATGCCGGTGAGACTGCCACTGGCTCCATACGCCCCGGCACAGAGCGCCCCAAACACGAACAAAATAACGGTCGAGACCATCAGGGTGTTGGTGCGGGACCAGTGGTCGGACATGTACCCAAAGACCAGCATTCCCACCACCGTTCCGGCAAAGGCGATCGAGGAGACATTCTGACTGTAGCTGGAACCTGCGTAGACGTCGGGATATATCCGATCTAGCATGGTGTTGACCGTTCCGATAACCTATGGCGAGGGTGAGGGTTAGAATGATGAATGGTAGGAGACTCCGGCCGGTTCTCGACTCACGTATTGCAGATAGCCATCGGACCAAAGACCAGCACCACAGGCAAAGGTGGGCCAACTGCGCTCCCAGAAAGTCTTCTGGGTGGCCGCCAAGGGATCCTCATCGATGGAGCGATTGAGGTCGGGGGACACAGTCAAGCCCGACTGCTTCTCTTCTTTTGGGTCCATGGTGAGTGTGTCTGCAGCAGTGGCAGTAGAACTCGAGCGAGAGGGACAGTGATACAGCACTGGCCGTCTGACTGTTCTATGGAAAGGACCAAGGGTCGTGCTGAAGAGGAAAAAAAATCACGGAAAGAAAGAGAGAGGAAAAGGAAGGCTGGAAGGGTTTTTAACCAGGGCGGGAGGAACCATCCCTAATGGAATAAGTACTTTAGTACCTAACGGGTTAACATCTTGCTTCCTGAGCTGAGCACTGATTACCACTAAGTTCACTCAGTGGGTGTGATCCTTCCGTTGCACGACGCTTGGAAGAAAAAACAAGAAGCAAGTAGCAGGTACACTCAACAGCATGTGACAGACGGTATGGTTGGGGGTATCGAGTACTTTCCCAGGGCTGGAGTGGATGGGACTGGCTCGGTCTTGCCGACCCGTACCAAGCTCATGAGACTGCAGCCAATCAGGGGCCTCCCAACGGAGAACCCCCGTGGAGCCCCCCGTGTCAAAGTCCACGAATCGCAGCCCCTGTCTCTCTCCCACGTGCAAGGACATCTGCTATTCACTGGGCAAACATCTTCACTCGGTACTGCAGTAGTATCATGCATGACATTCCTGCAGCTTCAAACCATCTGATCAGATTTTTCTTTCAGATCACATTTTGCCTCCCAGGCTGCGTGTTGATGCATTGAAGTGCATGAAAAGCAAGTTCAACGGTGACAACTCCCTCCTGCAGAATAATTGTAAGAGGCTGTTCGGGGAGCTTTGAAGATAAGATAAACAATGAACCAAAGGTGACCACCCCGATGATAGACAGACATCCTCTGATTTGTGGGCGAGACTTACGGATTTCATGCCGTCGGAAAAGCACGGAGGCCCCCACCTGATGGCTGAACGAGGAAATTCCTGAACGCCCCCGGCCCTTCATGTCAAACCTCTCTAGTCAAGGCCAAGCTCTGTCCCACGTGCAGGCTGCATACCGTCGTGCTACCGCACAAGCGACTTGCTGGATGCCTCTCACGCGCCTGCGTCAAGGCTGAGTTGCCCTACAAGGTCAGTTCCACCCATCGAGGGGAAGTCCAGTGAACCGATAGCTACACACCGAACTGCCTTCGAGAAGGCCGGGCGGGTGGCAAGAATGTGGCCAACACGCTGCCACCAACCCACGCCACAGGATCGGCGGCCTTACGCTAAATTCATACAACCAGGACATGGAGGGTGCGCTAATGTGTCTGTTGCATTGGTCTATGGAGTCCATTGACTCAAGGGAAAAGTTCTATGGCTGATCTATGATCGGTCGGATTAAGGCTGCATTACAGATGTATGAGTCATCAATGGCGTCCCTGGCATAAAGACCACGCCGTGGTCGCAAGACTGGATCGACTTGGATGGGGGCTGGCCAACGGACGGGAGGTCGACCGAGACGGATGCCAATTTCCGAGTCACAAGTGTCTAGATGAGACACGAGTCGTTGATTGGGTGGTGGGGTGGCAGGAGGCAGAGGTCGGGCTTCAATCAAGCTTCCTCTTGGGTGTGGACCAAGACTGCCAAGTCCAGGAGACGATTGGAGTAGCCCCATTCGTTGTCATACCACGCGATGATCTTGAAAAACTGAGGGTTCAACTCGTTGCAAGCCGCTGCATCGATGACGGCGGAGCAGCTCTCGCCCTTATAATCGCTGCTGACTAGCTGTTCGTCGCTGACACTCAACACCCCCGCCAGCTCGGTCTTGGCCGCCCGCCGGAAAGCAGCCAGGATCTCCGCCAAGGAGGTGGGCTTGGCAGTGTTGATGGTCAAATCAATCAGTGAGACGTCAGGTCTGCAAGGCAAGTCAGTATGCATCCATGTTAATCATGCACGGACAAGCGAACGACGATAGAACTTACGTGGGAACCCGGACGGAGATACCCGTCACCTTGCCTTGCAGCTCCGGGAGCACGGTAGCAATGGCTTTGGCAGCACCCGTCGTCGTAGGAATGATATTGTCGAACACGGTCCGACCAAGGCGAGGGTTCTTCTTGCTGTATCCGTCCAAGACCTGCTGGGACTGAGTGGCCGCATGGATGGTGGTCAAGAAGCCCTGCTCGAGGCCAAACTGCTGGTTGAGCACTTTGAGGACCGGGGTGACGCAGTTGGTGGTACAACTGGCGCAGGAGATGACCCGGTTGTGGTCATCCGGGCGATAAGCGTCCGAGTTCACGCCAAAGACATAGGTGGCCGAGTCCGAACTGGGGGCAGAGATGATGACGCGCTTGGCCTGGCCGTGGGTGACATGTTGCAACGCCAAGTCCCGCTTGGTGAATTTGCCTGTACTCTCGACCACAAAGTCGGCGCCCAACTCGCGCCAGTTGATCTGTCGGGGATCCCGCTCCGAGATCAGCCGGATGGGCTGGCCGCCGATGGTGATTAAACTATCGCTGACAGCCACAATCTCTTTGTGCGGGTCCATCCGACCCATCGTGCCATCATAGCGGATGAGGTAGATCAGGTCCTCGATGGAATTGCAGGTGTGGTTGATGGCCACGACCTCGATGTCTGAACGGACCAAGGATGCACGCAGCACATTGCGGCCTTGGAGTATGGAGATGGATGGTCAGCGACTCCTTATGCAGTGTGTATTTGAGTCAGGTAAGGGCTTGAGCTTACCAATGCGACCGAAGCCGTTGATTCCGACTCTACATGAAGGGGCATCATAGCGGCTGGAATGTACACTCGGGACTGTGGAGGAGAAGTCTTCGTTGTGGATCGACGGCGCCATGGCTCCGGGAGAGGTGATCAGTTGTGTTATGGCAGATGTTGGATTGAGACGATTCAATAGATCTGTCAACAGTGATCACTAGGAATGTCCTCCTTGAAAGAGCAGCCTGGCTATCTTAAATGTGCTCAGAGCACTATACCGACGAAAGTGCCGATAATCGGTACATGGTTCCCTCGGCCCGGGATAATCCATCATATCGGCGGAAAGTGAAGAGCTAAGGTTACGAAACGCGGAGACTAGAAACAGGTAGATGGCGCGTTTGCAATGGCGTTAGGGCACATTGAGCTACTACTGACATACTCCGTAAGGCAACGTTAGTCGAGGTAAGTTGGTTTCTGGTGAACCAATTGTAAATGCAGGCTGAATGCGTATGGAAAGCCAGTCTAGCCGGGAAGAACCAATGGGAGGACGGGGATGGGCGACGGGAGATTCTTCTCCAGCAGCAACAAAGGAATGGAAGAAGTTTTCTCCGCACAGGCCTTCTTTTACTGCCTGAGGAAATCAGTTGCAGCCTGAGGCTGTCAAGTATCGGCCTTAAACAACCCGCCCACTCGGAGGATTTTCAGTCCGGAGTTCTCCCGGCTCGGTCAACTTCCGTGACGCTTGAATCAATTGCCAAGCAGTATGTGGATCATGGCTGGGTTTCACTTCGGCATCCCGGCCAATTCATCCATGGGTAAATCTGCTCCTAGCCTCGTCCCGGGCTTAGATAACTCCTCGCGAGGTGGTCTCCGCGGACGATGCCCGGCCAGCTGGAGGATTCTATCTCCTTAAAGGCCCTTAGTTCTCCCACGTCTGCAGGAGCTTCCAAGCTGGATGTCATCATCATCCTGACCCGCGCACCCGTAGATGTATCTACTCGACATGTATGAGCGTGGTATTGATATGTGAGAGCATGACGTGTAAACGGTTGTTGATCCATTGGCCACAACGCAACACCACGTGTGTGAGTCGAAGCAATGTCGGGCCGGGCTTGACATTTTACGGCACAAAGCTTGCCCTGCTTGTCCGCTTGGCTTGCTTGAGTTTTGCCTCTGGGGTTTGCCCCTGCCGTAAGCGAGGGACGACGACATCAGATCTGACCTCCTTCTCAACCTCACAGACCTCTCTCTAGCTGCAGGCCAAGGGTGACGGTGTGGCATGACTTCGTAGGCCCGTAAGCGCAGAATCACCAACTACCTGCCATTCTTGTCCTCGATGGGGCTGCATGGCCCGACTGTAGCTCGTCAATTGCACCTTTTACCCAATGTGAATCCACTCGAGACCTTCAGTTTGCCTCCCCGTATGGTTCGCCTGACCCACGTACACCCACATTAGCACCACCACCCCCATGCACCCCGGCCCATAGAAAATTGTGAATCCCAAATTGCCAGGATGCGAATCCTCCCTTGGACTGTGCGGGGCCCCAGAGTGAGAGTCTGGAGCAGAGATTGCAATCACCCCCCTTCCGGTTGGATAGGAAGCCTATAAAGACCTGCCCACCGCCGGTCCTGACCTTCTTGCACCTGCACCTCTCTGTCTGCCATTCTCATTCCATCCCATTCCCCCTCCTTCACCATGGCCAAGTCTCAATTCCAGGGCAAGGGCCTCTCTGGCAGGGCCTTACTTATGGCCCAGATTGCCTTCATCGTGGCCCCATCCTTTATTTGCTTTGGGTATAACCAGTCCGGACTGGGACCCCTCGCAACCTTGCAAAGCTGGGTGCACACCTTTCCGTCCATTGATACCGTGAACACCACAGGGGAACAGAAGTCGCAAAATTCCACCAGCAAGGGCGCTGTGATTGCCTCCTTCCAGATCGGGGCTCTCATTGGAGCCTTTTCGTGCATGTTCATCGGCGATCGATTGGGGCGGCGCAAAACGGTCTTCTTGGGTTCGATCCTCACAATCATCGGCCAGGTCCTGCAGGTGTCCGCTTACCAGATCGTGCAATTTGTTATCGGACGTCTCATTCTGGGCGCGGGCGTGGGCCAGTTCAGTGTCGCCGTTCCCGTCTGGCTGGCCGAGTGCTCCGAAGCGAAGAATCGTGGACGACATGTGATTCTGACCGGTGTCTTCATGTGTCTGGGTTATGCACTCTGTAATTGGATCGATTTCGCCTTCACTTTCATCCCCTACTCGACGCTGCAGTGGCGCATTCCTCTCGCGCTCTCGTTCATCCCATCACTGATGGTCGCGGGTAGTGTTTTCTTCCTCCCCGAGTCCCCCCGCTGGCTGGTCAGCGTCAACCGGACCAGCGAAGCTTTAGTTGCCCTGGCTGCCTACAAGGGCATTGACGAACAAGATGAGGCAATCTCTGCGGAGATTAGCGGAGTGCAGGCCTCTCTAGAGACGAGCACCAAGAAGGTTTCGCTGCTGGACATTATTCTGGTTCGCGGAGACGACCCCGATCGCCTGCTGTACCGATTCCTGCTCTGCTTCTTTCTGCAATTCTTCCAGCAGATGTGCGGTGGCAATCTGATCTCCGTCTATGTCTCCACCATCTTCGAAGAAAACCTTAACATGAGCACCAACCTTGCGAAAATCTTGGCTGCGTGCGCCATGACATGGAAGTTTCTCTGCTGCTTCATTGCGTTCTACTGCATTGACCGTCTCGGGCGCCGGACGGTCTTTATCATCAGCGGTACAGGCATGTGCATTTGTATGACTGTGATGGCCATTAGTGCCAGCTTCCCCAAGTCCAATCAAGGAGCGTCGATCACTTCGGCCACGTTCATCTTCCTGTTCAACTTCTTCTACCCGATCGGCTTCCTGGGCGGCAATTTTCTATACTGTACTGAAGTAGCGCCGGTTCACCTGCGGACCGCGATGAGCGCGGTGTCCACCGGCAACCACTGGCTGTGGAACTTTGTGGTGGTGATGGTCACGCCCGTGGCGCTGGATACGATCGGATACCGCTACTACGTGATGTATGCGGTCATCTCGGCCTGCATTCCTATCAGTGTGGCGCTGTTCTACCCGGAGACGATGAACCGAAATCTTGAATTACTCAACCATGCTTTCCGGGATGCGCCGTCTGCATGGAAGATCGTGTCGATGGCGCGCAACTTGCCTCAGGGCGAGGTGACCGAGGCCGACCTTCATCAACACGACAAGGAGAAGTCGGAGGGATTCTTCGAACAGAAAGAAAGCGTTTGAGGACAACATGGACCCGATTCGGGATTCATGAGCGCTATGACAAAGCTAGCGATGTTCTTTGTTTTTGTGTATGCGGCTTGTTGCATTTGACCTTATGTACATATGATGATCGTGCATGGCATACGGATTGTATGCTGCAATGAGATTTCCGCCCCTTGCTTGGCTGTGTGAATGAAAGTTCTGCAAGTGCTGCGTAGCCACCTCAGACCCAACCTTCTGAATCCCACAATCATCGGAACACTTAGGGTTGTTAAGGGGGAACCACCCAGGTATTAATAATTAAAACCAGGTTGAGGAGATTCGCACAGAAGGGTGGAGATTTCCTGGTGGGGGAATGAGGGCGGAGTTGATCACCTCCGTGGGGGTTGTTAGTATTGGTTCGGTCAGTGCCCGTCAATTAGGGCTCGAGTTGGCAGTTCCTCGGTTTTTACACCGAATATCCCTGTTTGGCTCTTGGTTGCGCTGAACTTCAGGTTGACTCACCCAACCGAATTAACCCGCAGCTTACAGGGCAGCAAGCAAGAGTCAATTAGATCATCTGGAGATTCTCATGCATTCAATCGCGTGCATCCACAACCCCCTCTCTCCCTCTCACCACTGCAGGCTTTCCCCCCTTCCTTTCCCTGATCACATTCATCTGGTTTACCCAATCAAACAACTAACTAAACTTGACTGGGCAATTTGCGGATCAGGGGCAAGTCCCCGACCGTAACAGCAGCACGGCAACCAACTCACAATTCGTTGCTTGGGGAAATTGCTTCCCCATTCCACACCCACAATACTCTTACTGGCGTGCAGCCAGCCAGCTTTCTCTTTCCGGAAATTAATGCACTCCGTCCACCACGTCCGATCAGCATGAAGTCCGCATCCCCCGCTGCCACCACCACCACCACCACGACTGCGGAGGATGCCGAGGGCTGGCACCCGGCCCATCGGGCCAAGCGTCGCAAGCGTGCCTCCACCACGGGGACCTCGCGGCCCTCGCCCCGTGAGCTTGGCATCATGCGTAAGGATGATACCTCCGCTAGTTTCCTAGGCAGCTCCAGCGGGATTCACTTTGTTCGCACCGTCTACCATGCCTTTGCCCGTCGCTCCGCCGATCTCCAGCAGGCGCGCGCCAGCCATGAGAGCCTTGTGCCCGGGGAGGATGACCATCTCCGCACCGGTCAAGGCCAGGCACATGCTCCTTTATGGACGTCCGACGAGCTCGACCCGACTAATCCTAAGCTGCCTTTTGAGGACCTGGTGCAACTGTCGCGTCATTATTTCCTGAACTGGCACCCGATCTACCCCTTCATCCATGCACCCCACATTCTCCGCGCCATGGAGCAAACCAGCCAAGGGGGCCTCCGATCCATCAGCCGGACCGATGCGGTGCTCATCCGATCCATCATGTCTATGGCGGCCATCGACAGTCGACAAGCCCGGGCGGGCGCCCCCGTCACGGTGACGGTGCCCGCGGAACTGGTCTTCCAAACCGTGCATGAGGCAATGAATGGGCTCCGAGACTTGCTCGACGAACCATCCTCCATCCCATTGCTGCAGGCCGCCTTCAGCATCCAGCTCTTTCTCACATCGATCCTCCGCCTCAATGCTGCGTCGCGAATTGGGGGGTTCGTTACCCGAACGGCGTTCCACCTGGGACTGCATCGCTGTCCGGCCCGGTATTCCTGCTTCACGGCCGAAGATGTGGCCACTCGGCGTCGGTTGTTCTGGTCGATCTACTGCCTCGAGCGATATTTGACGCAAGCCCTGGGGGTACCCCTCAGCATCCGCGATGACGACCTGGATGTCTGTTATCCTGGAGCCGAGCGACATGCGTCTGACACCGAGGTGGTTCTGTCCCAGCCTGAGGATAGGCGGCTCAAACTGCTGCGTCACCTGGCCAAATTTGCACGTCTCCGGGGACTGATCTCGGAGCTACGGAACAAATCGATCATGCATAGTGGGGAGAACGTGGTGGAGGCGGTGGAAGTCAGCAGTGCGCTTCTGCAGTGGTGGAACGAGGTGTATGATGATGTGTTTCCGCTGGAGAGTGAACCGGGACAGGGGCAGGGGCAGGGGCATGAGGCCGGCCTCCAACCGTTTCACTCGCTCCTGCTGGTTGTGTCGCGTCATGAGGCCAAGATCGCGCTTCACCGGCCGCTGCTGGCGGCGGACAATTCAACGACGGCGGACTACAAAGCCGCATTCCACACGTGCATCAACTCCTCTCGCTCGCTGCTGGCCGCCTTACATGCCTACATTTCCGCGCCCCCCAGCGACAATCGTCCGCCACTGGTGGTCGCTTCCTTCACCTGGACGGTATGGATGTCGTGTCTGATTCTAATCTACGCCGCCTGGACCGGTCACTTTTCCAATCAAGGGGCGCTCCGCTATGCGCGCATCGGGATCGCCGTGCTCCAAAACATTGCGCGACGGGAGCGAGAGTGGCCGCAGACCTGCATTGAAGCCATCGAGGATCTGTGCTCCGCTTTGGAGCGGCAGGAACGAAATAGTACCTATGCTACTACTGGAAGTACTGGTAACGCTGCTCGCAGGCCGCAACCGGAGATTCCCTCCGATTGTCCCGATGCCATCCGCATTGCCGAGGATCCGATAACTTTCCCCGGACATGCAAATAATAATCATGGGGATGGGAACGGTAATGCCTCCCCACACTCGGTCCGCAATAGCATGGCTCAAGACTCCTGGGAGAATCTTCCCATGTCGGCTCCGGGCTTTGATCCAACCTCCGTGCTCACCACTCCCGATCTCTATAATGCCGCCAGTATGGTCTTCGGCGATCTGGCCGGCTCGGGCTTTTCCTACGGGTTAGGGCCAGAATCTACGGCTGCTTTGCCCGCATCTGACCCTTTCATGATGAACGAAGGCTGGAGTGTGGCCGATGGACCATGGTTGATTCATGGGGATTTCAATGTGTGATACTTACTCTTTCTTTCTCTCTTTCTCTCTCGGACAAAGAAACCTCCGCTCTTCGGCCGGACCAAAACTCCTCCGCCACTAGACCCAAAGCAGCCAACCCCCGCTGACGCATCTGACGCAGCTCACGTGACACTGCCAGCTCCAGCCACTGCAGCCCCGATCATGGATCACATTGAATGTTTTGTTGATGGAAGATCCCAAGTCTTGGCTTGGCTTTGCGTCTCTCTTATTCCCCTCCTCCCCGCACTGTAAAAAGAAGACCCCAGATCTCACATCTTCACCCCCTTCACTACATCGGTACATACGTTTGATCACACACACACACATCCACCCACCCACCATGATACCTGACGAGACAGTCGATCGGCTCTTGGCCCACGTCCGACCCCACATCCAACGCCATCTGGCTCACCAAGCCGTTAACTCCAGCCAAAAGAAGCCCTTTGTGCTGGCCCTGACTGGTCTGCAGGGTAGCGGCAAAACCACCTGGACCTCCGCCATCGTGCGCCTGTTGAACGAGAAATATCACTTCCGCACCATCAATGTTTCGCTCGATGATTTCTATCTCCCCCACGAGGGTCTGGTGCGCCTACGCCAAGAGAACCCCTCCAACGAACTCTTGAAGATGCGCGGCCAGCCGGGCACGCATGATACCGGCCTCGTCCGGGAATTTTTCGATAGCTTGACCGTCACCCCCGCGAACTCCCCGTCCGAGGTCTTGATCCCGGAATTCGACAAGAGCCGGTTCAATGGCGAAGGCGATCGGGTTCCGCGCGAGCAGTGGCGCCGGGTGCCGGTCTCCCTGGATTCCAGCGTCGAGGTCCTGGTGTTGGAAGGCTGGTGTGTCGGGTTCCAGCCGCTGAGTCGGTCGGCCATTGAGGCCAAGTGGAAGGAGGCCAAGGAGCATGTTCCGCTGCTCGAGGATTCTGAGTCCGGGTTTCCCACTCGGACCCTGCAGAATCACGCCCTGGACTCCTATTTGACCATCAACCAAAACTTGCAGACGTACTGCGACATGTTCATGGGCCCGCAGCACTTGGACTTTCTCGTGCACCTCGACACCGACGATTTGGCCAATGTCTACCGGTGGCGCATGCAGCAAGAACATGCGCTGCATCTGGCGAAGAACCAGGGTATGACGGACGAGGAAGTGGTCGCCTTCGTCAAGGGCTACATGCCCGCCTACGAGCTCTACCTGGACTCGGTACGGTCGGGCATCTTCCGGCCTCTCTCCGAGGAACAACGCGCGCACAAGGGACAGGCTCGAGTCATCTTGGGACGTGATCGACGAGTACTGGATATTGTGGGTTGCAGCTAGGGGCCTACAAGACCAACGACCCACGTAACGCCTTTAGACATCGCGGATGGGAGTGTTCTGCCGTAGGAGCCTACTTATCGCTCCAATGAGACATGATGATCACGCAATAGACAACTCAACTTAATGCCTGTAATCTCAATCGGTTTGTCCAGCCGTGGGTTTGAGAAACGCGCGTGCTGGACGACCATGGTGCCTGATTCATGAGGCATGAACGCACGGATGGCGTGGGAGGCAGACACACATAGCGATATACGGGCTATTATATTGGAATCCCGACGAACTAACGTTGACACAAGAAATCCGGAGCCTTCTGACAGGCCTCGCCTCCGAATCCTGAATGCATGACGTAATGGTATACTAAGTGCCGAGAATCGGAAGATGATTGAGGCTGGCCCGGCATTGACTGGCGGCAATGCTATACATCCTCTATCTGTCGCACGGCATCAGTAGTCCAAAACGCGGTAATCTGAACAATTTTTTGTCTAATGCGAAGTGACAGGCTGCGGTGACACTGACGAAGTGAGACGGCGACTGAGAACGTGTCATCTTCTCTCGACGCCCACCCAGTACGCCTTTCATATGCCTACCAGGATTGATACCCAGGTGGCGTGGAATGTAAGACCAGATAGGAGTTTTCTTTCTAGATAGGCGTCTCTGTCTCGGATGACGCCTGCGAGTAGTCCCTCAGGACGGGCACCTGAACTCGCTCCGATCGTCGCGAGAGCAACACCTGCCGAACAATCTGATTCGCGTTCGAGGAAGTATCACTGGCTTCCCGGTCGATGAGCTGGGAGATCCAAGACGCCCGATGGGCAGTGGATGTTACGCGTGCCTGGCTTGCGGGGTTGTCGAACCGCACGGACGGTTGGAAAGACGGCGGGAGTAGCTGGCGCGAGGAGGCACTGGAGCGCTGTGAGTCTCGGCGGCCTCGACGGCTGACCAGAATGTTTAACGCAGGGATACAGGAGCAGATGAGGGCGAATCCGCCCTCAGCGTTTCTGGTGACCCTTAGCCTTCTGGCCTGACCTGATACTAAAGCCCCCAGGAGGAAAGCCACTTACCCGGACAAGAGTACTTTCAAGTAGACAACGCTCGAATCGAGATTGTCTCTTTCATGAATGACAAGCACAAGGCGATAGATACTGAACCCAATCGCCAATCCTCCGCAGCCCATCATCAAGGAAGCCCTCAGCTTCTTGACGTGGGAGAGGTTCAGCGTGGTAGTCAGGAATGCCGGGAGCAGGATGATCGCTAGATCGGTCGCAATGCTCATGATCGCATCGGCCACGATTACGGCTGTTTTGTCCAGGCACTGATCTTCCTGGTCGGAATGGGTCCAGAAATACGACACCGGAAGACAGATGAAAACCTTGATGAAGAAGATGGTTGTGTAATAGACGACAGTCACAACCAGTACCGAGTAAACGCTGACAACTTGCACCTGGCGGATAGTGAAGATTCGCGCCAGGATTGAGAGCAGCGTGATTTTGACCGCTAGCACCATGGGTGCGTAGATCACAGTCAGGACATAGTAGAACTATAGACATTAGAAGTTGCAACTAGCACGAAAATTCGGGCAAAATGCCTTGTAGACCAGCCTGACTTGCACCGGTGTCAGGAGAGCAACAGGTTTGCCTCCGCCGTAATGAAGATCTACGATTGCCAGTTGATTAGTTGATGAGACTTTAGCGTGAGGAGTGAGGAAGAGCCCACATAATATGTTGCAGATGCAATAAGTGAAGAAGAGGGCCTAGCATTACAATATCAGAGATAACTCGGCACTGGACGGTGTATGAAGTGAGATACCCAAGACAAGAAGCAAAATGCTGTTGTATTGCCATTAGCTTTGCTGAGACGAGAAGGGAAGACATTTCAACTCAGACGAACCGTCTTCAATGTTGAAATGTCGCTTGATCTGGAATGCGACGAAGAGGCGCAGAGCCAGGCAAATGGTGGTGATACTGCAACATAAAATCTGCGTCACCAAGCTGATGGTGCGTAGATATCGATCGTGTGCCAGGGTCATTTGAGTCGACAGTGGTCACCATCGCAACATGGTGGTATGAGGTGAACATGGTAAAGGAAATGCGGACGAAGGGGAGGCGAAGGAAGGGCTTGGTTGGCTTCACACGTCATGGACGGATATGATCCATGGAACCCCCACAACCCTGACGCTGATAGAAAGTATCGAATCTTACCTGCTGTTAGAGATAAACTCATTCGAGATTGAGACACGCAATGAATTGCGAACAACCACTTTGACAAGCCCTTTTTCGAACGACAACGATTTCACCGACCCGAAGATGCGCTGTTTCGGAGTTAACTATGACAACTATCCCAAGCTCCTTGTGTGCTTTTGCTCGCCCCTGGTATAAAGCTTGATTAGTTCATCGTTCAACTAACGGGATCGTACGGACATCATCGTGGGCACAGTTCTTGTGATCGTATCCTGAAGAATGATAAGGAAACATGGCAATCGCTACGTACCCTGCACTGCAAGCAGGCCATGACACGTTCTGAGCTGAGTCTGGCATCACGGTGGTTGAAATTCATTGGGCGAAATCTGGCCGTGTCCTCGGCTAAAATACAAGAATCATAGTGCGCAATGAGGAGGGGCAGCATGGGCTTCAGCTGAGTCGTTACACGGGAGATATGAAGGGAGGAAAGAGAAGCTGAAGGAAAACGGGAACAATGCCGCATACTTGAACCATTTTTACAGGAGAGAATGGCGAGACAAAAAAGGTGATGGTCGTAAGTCGTGTTCACGGCGACGAAGCACCTCCCACTCCTACCACCGCTGTTGAGGGTACTCTTGAATCTCCCACAATCTAAGAGACGCGGATGCAGTTTGAGCCTATTATCCAAATCTCAATCCACTGCCTTACGCGTTGTCTCCTATGTGTTGAGTGAATCGTTGCGTTCTATTCTTTGGATTAGTTTTCTATATATTATTACCGTCCTTATCATATATGAGTGAGTCCCTCTGTAGTTCGAATAATAAACATCACATCCTGGGTAACAGGTCGGGAACGAAGGTTTGATAGCTTTTGGTGAGGGTCAAAGTTCAATCATGAAATCCGGAGCATATAACGCGTTGCACATTGCTAACCTGGCTACCACGTCTCCGCCCTACAACTGGAAGCGAAAGTCGGGATGAGCATCACCCAGATCTTTCGTGCTTTCCGACTGCCAGTCTTGCAGCGGTTGATTTGCACGGCGGCGATTCTCTGCCCGGAGGCCAACAAAATACACAGTGCAGGCCAACCCTGCCACCACCCCGAATGCGAGGCCGACCCCGAAACCAGTCGGGTATCTGGGTGCCTGGCTGGTAATGAAGACGTTACCTGATACGAAAGCCCCGCAGTTGCCAAAGGCCGGAAGCAAACCCATACCAACGCTACGCTTGACTCCCTTCCCCAAGTTGATGCACAGCCATACCACAGTGATCGACATCATGATGAATGCCCCAGAGGCGACAAAAAACATGCCCATGTATCGAACACCGGCGGAGGGCACTTGTGCAAGCTCCACACTCCAACCAATCACAACCAAAATCGAGCCGAACAAGGTGAAGAGATATCGGTGGCGGAGATAGTCACTCAACCAGGCACTGGAAAGCGTAAGGACGAAAGAGACTGCGTAGACAGGGATGCTGTGTTCTTGTGCTGAGCGACTAGTCCATCCTAGATCCTTGAGGATAGTGGGCTGAAAGTATACCAAGGAGCTGGCGCTTTCTTCGGCCGCGAGATAGGCCAGAACACTGTTTTGGAAGTCAGCTCATTATTTGGACCTGATACCAACAATTCACGCTCACCAAATCCAGATCTTCCAGTCCAGAGCCATTTTTATCACTCGAGGGAGTGAAATAGGGTCGTCACGGGTGCTTCCCCCATCGGCCTCCAGACGCGCAAGCAACAGCGCCTTCTCCTCGGGGGTCAAAAATGTCGCGTCCTCTGGAAATGGAACGACGATCCAGTAGCAGATAATGCTGACTCCCATCGTAATGATCGACTCTATCAAGAAGAGCCTGTGCTCGAGTTAGATAGCGAAAGGTGCGCGAAACGCTCGCGGAGGTCATACCATCTCCATCCTGCATATCCATCCAACTTCAAGTGCGTCAAAAGACTCGAGAAAAGCTAGCGAATTAGTGGACGGACGAAACGAATGTGAGATGATTGGTCTCGTACCCCATTGAATGCTCCAGCTGCCATGTTTGCACTAAAGAAAATTGCGTAGCGACGAAGAAACTCATCCCGCTTGTAGTAACTTCCGATCAGGTATGCGCAGCCTGGTGTTCAAGCCCAAATCAGTATTCATACATTGTAGAAAAGTGCTCAGAAGAATGAACGAACCAGGAACAAAGCCTGCCTCACACATTCCCATGAAGAACCGACACGCAATCAGCCCCGTCGCGGTCTTCGTGAGACCTTGTCCCATCACAAATAGACCTGTTCATCCACGACGGTTAAGAAATACCCGACACCAAGTAGCTAACGATCAGGCTCACCCCAGGTAAACATGTAGAGGACCAACATCTTGGGCCCAAATTTCTTGACCAGCAAGTTGGCAGGCATTCCGAAAATTACGTATGCGACCGTGAACATGGTGACAGCGAGGTTGTAATCATTCCCCACCAAGTGCAGCTCCTTGGACATACCCGCAATCTTCGCATTTCTAGATTGACACCGCAGAGTTAGTGCCTACTTTCGATCAGAATCGTGGGCCGAGAGATTGAACACTCACGCAATATTGGAACGATCCATGAAGGAGACTAAAAAGAGAAACCATAGTGCTGGGATGACTCGCCAGTCCAGCTTTCGCAGCAACTTCTTCTCCAATGCGGGATCGAATTCGGGCGCTGCCGCTTCGACCACGCGGGGTTCGATGTCTTGCTTCTCCATGGCCGTGCCCGGTGTGCAGCTGTCAGGGGAAAGGTCGGAACTAGGAGAAAAAGTGATTACCCATGCACGTGGTGCGACATGCCGGCTTTTGTAGATAGACCTGAGATCGGAATATCCGAGGAGTGGCTAGAGGTGGCCAGGGATGGATCAGACCAAGCCGGTTCTGCAGCAGACAATATCCGGCCGAGAATGAGTTCTGGGCAGGATTATGGCCAACTCCGTGCTATAACCGCGTATATTAGACCCTTGATCAATTGTGCAACATGGTGAATTACACTGTGGTGTGTGTGTAGCGTTATTCAGTTCCACATTAATATCTATTAACGATTTTAAAGGACCATAAGCACAAGATCATCCACTCTAGTGGCTCCGGCCCAACAAGACATGAAATCTAGACTAGGAATTGGAATGATGGTTATTTGCCGGGTATACGATCCTGGTCTGACTAAATTCCACAACAGGACTAAATAACAGGACTAACCACTACTAGGTACTACTAGCTACATGAGACTAGATGCTTAGGGGCATGAGCGATTCTCCCGGACCACATAGGGTTCTTATCCTCACAGACACTTGATCCACCTAAAGTGCCAGACCCTCACCGCGGAAATCGTCCGGACTCCCGCCCGTCCAACCGCTGGTCTCCACATGCGCACATGATTGATCAGGGGTCATTTCACAACAGCGGAGTGGTTACTTGCAATCATACATGCACATCTCTCCTAATGATACCCAAATTAACAATAATATCATGACAGGTACGCAAGTTTGTAATGGCGCATGCACAAAGTGTCCTTCAGAACCGTCGCAAGTGAATCGGGGTCGATCCCCAACATTTCTCAGGATCTCAAGGCCGAACTACAAACAAGTGCTTCAAACATGTGTGTGGCATTAAAAGGGGAAACGTCCAAAACGGACTTGACCGAGGACCACAGTGCGATGGGGACATGCTCTAGACCCATTTCATCTTTGGTATTTGCGCCACCTCCGAGGTGCCAGCCAGAGTAGGCAGGTCGCTCTTCAAGGTTGCATGCCGACCGGACGGGATATATTAGGTACTCTACCTGGGAGTAATAGCATCTCCTAGCCATTACGGGTGACGTTACGAACTCCGAGCCGGAGTAATCCTTCTACAGCAATTAGATCCTACAGAGCTGAAGGAAGAGGGGTTCATCTCCCAGCCAATGCGTTACGAGCATGCGAGATTGGCGGGCTGAGCCCTATCTTCATCGCGCCGGTTTGATCCTTCGATCCCTTTGCTAGGGCCGAGAAAGAACCCTTTTCTCAGGCCAAGAAAGAACTCGGCGTACAAATCTCTGCTCATCCTCGTTCTCGTTCCTGCTGGCATACTGCTCGAACAAGCAGGAGACTCATTATGCCTCAGGGTGCCCCTGATGTCCCCGACAAGGGTCCTCTGTTCATGAGGGTGACTGGCGTTTTGACCGCTATTGCATTCATCTTGGTCGTTCATCGATTATTGTGGAAGGTGTACAGGGGGACTGCAATTTCCGCGGACGATGTGATTATCCAGGTTTCTATGGTATGAGAGGAAGGTAACCCTGAGAAAGCTTTTGCTGACAAAAGATAGGCCATACAAATTGTGAATACGGTGATGGGCGACTTGGCGTGCCATTATGCCTTTGGTCGTCATCGTGCCGACATCGTCCGATCGGGAGGCAACATTGTTCTAGCGTTGAAGGTACACTCCTGTAAGCACCCTGCTCAATGCGAATGGCGCGGCTAACTGAATTCTATCTACACAGTATTTCTGGCTTTTTCAAATCTTGTACAAAGCTGTCCTGTGCCTCAACAAGCTCAGCTTCTTGGCTTTCTACTTGCGCATCTTTCCCACCCGACTATTCCGCATCATCTGCTGGGTGACGATTGGCATTGTCATCTCCAGCACCTTCGGATTTGTTCTGGCGACGATCTTCCAATGCATCCCAGTCCAAGCCAGCTGGCAAAAGCATCTCCCGAAGAAATGTATCAATAATGCAAGCTTTCGATGGTCGTGGGCCGGCTACAATACGGCAATGGATATCTGGGTCTGTGTCTTGCCGCTACCCGTGCTCGCGCAATTGCATCTGGACCGAATTCGCAAGATCGGTGTGATGCTAGTGTTCTGCATGGGTTTGTTCGTGTGCGTGACGAGCATTATTAGGATGTGGGCGATGGAGGCGAGTACTACGACTCAGGATCCGACTTGGGGGTCGTTCGATGCGCTGCTGTGGAGCGCGATCGAGGCCAGCACGGGAATCATCTGCGCATGCTTGCCCTTCCTGAAGCATTCAGCACAGAGACTGGTTCCCACTTGGTTTGTCTCGCTCTCCAATGGGTCGAGGAAGTCCCGCAGTCGAGCAACGAGAACTCGAACAGGGCGGAGTTATCGTATGAGCCGACTCGAGTCGCAAGAAGGCACTCAGTTGGGGCAAGGGTGGCGAGTGGAGAGACATGAGCCCGATGCCGATTCAGAGAGTGTCGGCAGCCAAGGGGCGATCGCCAAAGGCCAGATCATTCTCACCACCGATATTGCCATGCACAGTGAGCCGGCCTCGAGATAATTAGCAGTAAATTGTTTTCCTACCTTCCGCTTTGCTTCTCATCACGGATCAACAGTAGTCAATTCCACGGGGCTCCTTCTCCGTGTGAGCTAGAACTCAGTTGGTATAATCCCCGGTGAGGAAGGATAGCTAGTGATCCATGCTAGATATTGCATGTCTTAAATGCTTAGCGGCCATGGAGGGGGAAATGGCTCATTGGAGAGCTTAGGGGCGGGACTTGGCAGCTTAGCCTGACGCTACGAGCCCTAAACGCTTAGCTTGACAGGGGGATCAAACCACCGGCCCTTTAGCGCTGCACTGGCCTGATCCACCCTCGCTTCCCTCCTCCTGATGAAGTTTTTTTGCTTTCAATTTCGCAACGAGTGACTGGGCTTGTCCCCAGTGCGGTTAGACTGCATGCTGCCCGAGGTCGGGATTAAGTGGGAATTGCCGTCCCTAGCAGAGGGATAAGAGGCTGGGAGAAGAGAGATCTTTCTCTCGACTCACTCGCACGCAATCAGCCTCACTATGTCTCAAGTTCACGCAGGAGAAGATCGAGTTAGCCCGACCGTGGCCGATGAGCTCTTGGAGGCTCTGGCTCAGGTAGGCCGTTCACCATGCCTGCCACTGAGGTTGCACTGACACCGACCAGGCAGGGGTGGATTATCTCTTCGCCGTACTAGGATCCGATCATCCTAGCATCATTGAGGCGTATGTGCGCCGACAGAATGATCCTGCACGGCAGTATCCGAAGATGGTTCTGTTTCAACATGAGGTCAGCAAGAATCTCCGACCACTGGCTCACCTAGTTCTGACCATTAATCGACCAACAGTTCGTCGCCATGTCTGCAGCCGATGGCTACGCGCGAATCAGTCACCAACCGGCCTGTGTGATTGCCCACGTCGATGTGGGGACTGCCGCTCTCGGCCAGGGGCTGCACAATGCTTCCAGTGGACGGGCACCGGTAATCATTCTTGCTGGGATTGCTCCCTCCACCTACCTAGGGGAAGCGCCAGGGTCCCGATCGGAGCATGTGCAATGGTACCAGGATATTCGGGACCAAGCTGCCCTCGTGGCCCCATATAGCCGTTACAGTGCCGAGATCAAGTCTCCGCACAATGTGTCCACCGTGGTGCGTCGTGCAGTGCTCATGGCCACCACTGGATCTCCGGGGCCCGTTTATCTTACGGCGACACGGGAGATCCTGGCGACACCCCTGCCTTCTGTAGACCATCCCACAGGACACAAGGCCGTGCCTTCATGTCGGCTGGGCTCACTTCCCTCCGAGGTGATCGAGGTAATTGGGACGGCGCTGCTCAGAGCCCAGGCTCCCCTGGTCATCACCGGGTACCTGGGCCGGAATCACCGTGCTGTCCAAGAACTGGTTGCTCTGGCCGACACGATTGCTGGTCTTCGGGTCTTTGACTCGGAGCTCCGTGAGATGAGCTTTCCAGCCACTCACCCAGCGTGCGTGACCCGAGGAACGGGGGCAGCTCCCGCGGTGCAATCGGCAGATGTGATTCTTGTGCTGGATGCGGACGTGCCCTGGATCCCAACTCGAGTACGCCCTTCTCCTTCGGCCCAGGTGATTCACATCGATCTTGACCCACGCAAAGAACGGATGAACATCTTTGATATCGGTGCATCACTGACTGTGCACGCCGAGACAGCTTCGGCTCTGGCCCAGCTGAACACTTACATCTCCGCCGCTCCTCAATTGTCCGGGCTGCAAGCGAGTGAGAACTGGCAAGCTCGCGCACAGGCCGTTCGCACTGCCTACCTCCAAGGCCAGGATCGAATCAATGCTCGTGCGGCTGCACTGGAGTCAACTCCTGATGCTCCCTGTAGCGTGGACTATCTGTGCAGTCGAATTCGCGCACTATTACCCCGGGAGACGACCTTTGTCACGGATTCAGTGACCAACCAGGTTGCCATGACAGAGCAGCTTCGCCTTGAGCGACCGGGCTCGCATCTCACTAAAGGAGGCAGCGGGCTGGGATGGGCGGGTGGAGCTGCCATCGGGGTCCAATTCGCTGCAGCGCGATACCATCTCTCCAACCGACCGGCAGTTCAGCAGAAGACCGAGCAGGAATTAGCCTCAGCGGCACGGCCCTTTGTCTGCAGCATAACTGGTGATGGAAGCTTTGTGTTCTCAGTCCCGACCGCCGTCTACTGGGCCAGTCACCGCTACCAATGTCCCTTTCTGACGGTCATCTTGAACAACGGCGGCTGGAACGCCACAAGCCAATGTTTACGAGACGTGCACCCGACCGGTGTTGCGGCGAGTCTATCGAAAGAAGAGTTGGGCATCTCGCTGGTCGCCGATGGGCCGGATTATGGGGGCATTGCCAAAGCGGCAGCAAACGGAGATCTGTGGACAAAGCGCGTCGACCGCGTGGGGGACCTGGACGATGCTATTACTGAGGCACTTAAGGCTGTGGTGGAGGCAGGCAAATCCGCAGTCTTGGATGTGGTCATTCGGTAGGTTACCGCATGAACGCAGATTTCCTTTATTCTCGATGATTCTCCCACATTCACGCCAAGATAGCTTCAGAATTTCACTCTACCGCCTTTATTGACGCGAGTGGTTGCTGAAATCATGGTGAGTAGTTTACATGAACAGCGACCCGCGGATTAGACAATGTACCGTGCTTTATTAATTGTTCTTTCAATTGGCAGGGCTTTGAAACTAATAGAACCCATGCTACCAGCACGTAGAGGAAGGGGCACTTGCATAAGCGAAGGCGCCAGATAGGTGTGCACTAAGGATGTAGGCTATTCTTCCTTGTCCTGACATTAACATATGTCCCCATGACGAAACCAACCAGGTTGAAATAATGTTCCCAGACATACTCCGGAAGCGATGTCTGCGCGAAACCAAATACCACGACAGAGGTCGCTAAAATAGACACCAAAGACACCCAAAAGCGCTGGCAGCCTTGTGGTAAGCCACTTTCGCATTGGCTCTACATGCGATGAGAGCCAGCGAATACAAGTGCACCCAGTTCTGGGGAGAGATCACCTGTAAAAGATCAAAACTCATTAAAGTCAAACGAAATTAGAGAAGAAGAATCTGGGCCCTTCCCTTCGGAAGGTTTACCAGGAGACTGTTCGTCAAGAATCGGGCAAGGTTGGCCATCAGACTCGTGCGGTCAGCGAAGGCCCTCTGTAGAAGACCAATGAGGATGTGACTGAGCGGTGCACTGATGAAGAATCCGTATAAAGCCATCTTCCACACACGATCTTACACGAGACGGCCTTGTGGCCCAACACTTGCTGTTCAAGATGCCAACGCTTCCTTCAAGCCTGCCAGGAGCGAGGAGGTCACCATCTTGGTCCGCAGCGGACTATTCTGCAAATGCCATAGGTACCACTCGAGACGTCGTCAATCAGCCTGTCCATCCGTGATAGATAGCTCTAACACAGATGTCGCTCTTGTGGTGCTAACATACGGCCAAGTATTTCTCAAGCTGAATTCTCTGGAGGGGTCTTGGGCTCGACTCTACTGCTATTCCTCTATATCTGAGCTTCGCCATTGTGTCGTCAACTGACCGCACCGTCATTGTCTGATTTCCCGACCGGGACAGTACAAGGCGGCAAAGGGACAAAGAAAAAATGGGAATTCAAAAGGCAGACAGACGTAGGAAACAATTGAGATTCGGCTAAAGTATTATAAACAATCAAAACGAATGGCACGGATCCGGTCCTCCACCTACATAATGCGCTGCAAGGAGGTGTTCTCGGCCCCACACTCCGAGTCAATTATGCAGCACTATCACAGGAAAAGAGCTGAAATCCTGTCGCTTCTTGTGCATAAAGATGTATTCAAAGAATTGAGCGTCTTTTAAGTAGAATCAAGCGAAAGCCCGGATTGATATGGTTACCAGAATAACCAGACAAAGAACCAGGCCGTTTGAGTCAATGCAGCAAGAGGAACAACCCTTCAGCTACACAATATAGCTCTTTCTTGAACAAAGATTATCCTGTGGCACAGCCCAGTCCAACAATGGAGGAGAAGATGATAAATAGCCTGGATCCTCGTTCCATGTTACTGACCGTCAACCATCCCAAAGACCCCAATTAAGCCCCCGCACCAACATCATGATTTTCAACATCCACCTACAACAGAAGAAAAGCTTGTGTGGCGCTCGAGTCAGGATTGCCTGGAACTCCGATCGGACCACGACGATTGGCGGTACAGTTCGCATCGAAGGGCTCTACTACGCCCTGACTGCTCTGCACCCCTTCCTTAAGCCTTCTGCCGATGAGGATGGCGATTTTTCCAAATCAGCTAATCTGTCTCTTCCAGGTGACGGTGTTTCCAAGACCAAGATGTTCCCATATAAGTTTCCTGCGTCGTTTCGATCCCGCACTATGTACGCGGAACACGGAGACGACAACCGAGTTGTGGCGTATTTGCCCGGCTATAAAGACACATCTGAGTTGGACCCAGCCTTCTGGTCCGTCCAACAAAACTGGGCTTTGTTTCGTCTGTGTGATCAGAGCCCCAAAGCTAACCGCCTCACGATTGAGGGCCAGCGAGTGCTCTGTCCATCCAAGGTCAGTCGCACCTCGCCCCGAGGCCAGTTGTGGTGTCTGACAGCAAACAGTTCTCGGCCTCCTGTCCGAACCGATGCTTTCGGCAGAATGAGTGGTGGATGTAGCACAGCTACTGGCGGCACGCTTCCGACGACATATCATTTGAGTATGGTCTCGTTTGCGGAGGACGCTGGGGCATGGATAGTCGATTCGGGGGATAATGGGTCCCTTTTTGGGATGATTGTGGCGCAGGATGACGAGAGTTTTACCAGCTATGCCATAAGTGCGGCCGACGTTTTTGATGAATTGCGCGATCGATTTCCTGACATTGTGATTGCGTAGGCCTTTAACGTGGCAAGCAAGTCTGATCGATCAATCTCGGGTCTGTTTTCATTTCTTCGAAAGTATCATTATCAGGATACATGTATACCCGGCGTTACAAGAGGGGAAAGACTAGCCTGGCTACTGGATTCATCTCAGATATTCGTTATAACAGGATTCCTGGACAAAGTGAGGATATAATGTTTGATTTAGTATATATATATATGTATTAGGTATAATCTAAGCACCCATCAAAACGCGATGCAGGGTTCATGGAAATGTCAGTAGTGAACCAGTGAACTAGTCGATGTAGATGAACACTCGTTCGCAAGGGGCAGGTGAGAATATGGCCTCAGGCATTCAGGCACGATGACTGGACTGTGTCGGAAGGTCATGTGACAAACAGCGGAGAATGCTTGGAAATGCAAGGCTGCGAGTGGTTGGTTGAGTCTACCCCAGATCACATGACGTCGACTTACCGGCCTAGGCTCCTTCCATCCCGAGTCCCCCATTGATTGCCCCCTGCGAGATCGGCGCAAGGGGAAAATTCTTCGGTGACTCAACGCCTTCTCATTCTTCCCTCTTCTTTCTTCTTCTCTCCCCTTCGCTCCTCTCCGTGTTCGATCGCATTGTTGAGAGCATGGCTAGGCAGATCTGTAACCTGCTGCGCAGGCCGGTGAGTAACCCTTTCTCCTCTCCATCTTGCAATTCCGCCTCCTGATACTGATGATGCTCTCCCCAGCTTCGGCTTCCGTGCACTCCGGCGCTCGGGGCTCCCAGCAGGCGAATTCCTTTTCAACTTCGATCGGTCGCATCACCCCTCCCTCTTCGCTCGATCCGTTCGCTGAGTACGACCCCTATCGCCCGGGCAGATGGCTTCCACTCGCAGCAACAGAATATTCCCGCGACGCTTCCTTCCGAGAACCGGACGCCGCAGACATTGACGGAAAAGATTGTGCAACGCTATGCCGTCGGGCTTCCTCCAGGAAAGCTGGTGCGGAGTGGCGACTATATCAGTCTCGCGCCTGGGTACTGCATGACTCACGACAACTCGTGGCCCGTGGCCCTGAAGTTCATGTCGATGGGCGCCACACAGGTCCACAATCCGAAGCAGATCGTCATGGCCCTGGACCACGATGTCCAGAACACCAGTCCAGCCAACCTCCAGAAATACCAACAGATCGAAGCGTTTGCTGCCAAGCACGGGATTGACTTTTATCCTGCGGGACGGGGTATTGGGCACCAGGTGATGGTGGAAGAAGGATACGCGTGGCCGGGTACAATGGCAGTCGCCTCGGACAGTCACAGCAACCACTATGGCGGTGTGGGCTGCTTGGGAACGGCGGTCGTCCGGACAGATGCCGCCAGTATCTGGGCTACATCGCGCACATGGTGGCAAATACCCCCGGTGGCGCGGGTCACCTTTACCGGAACGCTCCCAGTTGGCGTGACTGGTAAGGATGTGATCGTTGCCCTGTGCGGACTGTTCAAGAGCGATGTCCTAAATCATGCGATTGAATTCACCGGCTCAGAAGAGACAATGGCCAGCTTGCTTGTAGACAGCCGGTTGACGATCGCAAACATGACCACGGAATGGGGAGCGCTTACTGGTCTCTTCCCGATTGATACCACTCTGAAACGCTGGCTGCGCTACAAGGCGACTGTGGCTGCGTTGTCGGACGATCGAACCACTCGCGAGCGCATCACGCACGAGAGAATCGACGAGCTGTTCGCCAACCCCCTCACTGCGGACCCCGATGCACAGTATGCTAAGCAGCTGTATCTCAACCTCTCCACCCTCTCGCCTTATGTTTCCGGTCCCAACTCGGTCAAGGTCGCCACTCCCTTAAACGAGCTTGCCGCTCAGAAGATCAAGGTCAATCGCGCCTACATTGTCTCCTGCACCAACTCGCGCGCCTCGGATCTTGCAGCAGCCGCTCAAGTCTTCCGCGACGCCAAGAAGGCGAACCCGGATGTGACCCCCAAGATCGCTGATGGCGTCCAGTTTTACATCGCGGCCGCATCTGCCCCCGAGCAGGAGGCGGCTGAAGCCACGGGTGACTGGCAGATTCTGCTTGACGCTGGCGCGCAGCCGCTCCCTGCCGGGTGCGGTCCCTGCATCGGGCTCGGCAAGGGACTTCTGGAGCCTGGGGAGGTCGGTATCAGTGCCAGCAATCGGAACTTCAAGGGCCGAATGGGCTCGCGCGACGCGCAGGCTTACCTGGCGAGTCCCGAAGTCGTCGCTGCCAGCGCTCTCAGCGGTGTCATCTCTGGACCCGGCGCCTTCCAGGTCCCCCCAGAAGAGTGGTTGGGAGTAGACTATGGATTCGGTACCGGTGGGGAACCCACCACCGAGCAGCAGCTCACCAACCTCCTGCAACAGATGGAGTCGTTTATCGATCGGGTCGAGTCTGTCCAGGGTGCATCTGAAAAGTCGGCCACGGAGATCCTCCCCGGTTTCCCGGAGCGTATCAGTGGCGAGATTCTCTTCTGTGATGCGGATAACCTCGACACCGACAGCATCTACCCCGGCAAACTTACCTATCAAGACAATGTCTCGAAGGAGGACATGGCCCGTGCCTGCATGCAGAACTACGATCCCGAGTTCCACGGAATCGCCAAGCCCAGCGACATCCTCGTTGCCGGCTTCAACTTCGGCTGCGGGTCCTCCCGAGAACAAGCCGCGACCGCCCTTCTCGCCAAGCAGATTCCCCTTGTGGTCGCCGGTAGCTTTGGAAATATTTTCGCCCGGAACAGTATCAACAACGCGCTGATGGGTCTCGAAGTTCCACGGCTCGTTGAGCGCCTGCGCGCAGCCTTCTCTCAGCAATCTACCGCATCCGGTACGGAGCGTCAGCCCACACGCCGCACCGGCTGGACGTTGACCTGGGACGTGAAGCGGAGCCTTGTTGAGGTACAAGAGGGTGAGGGTGGCGAGAGCTGGACTGAGCAGGTCGGCGAGCTGCCAGCGAACGTGCAGGCTATTATTGCTGCTGGTGGTCTCGAGGCATGGGTCAAGGCGGAGGTTAGCAAGTCGGCGTAATCGTGTACGTGATGAAAGATTACGATGATTTTAGAACGCATGTAAATATCCTTAGCGTCATTTCAATGTGAACTATCTGTATTAGTATGGCAAGCTATTTCCGGGGGCGTACCTTCAATATCGCATCTTATGCCTTATATCCTATGCTTCTCAACTTTGCAACAAAAACCAGAGCCTAGTGCAAAGAGAAGGGCTATGCGAATAAGAGCAATTATCTTTTCCTTCGGTTATCCTGCTATAGCCAGATAGGCACCTTTATGATCTCAAGGCAAGCAATATTTGGGCCAGCAAGAGTTCTGCCGGTGTGGGTCTCAAGTTCTAGCGTTGTGATAGCCAAGCCAGCTGGTGGGTGGCTCTGCCTTCGTCATCTACGCACTCGAGCATCCGCAAAGGATAGATGAACAGAAACGACGAAGTGCCACTGACCTTGAATTCAGACACAAAATTATGAAAATGATATGCCGCACAATCATCAGAGTGCAGCGTTCAGTGGGAAGACACAATGGGTCGCTTTCATCATCAGCCTAAAAAGTACAAGAATACTTACCCAAATTTTGTTTCTTAGCACAGCACCGCGGACACCGGAATTAAATGCAAAAACAACCGCCGCTATATAGATATGAGGTGGGGAGGTTCAGGCTCCTTAGCTCACTCAAACGAGTTGAAGAATCAAGATACCACACCTGATGACCATCTATCTCAGAACATTCAATCTTTACCACCGCCCCAGCCTGACTAGACAATCAATTTGAGGCGCCTCTGAGAGTCGCGATTGAATCAAGCAAATGTTCATTCTGCTCCAAGGCGAGCAGGTCTTTAACCCTTATATCCGCACAAAGCTCTGTTTGTACCTGCAGTCGCTCCCCAGGTGCCAGGCCAATATTCCTTACATCTTGGCTAGGTGTTCTAGACGCTAACTTTGTCAGTTCCAGCTTTAATGCACTGATAGCAAATTCTGCCACTACCAGGGAGTTATAATAGCTCTCGCCGCGAGGTGATGCCCGCAGAGCACTGAGTGCACAAGCTTAGGCTTTACAGAGGCTGACAGAGCTAAAAGTGAGGTTTGGGTTCTGTTTGTGTATCCCGGCAGGACGATTGGATCAGAATCAGCAGGGTGTTGGAATAGCATGTTGAAGTAGCAGGATTTTGTCAAAGAAATGCCTGCCTAGTGCAGGCCGTCAATATTGTTAGCAAAATCAAGATAATGATCCTAGGAATTAGATACTTTACCGGGAGAAGAAGCAGTGGACAACTCATATTCTTCGAATTTTACTATATGTTGTAGACAGGGCTTCAGGAACGCATTTGTATATCGACTGAATATTAAGTATAAGTAAGATATGTAGATTCAGCTTCTAACTACAATCACGGCGATTGAATTGTACGCTATGGATAAGGCTGCCGCTCGTAACCAAATCCTGAGCTGTTCAGTCTTCGTCGATGAGTCACCATGCTTCTCGCCTCAATTCTCGCCCGAGTTCCGTCTGTGTACAGTACCTGGTCTATGCTGGTAAGACCGAGATACTGTTCGCACAGCGGATAATCCTCGGTTTGCGCCACAAACCTCACTAGGGCGTCAAGCTCCATTCGCATACACCCATCGTAAAACGGGCCCTCATCATAGTCGGAAGCTTCTGGGTCGTGCTCGGCGACATCCAGGATGTTGATGTATCCGTACGGTCCGGCCCAGGAGCCGGAAGAAACCTCGAATCCTCGGGGTCCGGTGGTGGCCAGGATGGAGCGAATGCATGGCTCGTCAACCATGAGCGGGTAGCCGAAGCGCGGGCAATTGTCAGGTCTGAACCCGTGTTGTGCCACCCACGCACGGTGCTTCTCGAAGACAACCCCTACGCCCACCCCGTCTAACGCAGGGTCCTCAATGATGACGTTCCTATATCCTGCTCGTACAAGCTCATAAGTATCCAATTGGCCTAGCAGTGGTTTGTGACCGCGAGTGATAGGAGGGATCACACCACCCCAGAAGTAATGGTCGAGCTTAACCAGAGCAGCGTGCCAGTCCTCTTGGGAAGAATACGTAGTCCGGTAAACAACGTAGCCCCAAGGCCAGGTCCGGTCGCGAAATGCCCACTGTTCAATGATGGAAGGCAGCCACATAAACCATTCTCTCTGTCGAAATCGTTTCTCACGGTCCTTCGGTGACTCCTCGGGAGGAAATTCTGGGTGAGCCCAAGGTTCGGCCCAGGATTGATGGTGAAAAAGAGAGCCATTGCGGTCGGGCGATGAAGCCATGTTTAGTGATGGTTTTATGCGACGTTCTGGCTCGAAGAACAAAGGTTCAAGCAGAAGATGGAAAAAGATCAAAGAAGGACAAGAGGTTGAGGAAGGGGAAGTGTTGATTAAATAAGTTTTGCACGAGGCTGCCGCCGCCAAGCTGACCCTTGCCCACAACTACTTGTTACATTCAGATCTATGAATATATCCCTCCCCCTCCCCCACCCCCAACGTCAGACAGATGTAGTTCCAAACAATTCAAATCTACTACTCGTCACTCTCCCCAAAAACAGTATTCCACTCATAAGTTGGCCCGACACAGTACGCTCTTGACTCGGCCAGCACACAATTCTTTCCGTCCAGTGATGGGTTGACCTCGAGAAACAAGCCCCAGGGGATTGATCCTGCAGGCAGACGATGGTACACATATCGCGCTCTTTGCCATCAGTAGCTGTAGCTACATGCCACTTGCCGCCGCGCTCGGTGGTGCCCGGCGCGACGCTCACATTTTCTGGTGGGGGAAACTCGGGGATGGCATAGCCATCCCCATATTGGGGTAGTTGTATCGGTGTCCGGCGCGGTCCTCGTCGAGTTCCCTGCTTGGGGCACTAAGCACAACACATCTGCCCATCTGCTCCGCTCGGCGTAGCCCAATAGACGGAAGTGCCAAGCTCGCTACTTGGCCCTATAATCTGTCCATCTCGTATCATAATTATGAGTCACAGCGCATCACTGATATCCGACTCGTATCTACAATAAATTCGGTGATCATAATTCAGATGAAAATAAATACTCAATTAGCCGCAGCATACGATGAGTTCATCAGACGAGGAGAACACCAAGCCGATCTACTTCTGGCGATTGGAAGACGAAAACGCATACCTAGGCCAGTGGTATCTAGCGTCGTTCGTGTGGCAGAATGGCAAGAACAAGTTCTCATACGCTAATGCAGAACAGTGAGCTAGACCTCCATCTGATTAGGATGACCTAAAATTGAACAGATTATAGATACATGATGCACCGCAAATCCCTCCTTTTCGCTGGTCCCGACCACCCTATGACTCAGCGGCTCCAAGCCGGGTGGAAACTGCATCCACGTAAGCTGCGTGATCTGGGCCGTCAGATTCCCGGCCTCGACGAGACGGTCTGGCAGGCGGAACGATATGCGATCGTGGCAGAGGGTACTTATCTAAAATTCAAACAGAACCCGGATATTGCGGCGCCGCTACTCGCAACAGGGACCGGTGAGATTGTCGAGGCAAGTCCCAGCGACCGCATCTGGGGGGTAGGATTCGGGCGCGAGTGTGCGGATTTATGGCGGGAGGAATGGGGGATGATTCTTTTGGGCGAGGCGTTGATGGAGGCCAGAACAAGACTGAGGGATGAGAAGAGAATGGTTAGAGACGCGGATTAGGGCTGCTAAAACCCCGCATAAAATCGCATGTCGGAGCGGGTACCATCCGAAGAGATGCGGATACGCCCCGTCCGGCCTCGGGTATGGCGTTGCCCAGAGTGAAAAAGAGAGAGAGAGAGAGGATGACCACTAATGTAACCCAGCCTCCCAGGTACAGTACACTTATTATATCAGACACGTAATATAATCGCTTCTTCCGCTGGGCATCTGAATACAATGAGCCTCCAATCCCAATTCACCACGCCAACCACTATCCAAGCAACCGAATGGACGACCCTACCCACGCGATACCGCCGCCCTGGCGGCCTCTTGGAGCACAGCCTCCACCAGAAGCGCGGCCAGCCGCTTGACTCCTTCCTCGAAGGACCCCTCTACATCCCGTCGCTTTCGCGTCTCTTTGTCGTCGACATCCCCTACAGCCGGATTTTCTCGATCGACCCCACAATCAAGGAATGGAAAATTGTCTTAGCCTACGATGGAGAACCAAACGGACTGGCCTACCACCCCCCGACCAAGCAGATCCTCATGGCCGACTTCAAGCAAGGCATCCTGGCCTTTGACCCTACCTCCCACGAGGACCCAAACGACCCGACCCTCCCACACCACTGGTGACGCGATACCACGGCGAACGTCTCAAGGGTCCCAACGACCTGGTCGTCACCTACACCGGCACCGTCTATTTCACCGACCAAGGGATGACAGGCCTGCACGATCCGACAGGCCGGGTGTTATGCTTCGATCTTCCATCCAACAATGGCGATCCGAATAATGCCAATGGCGCCAGCCAGCACCACATTAAACCGGAATGCGTGCTCTCCAAAGGCCCCTCACCTAATGGCCTTGTGATGAGCGAAGACGAATCGGCCGTCTTTGTCGCCATGACCCATGACAACGCGGTGTGGTACGTTCCCTTCTATCCGAATGGGAGCGTGCAGCGCGTGGGCCGGTTTGCCAGCTACTATGGGATCAGGGGACCGGATGGGATGGCGATGGATATAACGGGGAACATCTTTGTCGTGCATTCGTCGTTAGGGGTGGTGTTTGTACATCGGCCGGATGGGGAGGTCGGGTGGCGCATCTGCTGGGATGCGGGTGCAGGGAAGAAAATGACGAACTTGGCGTATGGAGGGCCAGATGGAACGAACCTTGTATTTAGTCGAGAGTGAGACGGGGACGGTGCTGGTGGTGGACTGGTTTTGCAAAGGGGTGATGGTTGGAGATGAGGGGAACAAGTAGGCTTGGTTGGTCTCGGTTGGTCTCGAGGGTAGTGAGAACTATAAGAAATCATATGGATTGAATACTGCAAGATTTTGTTCGAAAGCTTTATAGAATAAAACATGGGTAAAGAGGATGCATGCGGAGCGAGAATTCAGATACACTGTGCAGGCTTCTTGCTCCTGCATCCTGCGATACTGATGACTATATCTATATATGGAGTGTAGATCTACGCCCATTCTCGCTGCTTCTCAGTCGTCCCCTCTGCCTCAACCGGCTTTCTCACAATCACCTCTCACCCGCGCAGACAGATTGTAATGCTGCGGCAACTTCCGCGCCATGGGAACGATATCCCAAATGGTGGGCGCTTCACGAAAGACCCCGTCAATGAGCTCCAAGTCCCGATTCATCGTCTCTGGAAAGAAGAGGAGTACAACCAGAGGCACACACGCACACGTTGCCGCAAAAACAATGTAATACCGCCAACCGATGGTCGACAGAGCGACTGGGGTGACCATTGTGATGATAAAGTTCCACATCCAGTGGTTCGCCGTCGAGATGGACGACATGACCGCACGAAGAGGCGCAGGCGCGACCTCCGTGCAGTATAGAAAATTGCCCTCAAGGAACCCAATGGGATACGCCAGGTTGAACAGGAAGATAAAGACAGCCGCCGTGAGGGGGAGGCAGAATGGTTGGAGGCCGGGAAGCTGGTAGCAACCGCCATGGCAATCATGCAGAGTCACATTCCTGACCCACTGGTTACAAGAATCCAGCGGCGGCCCAGCCGGTCGACGGCGGCGAAGGATAGGAAAGAACACAGAAACTTCCAGGTCAGGGCACTTGCAGCGACAATGAACGGAATGTCTCCCTGCAGGTGCAGGTTGTCTTGGAAGATAGTGGTTGTGTAGATCGAGATCGTGTTGCCTCCCACCAGCTGCTGTAGGGTTTAGATGCCAAGACGGTGCAGGTCATTGGTCCGGAAGACGTCGCGCAGGGAGATGGCAGGACAGTTGGAGAGAGAGGCTTCAATCCGAGCAGCTTCGCAGCGGATTAGCTGATGGTCGCTAGGCATGTTGTTGAGCGCGGCAAGAGCCTCAGTAGCGGGTGAGATCCGTCCGCGTTGTACCAGCCAGCGGGGTGACTCTGGCAGGGTAAAAGTGGAAAGACAGATCACCACCGAGAAGAGAATGGGACTAACAAGGGGGATCCGCCACTGAAGAGGGGGCGAAGAAATTTTGCTAGATCCCGAGTGATCCAGCCCGACAAGAAAAATCCCACACAAATGAAGATGCCAGAAGTGATGACCTGACGCCCGCGTTTGCCCGTAGAAGAGCACTCGGCTTGCCACACAGGAACAATCACACTCAACTGGCCCACCCCTAATCCCAGGATGATGCGTCCAACGGTGGACTGGGCCAGGGAGAAGGCCGTACATTGAAGAATCTGACCCAGTGCCGCACAACAGCTGCCAACAAAGATAGTCATACGACGACCCAGTCTGTCGCCAATGACAGAGCAGGATAAAGCTCCCAGAAGAGCTCTCAACATCAAAGTGGCATTGATGAATCCTTTCAAGGTCGAGTTCTGCCGCTCTTGGGCCCCGTGGATGTTGACTGTGTCGATTTGTGGGAAGAGACGGATCACATCCGGGAGGGTGAGCAAAGCCGAGAGCCCAGCCTGGTTGTACCCGTACAGGATGAAGGCAGGGGCGATGATAAAGAGTCTTTGTGCCTGTTGGAGACTGATAGCTGACGAGAACATCATGCCTGTACAGTAACTACAAAAAGCTAGAGTGAAGTGATTTTGATATGAAATGCTGTTTCCAGGTTGGAGAAGAATTGCGGGAAGGAGGAGGGCTACCAGGCGTTTCTAAAATAACCTCTCTGACCCCTTAGTCCTAAAGCATAACCTCATGCATGTTCTGCTATGCATGCATAATCTGACCTGATATTCGCAGAGACTAAAGATACTATATATTGCGTCCAATCGGCAGATCCTGTTGCAATGACCGTTTAGGAGCTGGTGCAAGATCTCAATGACAATGCAAGTGGAAGTCCGCTAGAGACAACAACCAAGTGCAATAAATATTGTTTAGCCCAATGTATCGTGCATGTAACTATAGATTACTGCTCCTACTTCCGAAGCGGATGTCAAATGGCGATGAAACTCATGAGTCTATGGCATGCGTACAGCAAGTTACGCCATTTCAATTGATCCTGTTAATGAAGTGGATTTATCCTGGACCTGGTTGCGGAGTAATGGTCGACACCCATGGCAAGCCTACTGGTGAAGAACACCCAGAGCGGCACAAAGCCGCCGTCTCTTCTGCCTCGATGCCCCCTCGCCAGCCATCCAATCTACAAGGGCATACCGCACGGTTGTCATTCCATTACCATTACTCTGCATTGGAACAGGGGTGGGATAATGTCTGAAGAGAAATTAACTTAGTATGATCACCATATAAGAAGAATCACGTTCTTTCATGCTACCAGCACTTGTCTAGGGTCTGACTCAGGCGTCTTCCCCTGCCCAAACTAGCCGTCTTCAGTGTTCTCCCACTCGAGACATGAGCATGAAATCCAGACCATACCAATTGCTATCGCCAACACATCCTGAATATACCTACTTCCACAAGAGATCGACCAAATTGCCATGCCATATGCAACAACCTAGTCATGAAGGTTGGAAACGATTAAATAGCTTATTTATCAGCCTTTTTCCAAGACACCCCCTGTGGTGATCAGAAAGACATCGCGCCTCAAAACAACCATGCCAGAAGACGTGGTAGACATTACATATATAAACCTGGAGACCCATAAACTCCTTGATTCCACACTGAGAGATGTGCAGTAACCCGTGCATATAGGCCAGCAACAATCATAGAAGCGGGGGATGTCCATCCCACTTCGGGGCCGTTCCGAGCGGCGGATCTTGCCCGCTAGAACTGGCTGCGCAACTATCATGCAGGTCGCAGCATACAAATGTTATCGATGCACAAAATAAATCACTGCCTCAGAAACACACAACCCTCAAATCATATGGTATAGCCTGTATTTTATTTTCCTTCATAGACCCATCTGCTTCCGTCTTCAACAATTTCAAAGAAAAAAGGGTGGTATACCGAATAACACTAGTCCTATTAACCAAGCTCATTCCTACGGTCAAGGAATACTTCCATTGAAATCACGAGTCCTTAGAGATTATCTTCCAGGTTGAAGGACAAAAGGCTCGCTTCATCCGACCGGGCTGGCGGGAGTGGGGTGGGATGTGCTTCGGCGCCTTGACCGTGAAGCAAGAATTCCAAACAATTATACATCTTCACCGTGCAGCCTTACTAGCTAATTTTATCAACCCGGAGCACGACCCACTACAGCCGCTCTTCTCCCCGGTAGGGCGAGATTTCCCTTAATCGTGTGGCATGCAAAAGCACTGCTATCCGGAAGACACCCCGGGAATATCATGTGACAGGAAGTATAAACCCCCCCCCTCGTTCACCTCCATCTTTTCTCCACATTTCTACGGAGGGGTTTGAGGACAGAGAACAGCTTTGTTGCAGCGATATCTCATCGGAACGGTGCTTCAGGTGCTTGGGCTGACCTAATCCGTCGAACAATAGACCGCGCTGAAGCTTCTCTAGATATAGGTTATGATCTTTAAAATCGCGTTGGTGTCAGCTGCTTGATAACGGTCTAGCTGGTCTGTGTGAAATCGAGGACTGCGAAGCCAGGAGAAGCATACCCGGGGGTTGGACTTCGGATTACGAGTCAAAGTTGGGTGGACGTACGGTATCATTTGAGTTTTGTGAGCTCGTCCTACAGGCAATTGGCCTATCTGACAGGGCTAGTACATGTTTAGCTCACCTAGGTCGACTTCATAGATTGGTACTGTCCTTAACAGACCATGAACGAGAGGGGTTCATTTCGTCAAACCGAAGCCGCAACAATCAATCAAGAATTTGCATCGACTGATCGAGAACCCCGTGGTATCATCACAAAGGTGAGTAACTACTTCCGCATTATGAATGTTGCAGGGCTCTACTTGAGAACAGGCGAATATACCGATGAATATTTTGTTTTTCGAGATGGTTTGACGGTGGCATATCCGTATCCATATCCATCCTGTTAGTGAGATCTAATATATAGCATGACTTGCTTTACTGAGTGAAGAAATCCGGGTATATATCTAAAAATGCATTGAAGTTACTCTATCTTCGTGTTTCTTTTTTTTTGCGCCTGCAGTTTTGAATTATGCACGCTCAAACGAGACCCTCTGGCATGAATTGTGCCACTTCCTCGAGCAGGTGCCGCCACTCGGGGAAAACAAAGATGCAGGCAGCTACGTTCGAGAAAGCCGAGGTATGGATGCTATTGTCAAAGGACGGCACTTGGTTAGGCTTCGACACCAGCTTCACAATCGTGCGTACCCGGTGGAGCACCTTTTAGGCGCCCGCATGAGGGCGGAACCAGGAAGACTTTGGTGTCGATGCATTTGTGCAGCCGCTCCAAGGCGTCGACTGGACTCGGCTTGGGCGGCGCGCCCGTATGGCCCCCGTGGCCGCGGCCTGCCTCTTGCAGAATCTGGACTGCTGCATGATGCGCCCAATGTGGGCCGCCGTCCACTCAGTCTCCCCTTGGAGCCAACGCTGGTGAACCGCGTTGGTTGTGTCGATCTCCATGCTGAATTTCAGGTCGGCCTCTTTTTGCACTGGGACTTACAGAAGCGGCCGAAGACACGGGCTAAAGCTAGCTCATAGCTTTGGCGGCATGTTGGACGCTTTTTGACCGGGAACATCTCCGGGTACGCCTCCATCAGATGCTCACCCGCCGGCCATGACTACCCCTCCGGCAGCAGCTTCTCGTGCTGCGCCGCCTGGTATAGGTGCAACACAGCGACCACCGCAGTGAATTGATTGACCCATTCTTGACCCACATTGTAGAGTTGGAACTTCATCCACAACAAGGTCTGTCCGCTTAACAGAGGGCGTGAGTTGAGCAGCGCGGACGGATGAGGTGATACCACCCCGATCGACCGTTGCTTAGTGTAGACCGGGTCGTCAAGGGTAAGTTAATCCAAAATTTCCAGGAGCCACTCCATCTCATGTCTGCTCTCCTTGTTTTCAAACGAGAGAATCCTTTGGCTCTGAAGGACATCGGGGACTTGTGGCCTCGCAATTTCGACAAAAGCCAAGAGCTCAGTACATGCCTTGGCATGGTCGGGCCCCACTGATTGCCAATCGCACCTCGACATGGATCCAGGCCGAAATGAGCAGATTCATTGTCAGATCATTCGTGGTGAGGAGCTCCGTGAACAGAATCGTAAGCGATTCCGTCACCGCAGCCTCGTTCAATTGTTCCTTGCCGAAGAGCCTCAGGTGCTCTACTATCGCCTCATCGAGCAGTATGCGCTATAGTTCGTCGCCACTCATTTCCTTGGTCCAGTCAGGCTCCGGCAGCTGTGCGCGGAGATAGGCGTCGGAACCCGCAAACAATCGTTTTCCACAGTTTCCCCCAGTATCGGAATCAGGCTGCACAGGATTTCAAGGAAGGTGTCGAAGTCCTGGATGCCCTCACCACCTGCTTTTTCCTCTTGCGCCGCCGCACGTCGGATCTCACAGAGCTTGAACAACGGTGTGGGCCAACTGTCAGGGTCCTCAGCGAAGACTCCCTCGGTTACCAGGTCAAGCACCCCCTTCATGTACAACTGTAGGGTCATGTTTGTGGTGATTGTCGCGGTCTCAATTGAATGCTGTCCATCTCGGTACCCCTGCCAGGTTTCCCACACTTACCCCATGGACAAGCAGAGGTCTTGCAGGATAATCTCCAGCGAGAATAGCTTCTTCGGCTTTTCCACACTGGCGGTGTGGCGGCGTAGCAGAGGGGGCAGTGTTGGCTGCGCTGCCGCTCGAGGAGGGCTCGTCCGCCGCCTACACGAGTTCCAGCGCCGCGAACATATTGACCACCGCTGCGGCATCCGACTCCTTCTGCTCCTCGCCTTCTTCTCTCTTCTTCAGATCCGGCGTGATCGGTTTGAGGATCTTCTCCACCTGCTTCAGAGTGAAATGAAGTGCTCGTGATTTCGGTTGGACATCGGGTCGCCGTCATGCTCGTAGAGTGGTCGCTGGTACCCGCGCCGCGCAATCGACCGCGGCATCTCCTTGATCTAGTAGCCGGCCACAATTCGTTCCGCTCGCTCCACCAGCTGCTTGACTTTCAGCATGTACTCCTTGGGCTCCACAGAGGGTGCGTTACCTTCTTTGGCCTGCTTGCGCGCCTTGCCCTTTAATCGACCAGGGCCCTTGGACTTCTCGAAGTCGGGATCCGCTGTCAAGAGCTAGGTAGACAGGTCTTGCGTATCCTGCTCGTACTGCAGGTATCGGCTGATGTACGTTGGTTGCGCCTTTTTCCAGAATATAATTCTGTAGAGTGTGCTGACTTGCTAATCGTGTATTACATATGACTATAATCGAACAAGACTCGTGTTTATGGTCTAATAGACATTGCACTAGAGTATCAATCCGTCTCTATTTTTAATAAGTAATACTGGCTTGCAATCTGTTCCTCCCAGTCGCTCTTAATAAGGCCTTTCGATATCTTCGTACCCGTCATTGTTACACACCAGATCGCTCAATAGATTATTACAAGACAGAGGGGGGGATCACTGTTCCATTCTTTCATATCTCACTGCGCGTTTCTCAATCAATTACCGGGGAACGTCATGTCAGCTCCACAACTACGTGTCCTTTGCTAGACATGAGTGTATAGGTACAATGTCTCTCGGGCATGTGTATACGGTGGAAGGTCGAGTAGGGATCTGTTGGCTGTGCTGTGGTCGGATAGAGAAATGGCCGACAGACACCTCAGGGAACATATCAAATAGAATAGAGAACGTCTCTCTTCATGAACAAAGAATCTATATATGAACAACGATCAAGTAAGTAAAGTACTATACAACATTCTTTCATGACAAAATATGCATAAATCCATCCATCATCATCATGATTCGTCCGTCTTCGAAAACCATTATTATGAGTGTCTCCTCAAGCCTTGCCCTCATTGCTTACTCTTTACATTAAGCATTCATCATATCGACCAGGCCCACCACGAGGAGGGCAGCGCAGTGGCAGTGTGCTGGATGTTGCCCGGCCGGGACTAGTTGGACACCAATTTGTAGCTGGCATATCCCGAGTCATCCCCGCTCAGGCATTGTCCGACGGTCATGTTGTATGGGCTGGAGGAACAGGCATTGTCATTGAAGAGTTGCACTATTGATGAATCAAGATTAGCCGGGGTTTTGTGCTGGCAGGATGTCAGAGAGTGAGTGGCTTACCACTGTAGCCGGCGACGTGTGCTTCGAAGCTGACGGACTGGATCGTGTCGTCGCCAAAGGTCCCGCATTGGTTGAGGTAGTCTCCGTAGATACCCAGTTCGCCCAGGTTCAGCTCCGAGCAGCCCGGGGCGCCGTAAACACGGAGTTGGGCCAGGCGGGTGTTGTTGAGGTTGCCGGTGCCGGTGGGGAGAGCCAGCACGGTGGAGATGGTGACTGTCAGGAGGGTCGAGAGGAGGAGAGAGAACTGCATGATGATTGAGGATGATTGGTGGTTTGGAATATAATGATATACTGGATAAAGAAAATAATTGTGTGATACGATATGTTCTTTGTGTGTGAGGAGGGAAGAAAGCAAGCCGGTGGTGGACGTCTTTTATAAGTCTTCAAAGGGTCGGACTCCCCCGCAAATCAGACCGGATGATTCTGGCCTGGTGATCGTCTCTTTTTGGCGCGGCAATGACTTGGCGATCGACGGACTGCGCCCGGCCTGGACGATCCCTGCCGTGAAGGAGCGGGATGTCATGTCGTCCCGTCAGCCTATGATGTGACCTTTCCGATTTCCAGCCTCGCCGTCTTTTTCACCTTCTGCTGCCTCTGTTTCTTTCCCCCGTTGAGTAACTGGCCCAGTTTGCTATCATGGAGGTAAAATCGAGCGTAGGGGCTGGGGGCTGGAGTCTGAGGCTGGGCAAGTAAGCACAGACAGACACGCGGCTCACTGCATGCATGTCTCAGAAGCGACCCGCCACTCTTTGTCTGAGGGTCACCGTGCGTGTTCACAATAACTCCATTGTATAGACATCCGGTGCATCCTTCGGATGAGCCGGATCGACAGCTTGGATAAGAGGGTCAGAGTAGCATACTTTATGAGTCAAAGAAGCCTTATGCCTTTAGGTTTAATGGACTGGAAGTGATTGCCACCAAGTCAACTCGAATGCGACCGAAGGTGTTGGCAAGAAGGTCGACTATCATTGTACCCATATGCAAAGAGCGACCGCTGAAACTGCAACGTCGCATTCAATGTACATCTAGTGACCTGTCAACCTGCGAGGATCAAAACAGATGTCTTTCAATCTAAGAATAGCACCAATGCAGACGATAATAATAGTAAACCCGGTGGCAGGGCTGAGGGTCACGATGCAGATCTCTCTGGACCCTGCGATCGCGCATGACATCAGGTATACGTCTCGATACTGCAGATCATCTGTACTACTGCGCAACTGTCCGTCCACGCCTCGTTCTAGAATCGGAGTTGACCGTTGTCGATAGCAAGGATACATAGGGTACATTGTAGAACACGGACGTCTCAAACGCTGCGTGCCAGTGCCACATATTGTCTTAACAAGCCACTACGGATTTCGTCCTGCTGACCTCTTTCTTCACCACGAACAGAGTACTTCGCTTTCTAGAATCAGCCGAGCTCATGTACTTATTCGCAGTAGACTATCAATTCAAACCTCCTAAGCTTTTATTATAATAAGTATAATCAGTAACAGCTGAACGTTTAGACAGGTAATAGCTTTATTCTATGCCCTTATCACTGGCTGTAATAAGTGTATCATAAACTACATGAGTTCAGGTAATTTGTATAACAATATTAAGTTTTCCCTCCTCTGTATATCCTATTATCGAGAAGAAAACAGATATTAGATCCTGGCTTGTTTGATAAAGCACTAGTACCTATTCTAATCAGCAGACCATTTCGCAGTGCGCTGTATAAATTAGCATACAGTTGAGCACAGTTGAGCACAATTGAGCACGGTTGAGAAGAAGGATTCTGTCAATCTGACCAACTACTGGGCTTAGGATACAGTCGCCAGAGACTCAAAGAAATCCTGCGAGATTCATACAATTATACGTCACACACTCAGGTACCTCAGAAAAAAGAGTGACTAAGTCAGGCTCTAACGACGAATTTCCGTCCGAGGGGCCAAGCCTGAACGCCTTCTACGCGGACCTCGACGCGCGTCACGTCTTCAACGACCGCCCAACATACATGATCTGGACAATGCGCAGCGCCTTCGAAGTGAACCCCGAAGATGACTCCTAGTACTTCCCCGGCATGAGGGACCAATGTGTCCTTGCTGCTGCACAGTATATCCTGTGGAGTGGCCACGAGCGGTTCATGAGACTGGGATATAGTGGTGATATTGATGAGGAATTGCTGTGGACTTGAATAGCGGGCCCGTTGTATGATTGGAAGGTGGCTCTTGGCTTAGCGAGGTAGCGGTTCTGGAAGGCAGGGTTTTGGGCTGCGGGGGGAATTAAGGCCTTAGGGAGGAGATGAGGGATGTTGCTGGTAGAGCTGCGGGTTTGATGGATGAATTTGAGAGTGCGTTGTTGTTTTGATTTTGGCCCTATTCCCTCTCGCGGTTGGGACTAGTACTCTAATCCCTGTCCTTGGTCATAGTTTTATGAAGACCAGATCTTGGGCGATGACTGTGCATTCCACGGGCTGAGATTGGTGCTGCTCTCGCCCCATATTTGGCCTTCATCTATGTTATTCCCCAGGGCCAACCATAGGCATTGACGCCGTGAGGTACTCCGGCTTTGGGAGACGAGTCATAGAAGAACAAGGTAAACTTGGAGGAGACCTAGTCTTTAAAGCTAATTTTTTTTTTTTTTTTTTGCTGAGATTGTATGGGAATAGTCCAAAATAAAACGAACAGTGTAATGTCCCCTGCCCTTACTATATCATGATAATTCTGCTGCTAGAGGACCTCGCGGGTCTTCTACAGTGTTTTTGGGCCGTGTGGTTAACTCTACCAATGTAGCGGGATAGGACCGTCACAAGTGGCTTGAGTTTCTGGCGACTAGCAAAAAAACCTTGATATATAAGTAATAACAGGAATTTGAACACCAAACTAAAGTAAGAACTATAGAACGGGGACCCAAAAAATGCACCAATCACTATCTCTTGATTGCATGGGCGTTTACCCCGTCTGACTGGGTTCAAGATGCCCTCCATTGCTAATTTGTATTGTTAGTTAGAACGCCGTGCTGTCAACGAGGATACCAATCCAACACTTCGCCTGAGTTTTAGCCATGCTGCTACTCGAGCTGCGAGATAATGTGCGGTATCTCTTCAAGACTCCTCAACCAGATGGGGCGAATTCCCATAGCGAGGTATTGTCCGGACCGCTGCTTAATCTCTTGACCAGAGGGTTGATGATCGTCGGCCAAACCACCAGGCCACGGCAACAGCGCATAATGATATCTGCCAGGCCGCCTTTCAAAGGCATCTCGAAGCAACTGATTCATGTACCTGTCTGAGAATGAACACCCAATATACAAGGCCACATGAACAGGGTTCTCCAGGTAGTCAGACTGGAAGCGTTCTAGGACCTTTGAGACGGACTGCCCATATTGCGACTGATAGCCACTTGTGGCGAAGACGAATGGCACCATTGTTATAAGGAACGGTCTGGTCGGTGTATACCCATGCACGTGGTACACTGGAAGAAACAGCGCACCTGGCCCGACTGATCAAGCGAAATGGTTCGGATCACCTGCTATTTCGTCTCCACGCATCGCAATTGCTGCGCTAGGAATCTGCAGATCTGAAAGCGCTTGCTCCATGAAATCATCATAGTTGTATGTGATTATGCCGTCCCAGCCCATAAAGTGGTCCTCCCTTTCGTGAACAAACTGACTCCGTGCTAATCTTGCGATCGCGTGATGTGTCTTGCTCGGTATCCTATCTCTCTTGTAGAGCATGGCTGTTATAAAGGTCAACAGTCGCTGTCCGCAAAGATCGTGACCAACATCAGCGCCGCGCCTCAAGATGTCAGTATTAACTGATTTGTCATTCCTCTGGGCCTCTTCAATACGCTGTAAAACTTTGACTGCGGTATTCTCTTCGTCAGCGTTGTATCTTTTTGCTGATTCTCTGTACTAATTAGTCGTAAAGTTCCGCTGAACGCCATTTAAAGTAGGTGTCCAGCCGGAGCGCTCGCTCTCTACTGGGTCCCTAGAGATGAACCTCTCATTGATAAGCCCTTGTGGAGCCTCAGGGGGCAGCTGCTCCAAGTCCTGAGGCCTGGGAAGCCAAAGCTCCATGACTCTGCCAATTGTCTGGTGTAATAGACCCTCCACTAGTGATGGCCAGCTTGGAGCATTGCAAGGGGCTGTCATCGACGCGCCAGCCCCAAGCACGAGCGAGAGCGCCGAAGAGCGCCGTATCTGGCGAAGAAGAGAAATGTCGAATTCTCGTATATTCCAACTAAGTTCCCTTCTCATCTCCCTAGTCGCTGCGGAAGTGTTGGCCATAAACTGTCTTGCACGTTCTTGAGTCGCATCAACATCGACGATATCGTCTCCTATTTGACTGTTCAAGTGGTGACCCCTCTGAACCCCTCTGCAAAGCCCGGTGATAATTCTTTCGATCTCATAGAGCGAATGGGCTGAGGGTTCGCGTCGTCGCAGGTCGGCAAGAAGGTTTGGATCGAAGTTAGCAAGCAATTGCTCCCATTGTGCCTGGAAACTGCTGGGCCCTGCTGGTAGGTACGGCAGGTGGAGAGACTACGTGTGACCATACTGCTGTTAGATCTTTTGGCAGCTTACCGGAAATAGAGATTGGAAAGAGCTATGGAATACCTGGTTCGTCAGTTCCCTGTGGCGGGTGTTCACCATTCGACGCCATTGCTGCGTATTATGAGGGTGTCTACAGGAAGTGACAAATAGCCGTCTGATCTGTACTTCAAAATCTTGGTAGGGTTCTCTAGGGCAAGCAATATTGTACTTATAAGAGAGTAGAGCAATGTTATATTCATGCATCACGAGTTCGCAGAATCATGAGATGAAATATAGGTGATGTAATGAAGGTTCCAGACATTGTTTAATCTTCTAGATTATCTGAACATGTGCTTCTGTTGTCCCAATCCGTTCCATCCCTCTTTTATGCTGCTTGTATTCACTTGATTTCTCAAATGCCTCTAGATCAATGACCCCAGATGAGGCTAGGCTCTTCTGCCCCATGGCACAGAGTCCTTTGGGTGAAACAATGCAGTAAAACACGGTAATATTATAATCGACTCCGCGTGGGCGTTACTTTTGACAAAGGACAGACAGATTTACAGTATAAACATGAGTAGGAAAGTGAGCTGGTGACTTTAGCCGGCAAAATTAATTTCCCCATTTCCCGCATTATCCCGCTGAGATTTATAGCTGACGCCAGCGACCTTGAGCCCATCGCGATCGAGAAGCGTGATAGTGTCACCGTCCATAGATAAGAAGGAATTCGGAACGTCAAAGACCATTATAGCCTTTGCATCTAAAGCCGCATTACTAGGGAGAACCTGTTGTTCCCAGCGCGAATTGCGGATTCTCCAACGTGCGAGCGATATTTTGCGCCTCGTGAGGTTCTTCAGGGTAACAGACTGCTTCTTGTCTTCACCTTGGCCAAAAGAATCCACAACGAGCTTGTTGATAGCAACTGAGTTTTCGACAAGGTCACCAGGCAGGAGGTCTTTCCAAGTGACTCGTGATATGGCATGGCCATCATTCTCGCTTGTATGCACGGCCTGTGATGCAAAGGCAAGGAAAATACCAATCCATTCATCATCCTTTGGGAAATGGAAGAGAAGCGCGCCGTCCTGGAACACGCCATCGTCACCCGAGTACCTTCGGATGTTGCCCTGGTTCATGTGGACATTGTGTATGCCATTGTTTGTGCTAAATCGTTCGCCGAATATGTAAACGACAGCCCCCTTATTGATTGCTTGCTTATTGATTGCTTCCTGGACTTTAGGCACCAGGACATCGATAATGTCATTGTTTGGACCAGTAATGTCATGCTCAAGAACCCGACCGGTATTCACGTCAAAGAGATTGCCCCGGATGTAATCAAGCCGTAGGCCGCCCTGTTCGGGCTCTTTATCGTCCAAGCGCTCGAAGCCGGTCTTGAGCTCCGACAGACTCCTGACGAGCGGATGGCCGCTCATATGCTCATTTACCCAATAGACAAGTCGCGACTCTTGCTGGTCTCCAGACTTGATGTTTATGGCGGCGTGAAATTCTGGCCCTTCAAAGTCTGTCTCTCCATTATTGCAGAAATAGAGAGTTAGATGAGGTGTTCTGGCCCCACGACGTTCAACTTTGTAACGTTTGGGGTAAGCCTTCCAGACTCCGTAATTTTCCAGCGGCATATTGCTTCTCAGCCGGAGATTAAGATATAAATCAAAAGCTCTCGTTGACCGTAATGTACTAGGACTCTCCGGGTAGCATGGTTTACAATTCTGGGTATTTGTACCCCGTGGGTATGTGGTCAGATGATGGGTTGGGAGCTTTTGGATTATGTCACCACTGAGAGTATTAAGACTTCCTACCCTGGTTACATAGCTTCACCGTCACGCATTATAAACCTGATATTATCCAATGGATCCACTCTATCTGGCACCTCGTATATGTTATGCCAATAGTGTATCATAAGTATTTGACCCTCCAGTGCTTCCGATAGGACCCACTTTTTAATACTGCCTGGCGGAAACCTTGCAACTTAATTTAACACAATTACTCATACTTAAAAACATCAGCAGCTCCAAGGGGCATGGTCTCAGAGAGATGCTTAGATATCTTACTAGCTACGCCCTCCTATGCTTCTTACACAGTGTTAAATAGTAATTCTAGCATAGCTCTGTTATTTGGTAGGTACATTACCATGCTGGAATATCACCAAAAAAAGGGTGACAAAATAATAAAAGTGATTTTGATCCATCCTGTAACATAATCAGTAAGCGAGTAGTCCATGTAGACGAGTAGTCCACCCCCTATCATACAATGGTTTCTCTGAAAATATTGTTCAGCTCGGATATATATGTCAGTGTCTTCCACATATTCTGGGCTCGTCTGCACATGGAAAAAATAAGGAACTAACACTAGGCCTAGACCTGATACTCCTAGTATAATGACCTACTGAATGTTAAGATATAGGCCCAGGCCCTTTGTGAGCTTTGAAGAGATGTGGAAGAACTTTCTTGGTAGTCAAGAAAAGTCATAGGAAAGAATTACTAGATCTATTTTTTATAACTGGACTTTGTGTTTATCCTTAGTGCCTTTAACACTCTTTAAGGAGCACCTTAAGTCTATACTTTTATTCCTCATTTATATACTCAGGTCTTTGGTTCCTGTGTCCCTTAACAAACAAACTTTGAATTTTCTAGTTTATATTCTTGGCTAGGCTTTGTATTATATGGAAGTACTCTTGAATTGCCATATATTAATTGAAAGTCATCTGGTACAAGATAGCCTTTTATTAACTTTGGTTATTCAAATCAGCCCAATTAGTACAAAGAGATTTTTACTCTTAAATATTAGGAGATCCCCAGCTTCAATAGTGGTCGCTGCCTGTGCTAAATACCAGCTCCACAGCTGTGAGATTGATTTCCGCATGCGGAAGTTATATTTAGGTTCTAAGTTTCAACTGCTGCAGTTCTCTTTGTTAAAACACGAATCTAGATATCTGGTACTATTCACTCCCTCTTACGCTTTAGCTTCCCGTGTGATGTAAAGAAGGTCTGGCCTCTCATCTTTTCACGCCACCCGCTGAATACGAGCCAATTTCGAGCTTGTACTGTTTAAAGTGAGATCTGTTAAAGTTTGTATCTATGATAATATGATGATGGCTGCCTTATGTGGTTTATGGTATTCAGCTGGTCTAGACTTAGCTGGAAGTTAAATGGTGTAGAAAGGAGGAATCTGTTTTTGAAGCTCTCCATTATAAGCCAAGAAATCTAGCCTTTTTGCTGAGCTTCAAATTGTGCTATCTGATATTACATAAACCGCAAACAGGAATTATTAACATCTTTTTGGATTCTCTTAAATCGACTTGCATATAACTTCTCTGTAATTAAATCAATGAGTTATTCGTCTCTTGCAAGCGGTCTAGGCTCCTTGTAAAATTATTACTCAAAGTTATTAGGGTTTAGCACTTCAAAAAAATAGCTGGTCAGTAAACAACCCGGACAGAGGACTCGCATAATACTCTTGTTAATAAGACTATACAATCAGCAAACTGACAACTGATGTAGGCGACTTTGAGTATTATTAGCACTTAGACATGGCAGGGTCAGCTCGAAAGCTCGAGGCTCGATCAGCTCGGCTCGGCCTCGAGCGGGCTAAACTCAATTACATAAGGCTCGTGAGTGAGTTAATGTAATCGTCAACTGAGTGAGCCACGCAAGCGAGCGGTGTACACAGGTTACATGACCCTAGTTTATGGCTTATGTGAGTTGTTCCCGATTCCACATAACGTGATCGGTAAGCGAGTGGCCCATGTAAGCGGGTGGCCCAATATACCAAGCATTCCAGTCTATATATAATTTTAAAGCTAAAAATTAATGTATTTATACTGTTTAAATCATGTTTTCTTAATATTTTCCTCTTAAAGGATATCTTATTTATATATAATTAATTTAATTATAATTAAAATAGTAAAGTAACACGCAGCAGTAAAATAATTTTTTACTATTTCTAGAACTAGCTAGTTAATTTTTAAAAACTTTATCTTTCTTATAAATTTACTAGAATATCTAAATAACTTTATAAATAATAATATTATTAAAATTAGTTATTTAGTAATAACTCTGTTTTTTCTTATTTCTTTAATATTTTTTTATAACTTATAAATTATAATTTTTCTATTTAAATAAGACTATTTTATTAAATATAAGTTTATAGTCTTTAATAATATATAAAAATATATTTTTTATTAATTTTAGAGGACTTTGTGTATATTTATAAAATAATTTTTTAATTATAGATATATATTTCTTTAATTATCTTATATTCTTAGATATTTTTAGTATAATAAAAATGATAGTTTAATTTTTTATAAAAGAGTTCTCTTATAAATAGATTCTTAATTTTTTAAATATTCTATTTAACTAAAAAGAAACTAATCCAGAAACTAAAAAAATATTTTATATAATTAAATTTTAAAGATAAGTTTATAAGCTTATAGATATATATCTAAAAATTTAATTTTTTTAATATAGTAAATATCTTAGTAAATTAGTTTCTTAATTAAATTATTATATTTTTTTTTAAAAGTATAAAGTAGAGTAGCTTAACCTGACTATTATATCTTAACCTTAACCTGACCATAACCTAGTAATTAGATTAAGATATAAAAAGTAATTTAATTATATAGTTAAAATTAGATTAAAATATAATTATTATTTTAACTATTTATATCTACTAATTAAAAAGATTAGATATAATAGATAAATTATTAATTATAAATTAATTAATAATATATATATTTTTTTTATATAAATAATATATAAAGTATAATATATTTTTAATTATAATATAATTATATTTTTTATATTTAATTTATTTATTTTTTTCTATCTTATTTATTTTATTTTTTTTATTTATTTTATTTATTTTATTTATTTATTTTTAAGAAATATATTATATTTTAGAAAAGATTTTTATAAAATTTAATATAAAAAAAATAATATCTAATATAAGATATATATATTAATTATTCTTTATATTATCTAGAATAATAATTATAATAAAATAGAAATTATAAGAAATAAGTTTTTATCTAAAAGTATATAATATTTATAAATTTAGATAAAATTATTTTTTTTATTTTTAATAATAATTTATTTTTTAGATTATTTTTTAGATTATTTTTTAGATTATTTTTTAGATTATTTATATTTTTATTTTTATTAATATAAAAATAATAATTATCTTATTTTTTTTTTAATTTTTAAATATAAAAATAATTAAATTTAGATTAAGATTTTTAAGAATATTCTAGTATTTTTTATTTATAATAAAATAATTAATATATATTTAAAGTATAATTATTTTAATTATATTAAACTTAAGATAACTTTATTAATAATAGATATCTTAAAAATTATTAAATAAATATTTAATATTAATATTATTAATTATAATAAATAGAAAATCTCTAATTATTTAGTAAAAAATAAAAAATTAATTATAATAAAATTTTTAATAAATAAAAATATTAATATATTTTATAATATTTAGAATAATATTAATTAAATTAAAAATAAATTAATAAATTATATATTTTTAATATTTAAATATATTTTAAATTTTTTAAATATTTTTATTATAGATAAGAATTTTTAATATCTAAAAATATTATAAAAAATTTTATCTAGATCTAAAAATAATCTAAAAATAATAAATAATATATTAATAGTCTAGAATAATAGATAATAAATAATTATAAAATATAAAATTTAATTCTGAAAATCTTATTTATTATAGATAATAAAAGTTTAGAGATAAAAAATAATTAATAAAGATTTAAAAAAAAATAAATAAATATTTATAATAATTTTTTATTTAATATTTAATTAATTATTTACTTAAATATAATTAAAAATATTTTTTTTTATAATTTTTATAAAAATAATAATTTATAAAACTAGTTTCTAAATTTTTAATTTTTAAATATTATAAAATATAAAAATATATAAAATAATAAATATAAAAAATTTTATTAAAAAATAATATATTTTTTTAAAAGTTTTTTTATAATATTAATAATTTTTTTTAACTAAAATAAAATAAAAGTTTTTAAATTTATAAATAAATTTTAGAAAAGAATATCTTTTATTATTAATTATATAAAATAAAAAATTTTTTTTATAAAATTAAATATAAAATAATTTTTTAATTTTT